AAATTATCAACTAAACTGATATTCAAACTTCTATAAAATTAACTATATTTTTAAATTACTTGAACTAGAAGAGCTTGTTTATATAATAAAAATTTTAAAAGTTTATGGCGTATATTAAATTCTAAAGAGAACAAAATTTAGATAAATATGTTTAACCAAATTTATAAACGAGCCTAATGAACAGCTGCAGCATTCTAATAAAATATTATATGGATTATTATAAAAAATATTTATTATTTCTTGTTATAAAAGTGTGTAAAAAAAAATTAAATTTTTTAAGTGGATTCGTTTTTGGATTGTGAATAAGTTGGATGATAACTAGAAGTGCCTTCGATTAGATTGCAATGAAATATTATGATATTGTGGATATAATTTATATAATTGTTTAAAAGAATTGTTTGGTAGAAAGAATCAAAAAAATAAATTGAAATAAATAAGCAATAATTTGTCACAAACTAAAATAAATATTTTTAATAAAGATTTCGGTGAGCTATGGAAGATAAAATAACATCGATAGTTTCAGATGATAGAATAGATGAAATTTTACATCTGAAAGCTACAAAAGAAGAATTAATCATAATACTAAATTATATTATTATGGACTACAAAAAGTTCTCAATGACAGATAAAATCTTACTACAATCACAAAAATTATAGAAACTAACATTAGATGAATGCATTTAAAATCGTTATGTGTTTTTATTCTTACCAGGAGTAAAGAATTCTATGGACACTTAATCTTAAAAGGAGGTCAGATATACATATGAACCAAAAGAAGGAATGATTTTGAAAGAGAAATATAGAAATGGTCGTAAAACAGAATCAACTGAAGTGACCTATGAATAAATAAATAAAATGTTAGGATCCTTCAATTAAAGTACAGGAGTTTTTTTACAAAGCAAACCTAATTTTGCTGAAAGCAGATTTATAGCCCCTCTATTACCTTAAGAAGAAGTTTCTAAAAGAGAAATAGTCTATGTAAAAGGAGGTCAAATGCAATATGTTTAGTAGACAAGAAAAAATAGACCTCCTTTTAAGAATTATACTGCTGAAGAAGTTTCAAAGCATAATAAACCAGGAGATGTATGGACAGTTTTAAATGGAAAAGTTTATGACATTTCACTTTACTTAGATTATCATCCTGGAGGAGTTGAAAAATTAATGCTTGGTGCTGGAAAAGATTGTACAAAATTATTTAATTAATTTCATTCTTGGGTGAATGGACATGCTTTTTTAGAATAGGATTATATTGGTAACTTAAAATATTGATAATTATATATATTATGATATATAAATTTCAATAGAGCAAATAAATGACCAAAAACATTGCAACAATAACTGCAGCAATAAATAGCTTTGTTCTTAAAGCTCTACTTTCTTAATCTTTTCTAACTTATGTTGCCTTGACTGATAATAAATTGGTTTACTGTTGTTTTCATTGCACCTGCAAAAGTAGTCATAGTTTAAGTAGTATGTACTAAAATCTAAATTTAATCTTCTCTGTCTAAGATTTGATCTATTTTATTTAAATATATAAATTACCTAACGTCAAAGACATTTGATTAGCAACATCTGTTAATTACTTTTGTAATCTAACAATTTTTTCATTCTCTGGATCATTATTGTAATAGTTCTGTAAAATCGCAAAATTATATTTTTACCATTTTTGCTTTTAAATACTCTACAAATTAACTTTGCATTCCGTAATTAATAGCTTGTCTTCTAATATTTTCATTAAATTTTTCGCAAAATAATTCTTTGATTTCTTCTAAAAATGCAAAGGCAGTAGCTTTTGATAATAATGCATCTGCTAAACATAAATAAGTAAAATCGTCTTCATTTATATAATGAAAATGATAACTAGTATTTAATCTAAATTTACTCATTACTTTTATTCATAGACACATGTTTAACGGGTGTTCTTTTTTAGCTTATCGAATAGTTTTTTAGCAAGTGAGGGAAAATTACTAGTCACAGATTCATAATCAACAAGTGTTATATTGTTTCCTCTTACAATGACGGCATAAATTATGGACATAGAAATTTTAATATTATTTAATAATGAATATTAGAGGATTTAAGTTCTTAGTAGAGGCTGCAATCATTAATGTTTAAATTAGTGTTTAGTTTAATTGTAAAATATAGGTCATTCTAAAAAGAGGTATAACTTTTCATTTTTAATTATTTCAATAAGGTTCATTAAAATTGGAAACTTAACCTATTTATGAATTGTAGAAAGGCATAGCAATAATTAATGAATCATTAAATTTTAATATATCTGTTAGTTTGGGTTAAGATGGAAAATTTGAAGAGAAAAAAACTCAAATAATTGTCATTTTAGTTACCGATAAAGGATAAAAGAATGCTGGTATATATAATTTGAATTTATCCCAATATTTAAATCATTAACAGTTTGGTATTCAGATTTTTATTTAAGATTTTAAGAATTTTAAGAAGCATTTCCTTTAGAAAAATGTCCAGATAAGAATGCAAAAATATTAGTTAACTTTAAAATTAAATAAATAGGAGAGGTGGATTAGGAGTATTATTTCAATAATTAAATAGATTATAAACTACAGACCATTCTCTTGATTTGTCATAAACTTCATTTTTAACTCCAAGCAAGATAATTCAAGAATCAAAAACTGAAAATAGTGGTATAGTAAAATGTAATTAAATTAGAAAAGAAGGATTATGATTCCGATCTTAAAGTTTAAATTTAGAAATTTAAATTGAAATTAAATGATATGATTGAAAAGGAACATCATTAAGAAATCATTTTGAGTTTTGAATAATAATTGTAAGAATTAAATACAAAATTAAAATCGTATATAAATGAAAATACTATGATTAATGCTCAATTAAAAGCTAAATAATTTGTAATAGATTAATAAACCAATGAAATTGCTTAATTGAAATCAAAATTAAATGAATAGGAATTTGAAGGTGAAGAAAATTGTAAGATTTAATTAAGTATTTTAAATGAGAAAAATAAATAATTAGAAAATTTGATAAAAGAGTAAAAATAATAAATAAATAATTTGAATAATATAATAGCAGAATAATAGGTTAATAGAAAAGAATCATTTAATTCAAATGAAAATAATTAAATTGATCAATTAAATGAATAAATAGAGAAATTATAGAATCAAATAAAAGAGAAAAATGAATAAATGTAGAATTTAAAAAATTTAACATCAGGAACTATAATAGCATTATAATAAAGGAATGAATGTTTGGAAAAAAGATTGAATCAATAAAAGGAAATTATAGAGAAATAAAAAAATTAAGATGTATATTTCCAATATATAATTAGTAAGTAATGAAAGGAATATCCAGTAATGATTCAAGTATATTGGTTGAAGAATTATAGTCAGTTTTAAGTATAAAGAAACATGATATCGAAACTTTATAGTAGAAATATGAATAAGAGTTGGCAAAAAAGGAGGAGATTGTCTAGAATTTATAGCATAAATTGGAAGAATCAATGAGAAAAGAATTAGATACTAGTAAAACAAGTTAAGATTCTAAAAATTAAGTGTATTAATTAGAGAAATAAATTGAAGTGTAAACAAATCAGTAAGATAAATCCAAAGTAGAACAACAAATGGTTAGGCTAAGAAGTCAAGTCCAATAGTGGCAATCCAAATGGGAAAACAACCAAAAAGTACTTAGCGATTACAATAATGAAGTATAACAGATGCAAAGACAAATTGCCGATGTTCCATCATTCATTGAAGATCAAAGAGAACTTCCAGATTAGTTATTCTCATTGAAAAAGGCAATATAAGGAAAGCTTTAAGGCTATTAATAGTCACAAATATTTTTAGAATAGAAGGTTCAATAATTGTTATAAGAGTTAGAAATATGTTCATAGAAATTGAAATTGGAATAAAGTTAATAAGTAATATAATATAAGTATAGAGTGTTCTGATTCTTAATACCAAGAGTAGATGCATGAATATAGTGAAGAAATCTCACGATTAAATTCTTAACTTGAATAGTATTATAATATAATATTTTCTTAGAAAGACTGAAGAATTTAAATTGATGTCTTAGTAGGAAGAACAATAAAAATAGTAATTCTTAGAAATCTCAAAATAATTTGAAGAATCGAAATCATAACTTAATAATGTTAGGTAAAACATGATGAAATCTAAATAATCTTTGGCTGAAGCTTTATAAGAAAAGGTTTTATTATAAGCTAAAATTTAAGAATACTAAAAATCAATCAAAGAAAAAAATGCAGAAATTTAACAGGCATAAGAATTAATTAATGAACTTGAATAATTTAATATTTAAATGGAGGAAACTATTTCTTAAACTCTTGAATAATATAAACTTTAAATCTAATAAACTAAACAATCTTATGAAAAAGAAAAAAAATGGAGATAGGAATTATAATAATAAATTCTTATTCTCAAAGATGAATCATCCAAAATTGAATAAGGAGTAATTACTCCATAAAATAATGCTATTGAAAAAAAATTAAATTAATGTAACTGTTAAGAATAACTAAAATAAAATTAACATTTTATTGATGAATTATAATAATAAATAGCAGAATTATAATTATATAAATTAGAACAAGGAATTTAAAGAAATAGTATTCATTAAATAAGAACAAGTATTTATGCAAGTAAGAGAGAGTCATTAATTTTTCAACAATCTGAAGATAAAAAAGAAGATTTTTTTAATAATTAACGGAATATTAATTAAAATGATATTGGAAGAATTAAAGAGTTGGAAGAATATATCAATCATTTAATAAATGAGAAAATTAAAGTATCAAGAGATTACCAAAGTGAATTAGAAAAAGCACTTTAAGCTAATGATGAATTAGAAATGAAATATACTAAGTTATTATAAGAATTAGAACAAAGTAAAATTAAAATTGGAGATATTTTCAATGCTGCAATTGAGATTGGAGGAACTCCTTTAGTTGACTAACTTTAAATTGCATTCGGTATATATGAATGAATATTTATATATATATAATTAATGAATTAATAAATAGTCATACCAAAATCAATTTATTTTAAAGAAGGTTCATATTATCTCATTATAAATGCGAAACCAAATTCAAAAATCAGCTAAATTACAGGTATTTCTGATGAAGCTGTTGATATAAATATTGCAGCACCACCTAAAGATGGAGAAGCAAATGCTGAATTATGTGACTTTATTGCCTAAACTTTAGGAGTAAAGAAAACAGCTATTTAAGTTTAAAAAGGAGGAAAGGGAAGAAATAAATTAATTTAAATAGATAGAAAGTTCAAAGACATAAACGAATTTTATGAAAAGCTAAAATAAGGATTGTGAATTTAGTTTATTTAATCATAATTTTGCCATAAACATAAATTTCATTCTAAATATATACTTTTATTTTCTTTATGTACATTATGATAATAATAATCTCATAAATTAAAAAGGTTGGAAGTATATATTTTTCAATAATATTTAATTAATAATTATTAAATACCGCCAATTTAAAATGAGCACAATAAGTCGAGAGGAATATGCTAAGAAAATGAGATTGGCATTATCAGACAATCATATATGTAAACCTGATGGAACTGTTAATCATTAATATTTCTTAGTCAAAAAAGGATAATATTGGGGAGAAGAGAAAATACAATTCTTAATTGAGTAATTAGAAAAAGTTGGCGTAGGAAATTGGAAATTAATGTAAAAGGGATTATTAGAATAAACTGTAATTTTATTACTTAGGTTTTTAGAGTGAAATTGAATTAGAATTAAGAACTTGTTTATTATTTAAAACAACAGATATTTAACCATATATGGAGAAAAAATTCACAAAAAATGAAATTGAATAAATAGCTTAGTAAAACATAGAAAAAGCTTAGCAATTAAGTAAATTGAAATATGGAGTATTCGTTGTTTGATATTTTTATATATTAAGAATATATGATATTTTAATTTACTTCTCATTTTTTTGCATATTTTACTTTGAGTTAACACTCTGGTGTAATTTTAAAATTACTAAGTCCTTTTAAAGCTACAGTTGCTTGTTCATCATTTTAATATTCAACAAAGGCCAAACCTCTTGCATTAATTAATTTAATTAGAGAATAACCGGGATATTGTCTGAATAACTCTTATAACATAGTTTCATTGACAAATGGAGGTAATTATTCTATCAATAACACATTATTAACTTCTCCTTAATTGAAAACATTATTGTTATGCAATTTGTCTTCTAATTTTTTTTATTTTTTTTCTTTGATCAAATCTGTAGGTAAGGTTGGTTACAATTCTTTTTATTATTTCTATTTGTAATAAAATTTGCCTTCCATTCTATCAAAAATAACACTTTTCTTATAAGCAAATTCAATAATCTAAATAAATAGATATAAATACAAGAGGTTTATCATAAACAATCATTCCAGATAGAGCTGATTTGGCATTGGTGGCATAAGTAATATTTTAAAATACAATAAAAGCTTGACCTCTTAATTTTTATGTTTTTTTCATTACAATCTATAAGACTTCTCCAAATTAAGAAAAGAGAATATATAATACAAATTTAAGATCTTCTAATTTAATTTTATCATTAAGTCCAGTGACATAAAGAGTTTCTTTGGGAGCTGAATCCTAATTAATTTATTATGCTGGATGAAGATAAGGTAAATTCATAAAATTTAATTTAATTTATATAAATATATCAAACATCAACTTTTTGTTCATCAGAATCTCTAACAAACTCTAATTTTAAATCATGATAAAATTTAGTAAGATGTACTTATGCAATTGCAGTGCTATTAGCAATAGATTAAGGTTATTATGTTGTTTTTTATTACTCAAGTAAAGGTATAGCTTAAGTAATTTTATTTTTTAAGCTATTGATATATTATAAAATGGGTTAGACTATTTTATCATTTTATTAAGATGTATCTTAAGAAATAGAGAGAATAGCAATTCTGTGTAAAAAATAGTCATCTCCCCACCACAATTCTTAATCTTAATCAAAGTTTTTGTCCATCAAACAATTTATTATGATTATGGTCTCAAGTAACAGCTTTTTAAGTTAAAAATATAAATCTTACTTATGTAGTTTCATTAGCTAGTAATTCTTTGATGTTATTACAATCATGAGATTGTTCTTTATAAATTAAATAGTTGTCATAGTAGTATTCTAAGACTTTCAATTTAATCTTTAAAGCTTTCTCAGTATAATCATTATAACATCTTAAGATAATTTCTGATTTGCTTTCAATAATGGTTGCCATTCTATCACAAGAGTCAAATTAAATTTATTTCTTTTTCATTAGATCAGCAAGGAAAGTCTTGACTGGTTTAGTTCTCATGAAATTAGCCAAATCATTTGAATCACAATATATAAGTGCTTCTTTTGAAGTAGGTTAAGATTAAGGAGATGCTTAAGTTTATGAAATGCGAATTTCAAATTGTTAAGATGGCTTGGATTTACGTTTTGAACATTGAATTCCCATTTTTATAAAAAGTTTAGAATCAACTTAATTTCTATAGAATATGAGTATATTTTATTGATAATATCAATAATTTGAATCCCAGTTTGGATCTCTTGCTTTTTCCTTTTTATAAGGTACACCAATTTAATTAATTTCCTTAGAGGCTAATTTACCATGAATAATAGCAGATTGGATATCTTTTTCTTAAATCATTCTAGATTTCTTAGGAAGAAAAGGAGGTTTTAGTTCTTTATCCATTAACTTATCCTAATCATAATAAATTAAAATATATACCCAATCAAATTTATCAAACCAAGAATTAGCTTTAAGAGATGCATATCCTCCTCCTAAACGTACTTCTGGTGTTTTAGATAATAACTATTCTATAAACTTTTTTGCTTTCTTATCTTTCATAAAAGGAGGAAATGTGATTGACTTTTTTTAGATTTCTTCATAAATTTCATAAGGATCATCAGCATCTTCTGCATATGGTACTCCACCACACATAAATTCATATAAACAAACACCAATTGACCAAAGATCAACACTAAATGTATATCCTTTACCTGTAATTATTTCAGGAGCCATATAATGAGGAGTACCAATAATTGTATATGTTCTTATAGATTTCTAATTCAAAAACTTAGCTGTACCCATATCTATCATTTTTAAATAACCCTTATTATATTTATTTTAATTTATACTTTCTCATCAACCATAATATTTTCTGGCTTGATATCTCTATAAATAATTTACAATTTATGTAAATACTCAACACAAATCAAAAGAGAACCTATATAAAATTGTGAATCACTTGTAGTGAGTAAACCTATTTCTCTTATTGCATCAAATAATTCCATTCCTTTTATAAATTCAACCAAAAAGTATATATAATTCTAATCCTTCATACTTTTATAAAACTACATCAAGAATGGAAAATTAATTGTAGTCAAAACCTATTTTTCTTACTTATTTTTTATAATATAAATTTATTACAGCTAAATGTCTTTCTAAATGTTACTCGACAATCTATGATTTACTTATACATTTTAATGCATATAATTTATCCTCTTAAGCTGTCCTTACTAAATAAACATTACCAAATTATCCTTATCCTAATTTTTTTATACATATTAAATTATCTAATTTTAAATTTGAATAATCCCTCTTTTAATGAACACTAGTTCTATTTAAATATTTTTATTCATGAGAATTCTCATTTTTTTATATCATTTATTCTACACTACCTCCAATCATTTCAAAAAACATCTTTATTTCAAATTCTGCGATAATGGCCTCATCTGTCTATACTTAAATTGCTTCAATTAGTTTATTATCTGAACTCTATGATTTTAAAAACTATTCTCCAAATATCTTGCCTTTACCCAATATTAATTTTTTTGAAGGAATCTATAGACCTTAGAATTACGAAATAAAGTGTTACTGTAGCTATTTCTCCCTCTAAAATTATGTAAACCTTTGTACAAGGCTATCCTGTTTTTATTATAATTTCATTTTTCTCATAATGAACCTATCTAATATGTTGCAAAATCTTCTCTATCTAAATTGAAGTCAACTTTCCCAATAATTAACTCTATTATAAAGCCCATTTCTAAGTATTTATATACTTGACAGTTTATATTTTTTAACCTAATATTCTCTATATATCATCTTTAGACAAAGATAAACATCTAACTTCTTCTTCAGCTGCTTTAACTGTAGCTGCTCTTTAACAACTTTAATATAAAGCAGCTTCCCCAAAGGATTCTCCAGCAGTCATCTATGATACTTCCTTATCTCCCTTTATTATAGCCACTTTCCCTTTTTTAATAATATAAAATGAATTTGCAATGTCCCCTTCAGAAACTATTATTTCTCCTTTCTTAAAAACCAATGTTATTAATACACTAGAAATTGCATCTCCTTATTCTTCTGTTAAAAATGCTTTTATATTATTTCATTTAAATTACAAAAAAATTCAACTTTCTTCATAAATTCTCTATTCTCTTCATAACTTCTCTAATTTTATTATTCTACAACCTTTCTAAAAGTATTTCTGTCTATTGCCCAAAATGCACAATCTAATTCATCATATAATATTATACCTCCAATAGCTTTTACACTTGCACTTCTAGGTGCATTATAAAGCATTGCTAATTCACCAAAAGCATCTCCACTTTTTAATGTTTTTTTAAGTTCTCCATTTATTATAATCTAACACTAACCTCTCTCTATTAAAAAATATGAACTAGCCTTATCTCCTTACTTAAATACAAATTGCCCATCTGCAACTGTACAATAAAACATTTAATCAACTACATATTCTATATCACTCTAAGGCACAGATTTAAATATAAAATGCTCATTGAAAGCATTTAACATTAATTAGTAATCAAAAGGAGATTTTCTTTTTTCTACCTTCTTGATATTTTCAAAAATCTCCACTGTGTCTGATACTGCATTTATTTTTGCCTATTTCTTTTTATCACCACGTTTAAGCTTATGTAAATAATTATTATTTACTTCTATTTATTAAACTTCTTAATCTTACTAATCTTCCTCTCCATCATCATCATTTTATTTGTGAGTTGTCTTTTTTGATACTGTTGTTCCATTTTATTAAGGAATTGTTATTGTTTCTCCTTTTTTATTTACGTTCTCACTTCTACCTGATATTAACTCCATATTCTCAGAAGTAAATTATTGACAACGACAAGCATTACCCATTTTTTTTAAATAAAATACAATAAAAATCAATTATTTCTTATACTTTATGTAATATACTTTCTCTATTAAAACTTTTATCCAACAAATATGTCATCAAAACCATCATTTAAATACATATACTTTAAAACTTAATATTTATTTATAGAATATAAGTCTCATTCACATCATTTGTGAATACTCAAGTTTTATTAAACAATTACTTTAAATAATAATTTAATTAAAAAAATTATATTTTTTGTTATATCTAATTAAATGTTTGAAAGGAATGAAAGTTAACAGATTTTAAAAAAGAACTTTATATTATGAATCAATTAACTCTTATTTTCATGGAGTTGATGATGGTGGATTGTATTCTTTACAGGGAACACAAAGTTTTTTAGTTGAATCCCAGATATAATTATAAAATGAATTAACTAAACAGTTAGAATAATCTAAATGTGAGACATCTTTAGCTTCTTTGCAATTAGTTCCATCCCATTAACAAAGAATAGTTCCATCTTCAATAAAATTTTATCTTTATAAAATGCATGTAGTTTCTGAAGTGAAATCTGAACAAGCAATTGGTTAACATTTGTTATCTTTCCATTGACATCCTAGTCCTTGTCCAAAGATAAAACATAATTCTTCACTGATTTAAGCATCACAATATCGAATATCAATGATATTACAGGTATTTTTGTACCAATAGCATAATTTCCATTAACTTTAGAATCCAGCACAATCATCTTCAAAATTTCCACATGGAGCCAATTCATAATTAGTACAATAGTTTCCATTTTCTGTTGGCATACAAAACTAATTTAAATCTTAGTTTCCTATTTTATAGCAGTCAAAAGCATCATTCATAAAATAATCAGTACATTTAGTGAATTCAGCACATTTGGATATGTTCCATGAACAATGTGAAATTGCATTACACTTATCTTTATTATAATATTGACTGCAACTCCTATCTGAACAGATTGTAGTACTCCATATACAATGGGGTTATTCTAAACATGCAGTTTCATTTGGGAACTTTGAACATGAACATTAATCTTTAAATGAGACAGGTATTGATTGTCCTAAAAACATTAGAAACAATAAAACTAAAATTTTCATATTAATATTTTAATTGAAAATAATTTTATTTATTTCCCCTTAAATTATAGAGTTTTTTTGTTTAATTTTTGAGATGAGTTTAATAGATGAAAAGTATTAGAAATAATATTAGTTATTTATTGTTGATAAAAAACAATGATAAAATTTTAATTAATATATAATAATATAATTAATAAAATGTATTTTAGAAAGGAGAGAGTGAAACTTCACGGGAAAACAAACTTTGAATATCGATCATTAGGTAGAAAAAGACCAGAAGATGCACCAAGATTAGAGTTTTTATCAACACCAAGAGAATAAAAATTTGATTAAGTAATAGCAAAGAGATTAGCAGCAACAATATAAAATCCTCTTTCTTAATCTTAAGAATTTTATAAAAGTGCTCATAAAACAATGAAATAACATCCTGAAATAAGTCGACCAAGGTATATAATTAATAAGATAGTAAGATTTGCCCATTTAGAAGAGAAACCAAGACGAAAACCAGTTTGGGTTGGTGATTCATATTTAGTATATACAGATGTAGAAGGAAGAGAAGTAGGAAGATATAATCAAGATGGATAATAATAAAGTAATAGTATTTTGGTATGTCAGCTACATAGAAAGCTGATCTTGCTTAAGCTAAAAGAGATGAACATGGTTAAGCAATATAGGAAACTTAATTAGTTGGGATGGAAGAGTATGCTAAAAATACATTAGAAGGAAAAGTGGATATAACTAAAGTAAAGGAGATTAGAAGAGCGATAAGAAGAAGATATGCTAATCGTAAGAATTTTTAGAAGATTTTTACATTGTGGGATGAAGAAGGAAAAGGAAAAGTTACTGTGAAGAATATTTATCATATGATTAAAAAGTTAGGATTAAATATGAATCTAGATGAAGTTAGAGTATTAGTAGCAAGTGCTGATGAAGATTTAAGTGGAGATTTAAATTTAGATGAATTTATGAATTTAATATTTAATGATAATGAAGCTTTAAATGTGGATTTAGGAAAATTAAAAACTCTTAATGGGGAATAAGAATAATAATTATTAGAAGGAGAAGATGATTAAATTTAAGATGTTTTAAGAGAAAAAATGCATGCTCAAGTTGAAAATAGATAATTTAATTAATTGAGTCTAATATTAAAGAATAAGTTATCTTAGTTAAATAATTCATTTATAGAATTAGATCCATCTAAATAGGGACATGTTAATTTTGAAAGATTTAGTGAAGCTATTTAGAAGTAAATTTATTATATTTATTTATTTAGATTATAAATATCTGAAAAAATTGTTAATGATGAAATTATTAAGAAGTTTTATGATAAATTTAAAAAAGATGAATATTAAATAGATTATAGAAACTTTTTAAAACATTTAAAGGAATTTGAATTATAAAGTTAATATTAATAGAAAGAAGAAAAGAAATAAAAACCAGTTATGACAATTTCATTAAATCCTCTTTAAGAAGAAGAGAAAGTACATATATTTGATTATACAAAAATTAATTCACATCATTTGAATAATATAAGATAGAGAGCAACAAGAATGATGAAAGTTTTATAAAGATACCTACCTGAAAAAAATTAGTTTATTGAATAGATTTTAAATCCTATAAAATCTTAATATATAAATGCTCCAGATCTTACTAATTAACTTCAAAATTATTTATAAAATTGTGGTGAAAAAATTGACACTAAAGATCTAGGAGCATTACTTTCTATTATGCAATATAATAATTTATAAGTTCCAAAAGATATGGTTGGATTTTATATTTATGAAGAAGGTGATGATGATTTTTATGAGAGATGTTCTTAGAAAAGAAAAGGTCCTGCTCCATTAAATAAAGCTGTTGAATTAACACTACCTGCTTAAGATACTTAAAAATCTACATTTTATGATCCAGGATTTGGATTATCATCTTTATCAAATAAATTTTCACCTGAAATGGGTTAAATGTTATAAAAAGTAGAATAATGTATTTTTAGAGCAAGCGCTCGTTAATATGATATATACAATTCATTCGATAAAGATAAAGATGGTAATTCTTTTGTTTAATATTAGGTTTTATTTCTCATGAGGATTTAAAAAAGAAATTATAAGAATTACATATATTATCAAATAATGAAGAATAATTACTCATTCATTATTTGGATCCAGAAATGAAAGGTTCAGTTAATTTTTAAGAATTTTCATCTAAATTGTATCCTGGAATGACATTATATGATAGTAAAGGTAGTGTTGGAGTTGTTCCTTCTCTTTATCCAGCAAAAGAAAGAAATGAAAATATGAAAAGTAAATTACCATAAATAACACGATCTTTTGAAGATAAATCCTAAAGCATGTAATAATTAAAAGCAGCAACTCGTTTTGGAGCTACTCCTTAACATAAAAATACATTTTTAAATGTTCAAAGACCTCCTTAAGATTCTGCTCTTTTTTTAAATGAAGATGGAAGATTTGAGAAAAATGCTCATTTACGTTATTTAAGGGAGGATCAAGAAAAAGAAAAAAACATTTATGAGAATAAATTAAATCGTATTCGAAAACATCAGAATGAAATCCAAGAACGAATCGAATAGAACTATCAATTGTCATTGTAAAAGGATAGTGAAAAATGTAAAGTTAAAGGATTAGCAGCATGGAGTTATGAATAGAGAGCTCATATGTAAAATGATTGGAAATGAAACATTTATATATTAATTCTTGATACACCAATATTTTGATATTAATTAATATAATATTATAAATTCTAATCTAGTAATCTATTTCAAATTTTTAAGATAAAGAGTACTAGAATTATTGATTTAATAATTTATTGGTATTTAGGATCTATTGTAGGGGGAGGATCTGTAATTGTATTATTAATTTCTTTAGTAGATCCACATTTTTCACATCTGGAACTTGTACTATTCCATGAATGCGTTTAAAGACTTTTTGAGTAACATCTATTTTATTAAAGCATATATGGTTCTCCTGATACACATTTTGATAACTTATTTTTAATACATATAGTTTTTATTTCTTTTTCATCAAAACTTAAAATTGGAGAACAATTAGGACTATCCTCACAAGTGATATTATAACAAGATGTAATTGTGATGTTATTTTATTTTTCTGAATTAAAATGGCAAACCTTAGATTTTTTTAAACAAGAAATTTAACTTTAATTAGCATCTTCACATTTAGTCATTAATTAACATTTATCGTCATTATTAAAAATACAAATACCATCAATTCCCTCAGATTCACATTCAGCTTCAGTTATATAATCAGAACATAACTTTCTTTCTAGACATTTATAGCCATTAGAAATACAACCAGATTTTTATTAAGAACAAGCTTATGTTGTCTCTTCTTCATAATCTTCACAATCTTTAACTCTACATTATTTAGTACCAGAATTTTGATTTTTGAGGAAAGTAAAAATACAAGGACCATCCGTTCCTTAAAAACAAGATTTTATCAAATATTTAGAGCATATTTACTAATTAATGCATTTATCTCCATCAGTTGTGCATTTCAATTAATCATTATATGATGAACAATATTAATGAGTCATTATTTATACAAGAGGAATATCAGAACATTCTTATTTTCTACAAATAGGTGTATCTTTTCGTGTATCCCAAAAACAAATACCATCATTACCAGATGAATTGCAGCCCTCCATAGTTAAATATGATTTACAATCTCCAATTGGAATACATTTTGTACCATCAGAAGTACAATTTGCAGAATAATATTAACAGTCTTTTTTTGTACTACCAAAAATATCTTCACATTATTTAAATAATTGACAGCCTAACTCTTAGTTTGCTTATCCTATAACCCAACCACAAACACCATCAGTTCCTTTTATACAACTTATGATATTTTTATACGAAGAACATTTAGATATTGAAATACAATGTTCTCCATTAGAAGTACAAAAATCAGAATAGATTTAACATTAAGAGAATGTAGTTTCTTTGATATCTGAACATTAAGAGAATGTGACACAACTTTTAGTACTATTTATCCAAAGACATGGATGATTTTTATAATCTTTAATACATTTTGTTTTGGCATTTAGATTTTCACACCTATAATTTTTATGAGTACATCCAAATCCTGCAGTTTTGCATTCTGGTGATATTTATTAACAAAGTTCATCTTCAGAATATGATTTAGGAGCATCTTCACATACTTTGTCTCTACATTCTTTAATATCCCAAATACATTATTTTGTATAACCTAATGATACTGCACTAAGGCATGTTTATTTATTTAGATATTTATTGCAATCATTTATTTCTATACATCCATTTCCTGTTGTTGTACATTTCTTGTCTAATAATTGACAATCATCATGTTTTGATAATAATACACTTGCATCTGTACACATCCAATTTCTACATTATTTTGTAATAAAATCCCAACTACATTTCATATCCAAATTATTTATACATTAAGAATATTTTGTGATTTGCATACACAATTAAGTTTTATTAAAACATCCTTCAATAGATAAACAATCAGATCTTTCCTTACACAATTTCATTGATAACATATCACATGTATTAAAATCAATACATCCATATCCAGTGGTTTTACAACCAGGTTTAAATTGATTGCATTTTTCATCAGTGTTATAATTATTAGGAGCATCACTACATAATAATCTTTAACATTATTTAATTGTATGATCGATTCCTTTACATGGTTTATCTAAAGCATTAAATAATTAGCAAGTTTTATCAGAACCATAAAAAGATGAGCAATTTTGTTAGGTTAAACATGAAATTCCATTACTTACACATCCTTTTAAAAATGTATTGCATTCAATATCATTAGTGCTTCTTGTCATATGATAGCATTTTCTATCAATACATTAAGATTTATTATCAGCTTCGAAAAGATTCCAACATGGTTTAGTTCCTTTTTCTCCTTTGAATTAACTACATTAAGCTTAAGTTCCAAAATAACTAGAACATGGTTCTGTATCTGGTATACAACCGATTCCTTTGCTGACACAACCTGGCATAAAATTATTACATTCTAAATCAGTTTTAGATTTTGAATCATCAGAACATAATCTATCCCTACATGTGGTAATATCAACAATACTATTAGAATAACAGATTTTGTTATTTCCTTTAAATTTAGAACATTATTCAGAATTCCCAACATAACTATTGCAAGGTTCTAAAGGAGAGAGACAACCTTTGCCATTAGTAACACAACCTTCTAAAAATGAATTACATTCCAAATCAGTGGTAGAATGTTAATCATGAAAACATTCTCTAAGGGAACATTTGGTTGTTAAATCAAGTCCTTTACATTTTTTTTCATTACCAATAAATTTCAAACAGCTAGATTTTGTTCCTCTATAAGTATTACATTATGATGTTGAATTTGTACATCCTTTTCCAGTTGTTTTACATCCTTTTAAGAATTAATCACATTAGAAATCATTGACAGCTGTATTATTATCAGAACAAACTCTGGTTCTACAAACCTAATTAGAATTATTAGGATCTTAAAAACAGAGCTCACCACTTAGAGTTGTTACTTATAAACATTATTCACTATTGTATCCAATATAATGTCCACAAACTTATTAAATATTAACACATTTGATTCCATCATATGTACAACTAGGAATATATTTATTGTTAACTATTTAACCAATATAGTTAGAACATACTTCAAAATCATATGTTTCTAATCTATTTGAGCATTCCTTCTTAATACAATTATAATCCATACCTGAAGTATTCCTAATATCATACCAACATTAATTATTATTAGCATCAGTTAATAATGAGCATAATTCATTAGTACCTATATATTCATTACAACTAGCTCTTGCTTACATACATTTAATTCCATTAAATCTACAATTAGGTAAATGTTTGATGCAATTTTCTATTGAAGCATTTTAAATATAATCATCACATGATGCATCTTTACAAATTGTACTGGAACCTTAATACCAACATGATATATTATTTTTAGTTTTGACAAATTAACAAGCTTCTTAAGAGAATCCAGTATATTCAGAACAAGTATCTTTTGCATCTTAACATCTAATTCCATAATATCTACAAGTACTTAAATGATTAACACATTCATAAGGTGAGAAATATGGTAAATTATCTTAACATGTTCTTTTCACACAATTAGTACTTGATTCCTTAAACCAACATTTCTCTCCACTTTTTGTAGTAACTTCTTTACAAGCACTGATAGTAAAATTAACATAATTCCCACATTACTCTTATTCATCAACACATTTATTATCACCATCAAATCTGCACTTATTTAAATGTAATCTACAATTCTTATCTGATGGTGATTCAACACTATCATTACATGATCTTTCTGAACAGGGTCCATCTTTATCATCTTATTTCCAACAATTTGTTAAATATCTACATTCACTTTGACTTAATGTTAAATAATCAGAACAATTATTCTATTTCTTTGTACATTTAATTCCAGTATAAATACAACTAGAATGATGTTATTAACATATCTCACTTGAATAGTTTGTTAACATTTCTGTACAATCTCTACTTCTACATTATCCATCTTTCTCATACCAACATCCTTATCCTCCTAAATCTTTTGCATCTTTACAACCCTATTCACTAAAACCAATATACTTTGAACAACTTTATTAAACCTCTTCACATTTATCTATACCATTAAATATACAATTCTTTTTAAATTATGAACAATCCATTTATGAACTTACATTTATTGCATCTTTACATTTACGAATAGCACATTACAATTCTACTTCTCCATAACTACAATAATCACCATCTAAATTCACCAAATTTTAACATTATTCTTAAGAATATCCATAATAAGATTCACAATAATTTTTTTCTATACATTGTCCACCATCAAATGCACAATTCTCTAAGTATTCTTCACATTCTTTAAGAGATGTAGGATTTTATACATCTGAACATTTACGATCTTCACAATAATCTACTCTTACACATTACAACCCATTTCCTCTATATCTTGAACATGTATCCTCATCTCCTTAATAAGTCTCACAAGATAATTCTTTATTTTAGCATCCCTTCTCATTAAATACACATCCTTCTAAAAACATTTCACATTCATAATCACTCTATGCATCAATATTGTGACTACATTCTTTAACTGTACATTAACTAGGAAATGTTTAATCATACCAACATTTTTATCCATTCCCAACAAATTTAGAGCAATCTTGGATTGAATTTCCAACATATTATGTACAATGTGCTGTTGATGGAATACATCCAACTCCTTTTGTAACACATCCAGATTTGAATTAATTGCATGAATAATCTTCTAGAGCTGAAATATTGTCATAACATTCTAAAGGACGACAATTACCTATTTGTCCAAAATTTTATGAACATTTTTGATTTAGAGTCGAACATTTTTAAGTATCTCCATAAAATAAACTACAATCTGCATTTTGATCTACACATCCATATTATCCTGTGAATAAACACCCTTCTAAAGTATCAGTGCATTCTTTTTGAGATTGAGCATATAAATTATCTTAACATTTTTTTGATCTACAGTTTTTTGTAGCAGAATCAAAAACACATGGAATTTTTCGATTATTTCCTTTAAATAAAATACAAGTATCTTCATCTCCAAAGTATTCTTCACATGGACTTTAAATATCAACACATCCTTTTCCATTATAAATACAATTAGGAAGAAAATTAGAACAATCTGTATCATTCTTAAATTCTTAGGTTGCATGTTTGCATTATTTTTCAACACAACTTATGCCATCCCAAAAACATTAAACATTAGTTGAATATCTCATACAAATTCCTTTAGTAAGTAAACTTCCACATTAATTAGAAACACATTGTTCTGTCCATTAACATTTTTGTCCTCCTAAACTAACGGTTTCTTAACAAGTGATTTTCTATAAAGTATTAAGACAAGTATCAGTTTTGACACATTTAAATCCATCAGTTAAACAATAAGATTAAATACCCTTGCATTCCTCATTAGTTTTAAGATTAGCAGTTTCACATAATTTAATAGTACAATATCCATTTTCTCCTAATGTACATTTTCCTTCTGTTCCTACATATTTATTACATTTATCAGAATCACCAATATATTTTGAGCAACTCATCAAAAATAGAGTACATTCAACACCATTTGAAATACAACCATTTTAATACTCAGAACATTCGCTATCTGTTGATAGTAAAGCATCTGAACAAATTCTAGCCTTACATTCTTAAGATTACTCATAACTTCCACCTGTACATTTTCCATCTGCTCCTCTTCTTTTTTCACATTCATCTCTCGTTCCTTTATAAGAATTACACTTTAATAGAATAGAGACACAACCAATACCAGTTGTTTTACATTTAGAAGAATATGATTTGCATTATTCATCAGTAGAATATAATTTTGGAGCACTTTCACATTTTCTAGCTTAACATTTTCCTTACAATCCTTCTTCACATTTACCACTACTTCCAATATATCTTAAACATGTTTCACTATCTCCAGTGTATGTTGTACATGGTTTCAATGCTTAATCTGTACATCCAATACCAGTTGTTCTGCATCCTTTTCTAAAAGATTGACATTATTGATCAGCATAATATGTAGAAGGAGCATTTGAACATTCCTTAGATTAACATTTATCATTTTTCGATTCACATAATCCATCAATTCCAATCATACCATCACAATCTTTATCATAATGATAACAATTTCGTTTCATTGTTGTACAACGTCTTCCATTAGTTACACAACCTTTTATAAACTAATCACAAGCTTCATCACTTGTGAAATCCTTTTATACTTCATCACAATTTTAATCTCTACAAATATCTTTATCCCATTTACATTTCTTTGATCCTGATGGACTTTAAACCATATTACATAATTATTCTGTATTATTTAAATTACATTCTCTAGGATTTATACACTAAACTCCATCACTTGTACATTATTAACTTATTTATTAACAATCTTAATGAGTGTTTTTAAGATAACTATCACATCCACTAAAATAAGAACATTTATCATTAAAATAAGCGCAACCTATTTATCTTGAACAATCTTCAGATGAGAAATCCTTACAATAAATACTTTCTGGTTTATTAGGTGTTTCCACTTCTTCCTCTTTTTTTTAACATGCATTTTTTAACCATTAACATTCTTTATTTTATTAACAATCATTCTCTGATTTTAATTACAAACATGAACATTTATCGGATACTATTATGTTACAATGTACTGACAATATCAAAGTTAACACTGATATATGATACACACTTATATTCATTCAATTTTAATTAATATTTATGAATAGAAGAATTGTGTAAATATTCGGGGTCTAAGGATATCCGTAATTCATCTCAGAACAATTTTAGTAACATTATCAAAAATTATTGTTTGTGTAATTTTAATTATTCCATTAGAGACCATATGAAAATCCACTACATTTACAAAATCAACTCACTATATGTATTTTTCAAAATTATCATTAATTCTAAACTTTGAAAAATTCAATTCGAATTTTAAAACATTAAAACATCCCTTTTTATGTCTTAGGTATAGGATGCCCACCTCTTGATGACACATAAGAATAAGAAGTATTTACATCATTCTAATAGTATCTACAATTCAATGTTATTCTTCTAGATAATTTTTCATTACAATTTTGTGATTTAGAAGAACTTCATTAAGATTAACCCATAGATTTAGCTTAATTAAAGGATTTCAAGAATTCATAAAAATGTTGTCATATTTCTTGAATTTATATATAAATATTTTTGTTTAAAATAAATGGACTTAGAAAAATACTTAGCGCGATTTCCTAATTCAAACACTAACCTTAATAAGTTCATTTAAAAGGATATTCTAAACCTATAATGTACCTACATTCCACCAATAGTTATACTTCATAAATAATCATAAAAAATAGATTTCTCAGAGGTTATGAGTCTTTTGTAAAATTTTCAAAATTATAATACTCGTGACTTTCGATAAAGTCATCTTGATTTTGATGGGAAAACATGTATTGCATTATTTTTATTTAGTTTATGTTACTATTCATGATGAAAAGAAATGTATTTTAAAGGATGGAGAAGATAATGCTTTGGTTATTATTAATTCTTAAAATATTATTACAGTTGGTCTAATAGATTCCTTTTCAAAGTGTAAAAAATATTTCCTCTAAACTTTATATCTGTCTGATAAATTGAAAAATGATAATTATAAGTAATTATTTTGATTTAATATTATGAAGTTTTAAATATCAAAAAGTCATTTTCTAACTTAACCATACATCTCTTATATAGATAGTTTAAAAAGCAGATAAAATATTCTTAATTATTTTAATTTTTGTATATAAATTAATTCTTAATTTATATCTTCTTTTTGCTATTTTAATCTATCTAATTCATATTTGAGCTTTTTTTCATTTAATAAATTTGTTTTAGAGACTTTTATAAAATTATTATTGTCTGTTTATAAAGAAGAGCAAAAAATCTGGTTTTTATCAATTATTCAATTTTTTTTTTAAATATCATTTATTAAATTTTGTTTATTTTAGCTCAAGACATTCACATTTGATTAAAAACATTTGCTAAATTTAAATTGATTTTGATTAATTATAAATTGATGGTAAAATATAAAAATTCAATATTCTTTATCTTCAAGATTGTAATATTAAAAAAAGTAGAGTTTATAAAAATCTAATAGATTAATTAGGTAAAGCATCTTAAATAAATCTGCTTTTCTTTTAATGAAGTGTATTAATTTATATTTAATAATCCATAAAATAGGATTCTTCTTTATATATTTTATTTTGATACTAAATAATTTTAATTTTTTGCTGTAAATAATTTTGAATAATTTAAGTTTTGTTTAGATGAAGTAAGTAATTGTAAATAAGTAATTAATATTTTGAATAAGATAAGTTTAAAAGAGTGATTGTATTTAAGAATGATGAATATCTATATAAAATATGGTAAATTGATTTATATATTAATAAATTCCCAAAATATTATGTTGGGAAATTTGAGTGTATAAATATGCAGAACAACAACTAGCCAGTTGCCTGCATAAGATCTCAACGAGACCTACATCATATAAAAGCATGTAGGCTAAGGAAAATATGGGTGATTTAATACTCTATTAAGTAGATAGGTCTTTAAGGCTTAAAACAAATAAAATAAGTAGATTGTTGCCTTAAAAAAAATAAAGCAAGAGAAAGAGGCCAATGGAGTAATAGTGTTTAAGTAATTAGTTTCCACGAACGGCAATGAGAGAAATTCATTTACTTTAATAATTGAAGCATGAAAATATAGTGAGTTTTCAAGAAGTTGTCGTATAAGCTAGTAAGGAAAAAGCAGTAATTATGGTAGAAAACACTTATTTAGTCCTGGAATATATGGACACAGACTTGCATAATGTTTTGTAGAGCCGAATAGTATTTAGTTTAGATTAAGTTCGATGTTTGATGTTTTAAATACTTAATGCTTTATCATATTTACATTCTAGGAATGTATACCATAGGGATTTGAAGCGTATCCACAACTATATTTTAAAGCTAATAATATACTATATAACGATAAGGGATAAGTAAAGATTTGCGATTTTGGAATGGCCAATGAATTTTCAAAAATGAGACCATAAACAAAGAGAATATTGGTACCCCAATATAGAGCACCTGAAATATATCTGGGCGGCGTATTTTGCTTAGTATTTAACAAGAATAGCAATATGATTGTTCTGTTGATGTATGGTCAGCTGGAATCCTTTTTCTTGAGTTAATTGTAAAGCAAAGTCCATTTATGTTGGCAAAATCAGAATCTCAATGTTTTTCTAAAATAATTGATATATGTGGAACTCCATTGGAAGGTTAGAATTTTATTTTTTCTTTTATGGTGATTGGTCAGAGGTGAGTTCACTTCCACATTACCATGACTTTATAAATGGACCCAAAGAAAGAACATTGAGAAAGTACTTGTACGCTAATTCAAATGCCATGCCTTAACTAATTGATCTTATTGATAGAATGTTAACTTTGAATCCAGCTAAGAGAATCACTGCCAAAGAAGCATTAAAACACTAATACTTCCAATCCAGGATCGTTGTGAAGTGATTTATTATATCTTTAAGACAGAATGCCTAGAATAGAATAAGATGCATAGCCACCAAAAGATCCTCCCATTTAAAAGAAGGTTAAACAAGAGCAATAAAGATCATTAATTGACGGTGTCAAAATTAATAAATGTATATGATTATGTATTATATCTATTTAAATATTAAGTCAATCAACAAATTTGTTTATTATTTATACATTTTAACTTATCATATTAAACTAAACAACTTTTTAACTTTATTTTTTATTATAAAATATGAAAATAATCAATTATCTTCTTCTTCATCTCTATAATCAGGAAAATCTTCTTCATCTGCATTAGGAAAATCTTCAATATTATCAATCATTTTTGGAATTTCAAAGCAAAACACATTCTTAATAGATTAAAAAACAATATCATCAAAATCATAAGTAGGTTAAATAAATTCTAATTTCATTCCATCATTTTCATCATATTTTTATTCTAAACTAAAATGAGGTTCACTAGATTCTCTCTCTTAATGATAGGAAAATGCTTTAAATAATTTTGGATCTATTGGAATATATTCAGTTGAATAATTATTTTTAAATGTTTTGTATACATCTTCTTTGAATCCATCAGTATTAAATCCACTTTATGGGTATTTCTTATTATATTTATATTAATAATCTTTTAATCTAATTTCAAAACTTATAACCTTTTAAACACTATTTTAAATATTACTTAATTTATGATTAGCATCTAAATAAACAATTAATAGTTTTACTTCTAAAAGAATCAATTGGATCATCTTTTTAACTAATACTATTTCTAATAATTTCAAGTTGATTAAAGATTAGATCTTCATCAATTAAATCTGCTGAAATTTATATGTCTTAAGATAATCCAATTGAATTTTAAGATTTTTCAGCAATTATCACATACTCATCAATAGCACCAATAATTCTTGAATCAATTCGTGCAATCTCGCATGTATTGATATTAGAAAACCCTTTAATATAAAGTCTTGTATTAATAAAATTTACTAAAACTTCATTGTTTTTCAAAAAATGATTATATATTTCTTTGAATTGCCTTACCTCATTTATAGGCATTTTGAGTAATCTTTCAATTAAAATAACAATCAAAATGTATGAATTATAATATAAATTTAACATAGTGAACAATAATAATTAATAGACATATTAATTTAGTCTATATTTTAATAGTCCATTTTTATCATGAATAGCGATCTAAAACTAGATATGATGATTTTTACATCTAATATCTAATTGAATAATTATTAACCTTTGTAAAACTCTTCAAAAATAGTTTCAACCTATTATTACTTAAAGTAATTCTTCTTTTCTTCTTTTGGTGTATTGAAACTTGATTTTTTGATTGAATATAATGTAGCTTTTTTCTTCAAATAAAGATAATATTTTCTAATAAATGAATCGATAGATATATTTTCTAATAATTTGATAAAAAAGCTTTACTATATTTTGGATCTTTTTCAACATAATTTTCAACATAACTAATATTCATATTTGCAATATCTGAAACAAAAAATCTATATTCAATGCATCTGTCTAAGATTATTAAGTTTTTAATAATATAATTCCAATAGATTTTAGATTGTGAGGATTCAAGTTTAGCTAAGATAGTTGTGAATCCAACTTAAGGACGAGTTTCAGGATCCTTACCAGAAAGTGTAAGCATAATTGCTAGTCATGTTTTCAAGATTACCTTCAATATCAGTTTCATTTGGATAATAATAATCACCTTTATATGTGGCTGACAATCTAGCCTTTTCAAATGTTGAAGTACCTCCAAACTATACTATATTACGAACTAAATTAGTTATCATTTTATAAATGAAATAATTTAGAATAAATTTCTTAATAATCATTGCTCTAATCAATCCAACATTCTCCATTTATTAGAACTTACTACTTTCAATAAGCATTTGCATAATGTTGGTTCATCAATACTTAATTTTTTATCAATACTGTAACATTTAAAAATTACATCATGTAATGACATACTTAAAATGGATAGCGATGTATGCTTAACTATCTTAAAGTTGTACATAATAGTAAATATGTGCTTAACTCATTTTATTAACTGAACTTGATATAATTATTAAAGCAATAATTGGGATAGCATCATCAATTAATTCTATCATATAGCCAAATATATATGGATTTTATTTCACTATTCCCTATATGATAGTAATTTTAGGTGTGGTTTTATATGACTATTGGAAATTAATATAATAATAATCAAATAATACCATTCAATAGTAATAAACTAAGTTTATCAATTTAAAATAATAGTCTAATTTATTTGATAAACAATCCTCATAATGTAAAATTCAAGAAAATCCTTTAAAATCACCTGAATTAGAATGTCCTGATTAACAAAATAGTCCAATGGTTCTGGATTTGTAATGTAATGAAGAGGAAGATGTACTTGCTCATATGTATGAAATTATTGATTTTAATCCTTAGGGCATGGATTCACAATTAATCTATTTTAGTTTATAATTAAAATTTTGAAATTACCTACTAAAACTTTTTTTTAGGAAAACTAAATAATTTTCAAAATAAGGGAGGTAACAATGATTATGAATAAATCTTTCTTGAAGCGATTATAGAAATTGGAAGTCGAGAAGTAAACGATTTATTTGGAAACTCAGAAATAGATTTAGATTAAGATGGGTATTCTATAATATAAATTATTAGTTCCTTAATTTTGGATAGTACTGTACATAGTAGATACAAAATTAAAGGAGGGGTTTAAAAAATCCGATAAATGGTAGCTGTTTTATTTAATAATTATTAAAAGTATTTCTTTATATTTATTTTAGATGGAAATTCTTTACTTTTACTTTATTCAAAATAAAAAGCAATGAATTGAACTTTAAAAATATTAATATCAAAGTATTGGTGACTGAAGTAAAATCAAAACTTTATATCCTTTTTATGTTTGAGACAGTTCAAAAGGTTTCATCAAAAAGAGTACTAGATGAGCCTCTTTAATTTTAAAATGTTTTCTAAACTTTTCTATCTGAATCCAACAATTATATTAATGCTATGCATCTATTACTTCTTTTATGTTCTCATGATCATGAAAAAAATGCAGGTGTAATCTAAAAACAATATTTAAAACAAATGAGAATGAGCACATAAAAATTCATGATTTTTTTAGGAACCATGAAGGATTTAACTCTATAACTCACAAATCAACTCACTTTTAGAAACTCAACCTTTAAAGTTGTTGATCTTCTAGATGAACTCTAATTGATTTATGAGGATTGCTTAAAAATAAAAGAAATCTCTATCATTCGTATTATAGATAATGATATGATAGTTTTTAATGATTGTGATCGTGTAAAGTATAAATAATATTTAGACTAAACAAATTCTGAAATGTCTTATTGAAATTGCAATTAAATATACTGTAGCATCTAAAATTAGAATAGATATTCATTAGGTATCACCAAATAATTATTAATTTTAAATCAAAGATATTCCTTTTAGAGAAGAAAACTCAAAATCTTAATATCAAGTTGTTCTTAAAAATATTGCATAGTTAATGAAAACAAATTGTAAAGATTTTGATATGAGTAATCTATTAGAATTGCAAGTTTCTGGGATTTTATCCTTTTTACTTTCAGGTTCTCTTCGAAAACCTTTAGAATTAAATTTGGATAAACAATTTTAAGGTACTTTTACCTTTACTGTTGAATCACTTCCATTAAATATTAAACATGGTAATCATGGACAATAAATAAAGCCAAAGCGTGGATTTGAAACTTCATTATCTATGTTATTGGCATAAGCATAAGATAGTTCTCATTATAAGAATGAAGAATCAAAATACCTATCTTTTACTTAGATTTCAAAATAGTATTCACTTAAACCAGATATTCCATTTGATTTATAGAGTGCTCATTTTTCATAAATATCGAAAATTAAATAAGAGTCTCCGAAAATAAAACCTGTAAGTTCATACGCTTAAAGTAATTCAGGTGGAACAAATAAAATATAAGATTCATTGTTTCCTAAAAGTGTGAATACTAATAATCCGTCTAAAATAATTAAAAGTGATCCTGCAATGAATGAATCTTCGAAACCTATGAATAGTGCTTTAGATTTTGGAGAGAGTACAAGTCCTAATATTGATCCTCCAGAATTAAGTCCAAAGTTTTTACAATCTGTAATTAAGTTCAAATTAACAAATTAATGTTGTTCAAAAGTCATTATTGCAGATAATGATTATTTGAATGTATCTGTACTTTAAATTCTACTTAATAAATATGAAGTTAAATCTGATAAAGCATTTACATAGTAATAAACTCTTTAGCTGATTAGAAATAAGGCACTTAATCCTTGCAGATGCAAAAATGGTGCTTATTTATTATATTTTATTGATGTCTCTTTACCAGTATGTATTAAATACATATATAGCAATCAGCCGTAGCTTTGATTTAAGAAATCAAATAATTATTTAAGTCTTTGCAAGTGGATAAAGGCTTTATCATTGCAATGGCAAGTTACAGTGATATGGATTTAAAACTAAGTTGCTTTAATTCTGGAATCGATTATTTCATTGCAAAACCTTTTGATTTGTTTGAATTAACTGCTATTCTTTAATATATATAGTTTTGATCAAAAAATCATTTATCTTTAATAGCAATTTTCTTTTATTTATTTAATTTCTAAAAAATTATTTGCTCTCCTATGTATAAGGATCTTGATATCAATGAATTAGAAAAGATAAAAAAGGAAGAGGCTATGCTTTCTCTGAAAAAAGCTACAACTAATATGAAAGTATTTTATTTTATTAATTTTATTAGGAGCGTTTTGGATAATCTAATTAAGACATTTTAGAGGAAGAGTTTAAATCGAAAACTGTAGGTTTAGTCACAAGAGAAGAATTCAAAAGAAAAAGAGAGAATATTGATAGAATTTATGTTTAAGATCTTTAAAAAAAATAAGAAGAAGAAGAAAGAAAAAAGTTAGAATAAAAATTAAAGAGAAAATCAGAATATAAATTAAAGACTTCATTGTTAAGTTTTGATTTAGAATAATAAGAACTTGATGATAAAAAAAATTATGGAAAAGATAACAGCGTTGATACTTTATATCTTCCAGATATGAATAGAGAAAAAAAGATTGAAGAATTAACGAAATAATTTACAGGTATTATTGTTGAATTTGATTAGGCTTTAGAAGAATATGAAAAGAATATGGAATTATAAAGGGAGTAACTTATAGATATTAAATTTAAATATTGGGATGCATAAACTTGTACAAGAACTTTAAGAATAAGAAAAAAGACTACAATAAAAGAATTTTTAGAATTAGCTAGAAGAGAGATTATTAGAGATTTTGGATTTGTAATGACATTATTATTATGTAGTTAACTGAGTTTAGTCCTGATGATCTACTTCTTGTAGCTAATACAATGATTTTGCCTCATAAATTATGTTTTCATGATATAATTGCTTATAAGGTTAAAAATCGATCAGGAGATCCAATATTTTAATTTGAATAAAGAAAGGTATTCGAAATTTGATTAATATGATTTATATAGGTTCAAGCTAGAGGTAAAGAATATGAAGTTGAAGTTGAAAACAAAACAACATGTAGAATAATAGAAAAATTTAGATATGAAAAAATTAAACACATATATCCTTGTTCAAAATGGGAGGTTGTTGATATTAATAAGTACTAATGAAAAATTTGATGAAATATTATTAAATTTAACGAATTAATTTTTACGAATGTCTTCTTAGTAATAACAAACTAAATTGCACAAATTACAAAACTTTTATCATCAATTTGAAAAGGGTGAAATCACTGGAACATAATTGAAATCTCAATTACAAACTAATTTAAAAATTAGATGGAATCCCAATTTAGAAAATATTATTCATTAAGTAGACCCATCATATACAGATTTTGTTAGATCAATCAATAAAACGAATTAATATGTACCCAAATAAACAGAACCAAAATTGATGGAATAAATTAACTATCCTAAAAAAATAAGAACAGAACATATGTATTTTATTTATAAATAATTAAAATAGAGGTCATACAGATTTGCTAAAATGGAACTGATAATATTTATATTTATATAAATACTTAAAATAATCAATCTTTTTCTTGTATTCAACTTTATTGAATATAATTTATTTATATAATTTATATTCAATTAAAAGGTTATTCTAGTGGTATATTTTTTATATTTTCAACTTATAAAAAATAAATGAAAAACCATAATATTCCAAAAAGTTCAGAAAGATATGGTAAACTCATTTAGCCAATACGTAATTCAGTTCCAGTTGGATTATTTTCTAGTTAGAATTCTCTATTTGCTTCAATTCTATCTGTAAAGAGTAGAGAGAAGGATAGTAAGAGTTAAAAACAAAAGAATTCTTAAACTCATTTTGAAGCAGCAACATAAAGAGCAGTAACACCAAATAATTAAAATCCATCTATTTCATTTACAACAAAGTATCATTTAAGTAATCAACCTCAAAAACAAAAAAAGAAATCTAATTTAATAAATAAGGAATCATTTTAATCAAAAATTTCCAATCTTATTTGTTCAAATAAAAGTGCGGATTTTGATAATTTAAGTTCTTAAATTAAAGAGAGTGATGATTAAGAAATCAATAGAATTTATAATAATCTTAAATGTATTAATCAAAAAATCAATTCCATAAAATTAAATTAGTTATCTCAATAGATATTATGTTCGTGGTAAAAAGTGTTAGCATCTAATTGTGAAAAGTTGATAGAAATTAATTAATAGAAAAAGAAAATAGAATTAGGATATCCATAATTAATAAAAAGTGATAGCACTTCATCTTAAGTATTTGATTCTTCTGGTCTCAATCTTGAGAAATTATTAGCTGAAGAAAGAAGGAATCGCCTTTTAGTTGAAGAATAAACAAGCAAAATAATATAAAGTCAAGAATCTGAAATTAAATCATATGTAAATATTTCTATATATTATTAGATTGAGAAAATCAAATAATTAGAATAGAAATTAATTGAAAAGAATTCTTGGCAAAAATGATTATAACTAAAAATGTGTATAAAGATTTTATTCCTATTTTTAAATTATTTTAAACATTAATATCTATTTTTAATATTCATGTAGAAAATTTAAAAACAAAATACTGTACAACTTAATTTATAGAATGTTTAACAGTTTATTCCTTCTCTTTAAAATGGATCATAAGTTGGAAATTGTTCTCCTAAACCACCAATCAGTTTAAAATCAAATAAATCACCGAAAGGAGACATTTCATTTAGAGTCATATCACCTAAATTGACCATTAATCAAAATAACTCTTAAAGATCAATAAGTAAGAGTAGTAGTCCAATAGAAAAACAAATTTCTGAACCAGACAAACTATAATTTTTAGAAAATGAAAATGATGCGGTAATTGAGGATAATTGTGTAAATGTTCCAGAAGTTTAATAATTAAATAAAATTAAGGAAAAACTTACTGATATGGGAGGATAAATATCGAAATTTCATTTACTTGATATTAATTTACAGGTTCTTAAAAAATGGTAATAGGAATTATTAGAAGAAACAAAATCATTGATTTTGTTAAATAAAAATGTCATAAATTTTTCAAATACTAAAATGATGCCACCAAAATCAAATTTCGTAAAAAAAGTTTCAAGTGAAGAATTGTTAGAAAAATTATAAACTGAATAAAAAAAAAGATTAGATGCAGAGGAGTAAAGTAGCAAAATTCTTTAAGAGTAAGAAAAATATATTTCAGTCTTGGTAATCTTTTGTAAATATGTTAGAATTAAAAACTATTTCAACTTGAATAGCAATACTCAAATAGAAAACCTAAGTGATTATATATGTAATCAAATAATATTTTTCAATAAATATTAATTTTATTTGATAAAAAAGTCTCAAAAATTCATAAAAAACATTGCGTTCTCTATTTAATTTTTAAAAGAAATAAATAAAAAAAACTTTAAGACATTTGAAATCTTAATCCCCATTATATTTGATTTATAATACTTCTCAACCTAATAGTATAAATAACCATAAAAAAAAATAAAAATATAAGAATAATTGCAAATAATAAACCAAGACAAAAAATCTATGATAATGATAATTATAGCTTTCACAAATTTGAAAATTCCCTCTAATAAATAATAGAAGTGTAGATTAAATAAATGAATTATTTTTAAGTGTAAAAGAAGATACCACTTAAACAGAAATTTGGTTTGAAATCTAACTTGGTAAATTTTAGTTCAAAAATGCCTAAAAATAATGAAAAGCTATGTCTTTATCATAATTATATATAAAAGAAAAAAGTTTAGTAATTCTTTAAGTATTGAAAAAGACATTGCTTGAAAAAATATTAAATAAAGACTTTTTTTTTTACCAAAATTGAAGCCAAATATCCTTATGAATCATTTAATATTTCAAGTTTACTCAAACTCCTTTTTTTTCTTCTTCCCATTATTTATTATCTAAAGGACATGTATTTTTTGTTTTAAGCCATTATCTTATGCAATGTTCATGGTAAGCATGCCCACATTTACCTTGTTAAGTATTACAAATTTCTTTTTAATCTTTTCCTTCACATTCAATACATTTTTCCATAATATGATTTTTACAAATAGCACAATGTTCAACTTTCAAGCTCCAAGCTAATATTAGAATGATATTATACACCAAAATGCAACAGGGTACCATTTCTTAATCTCAAATCTTCCTTTTTCTTCTTATTACATTGTTATTAAAAATTAATAATATATTTAAAAAATATTGACTCTAAATTACACTTGAAACATTTGTTTTAATAAAATAAAGTCTTTAATAAGAAATTATTTACAATTAATACATTAATTGTTCAAATTGATTTTAATACATTCTCAATTATATCAAAAGCAGAATTAAGTTCAGTTTCATTAATTATTAATGGTGGAGTTAATCTAAGATATTTATAAAATAGATACCTCATTATAGTTTTATGAGTAGGTTTACAAAGTAATCCTTATTTTGCTAATTAAAGACAGAAATTCCATGCAACATCCCCTTTTCCATCTTGGAATTGAATAGCTCCCATCAATCCTCTATTTCTAATTTAAGTAACATTATTAAATTTCTTCAATTCATTTAATCTTTTTTCCATAATTTTTCCTAAAGTGTATGCATTTTCAATCATTTTTTCTTCTTTTAAAACTTCTAGTGCTTTAATACAAAGACTAGCAGCTAAAGGATTACCACCATATGTTGACCCATGTTCACCTGGTTTAATTTATAACATAATTTAATCATCAGCTAAAACAGCAGAAATAGGATAAAATCCTCCTGATAAAGCTTTACCTAATAATACTATATCAGGTCTAACATTTTCCTATTAAATAATTAATTATTTATACATGTTCAACAGCTAACATTTTTCCTGTTCTACCTAAACCTGTTTAAATTTCATCTACAATCATTAAAACATTATATTTATCACATAATGATCTTACTTATTTCAAATAATTAGAATCAGGAATTATCACTCCATTTTCACCTTAGATTGCTTCAAAAAATATAGCAGCATAATTTGGATTTTCTTTAAATTTAGTTTCAATTGCATTAATACTATATAGATATTATAGTTTACTTATTATAATCTACAAGATCAAAATTTAAACCACCAAAAGGTCCAAATCTATAATATCTTTCAGGATCATCACTACTACCACATGCAGCAATAGTTCTACCCCAAAAATTTCCATTAGCAAATAATACTCTTGCTTAATTTTCGGGAACCTTTTTTATATTATAAGCCCATCTTCTAGCAAATTTGATTGCTGATTCACCTGCTTCCACTCCTGAATTCATAAATAACACTTTATCATATTTAAATAATTATGTTATATATTTCTCAGCTTCACCTAATTTATTGTTATAAAATCTATTTATTTATATATTTATCTTACGCTCTTGATGTCAGAGTTAATTAAGATGCTTATTTAATTAATTCTTAATATATCTTTTCATGACAATGTCCTTAATTCACAGCTGAATATGCTGCTAAAAAATCCATATATTTCTTTCCTTCTTAATCCCAAACATATATTCCTTTTCCTTTTGCTATCACTACTGGTAATGGATGATAATTATGACATCCATATTAATTTTCTAATTCTACAAAGTATTAACTATTTTTAACTTATGAGAATCTCATTAGTGATTTTAAGAAAAGATTTTTCATTAATAAATTAAAATTTAATTTTTTTATTATGAAAATTTCACAAATTTATAATTAAAAGTCATAAAACATGATCTTAATTGGTATTGATAATTTTTTTCTTATCTTCAATATACAATGCAAGAATTTCCAATCCTTAAATAGGTAATATAGAATTTGTAATTTCATTTGGAGGAAGTAAATAAAGCATATTGTTTCCAATATATGCAACCCCAATCTTGTTTTTTTCTGAAAAATAATCTATATATTCTTAAAATGCAATATTCTAATATTGTTTTAAGTTTCAATACCTAATTTATATTTGAAGGACAAAGAACGAATTTAAAAGCTTCATTAGCTGATTTTTTAGCATCAAGAAAGTTTCCCTTATAATTAACTTAGATTTATGGAGTCATTGCAATAGGTGCCTATTAATATATGAAATTGAGGTACATCAGTTTCTTGAGATTTAGCATCTACAGCAACTTTATGACTTTTACTTCTAAACATGAATCCACTCCAAAATGTATCCCAATCTTATCGATGTTATTATTATTGACTTGAATCTAAATTTAGAAATCCATCAAGAATTTCTTGATTAGTATTTTAATTAGAAATTGGTTTAATTATAGATTCAAGTTCTTGAGGTTGAATTTATTAAGGAGTATTAAATTATAATGGATTTAGATATTAATGTTACATTCGTCTATCTTGCTTAGACATTGAGTATTGTGGTTATTAGTACATAACTTATTATTGAATAAAAAGTGGTTGATAACTATTTTAATAAGGTTAAGTAACAGGAGTAATCATCATCATTTTATTTGGTTATGGTTATTATGGAATCATTGGAATTGGTTAATATTATTATTGCTATTATTACTATTACATTGGAATTGTTGGCAAAGATATAATTCCTACTTCACATTTAGAATCACCCAAAAGATCTACTAAATGCTATTAAAGATAATTTCGTATCTAAATTGCTTGTTTTGTGTCTCTAAATTATAGAAGAGTGTAGGATTTATAATTTATATCTTATTACACATAATTCCATTAGAGAGGTCGACATTGATGATTTTAACATATCTTTTATTATCATTTTAATAAAAATACTTCAAACAAAAATGCATGATCAACTTTTTTATTTAAATTAGGAGGAAAAAATATAAATAATATTGATGAAAGTTTAGATTGTTATTCATTTTATAAACTAAAAAATTTAATTAAATTTACTTATTTCCTACTATATTATGTCTTTTTATAGGGTCAGAAAAATAAATTTTTATTTAAGTAGAAAATTATTATTAAATACTATCCATTTTTTAATAAGCAAAAATAGCTTAATCTATCTAAATTCAAATAAAAAAAAGTATATACAGTAAAAAATTTTATATAACAGTTAAAAATATTATGCTTATTAGGATACAGATCAATCCTCTCTATAGGACCAAATTATTAAAAAATCTATAATTTTTCACATTCTATTACCTAGCGAATCTTCTATTCATCAAAATTCTTGGAAATTCCACTAACAAACAATTCTCTAACGAAAAGTGGGGTTTATATCTTTGGAGACTGCTCCAAAGGAGTAATAAGTCCATTAGTAAGTACTTATCTGTTTTTCTCTTAAGATCTGGATCTAGAACGAGATTTACATTTAGTAATAGTTTGTTTATCAATCTAAGGTTTCACAGTCCAATCTCCTATTAAACCATCTTAGATTGCCTTATCAGCTGAATCATTATCAGCAAAAGCAATAAAAGCATAACATGAAATATGTAAAGGTAATCCTTTTGTGAATTAATTCCTATACCTGTAGGAGTTTTTCTAATGATTCTAATATCAATAATATTTCCATAAATTTAAAAGGCTTATTACAATTATTGATTTGTAATATTTAATGGTAAATTGGAGACATGGATTTTTTATCTTGCAGATATAGGTTAAAAAGGATTAGCAATAGGTAAAGGATATTCTGGTGATGAATTTTGAAATTGATGAGAAATTAAAGAATTATTAAGCATAGAAAATTTAAAAATATTAATATCATTTTGATATTTCATTCTTCCTTTTAAATTTGCTAATTAATTAACTCATATTAAGAACACTCTAAGAATGTTTATTAAATTGTCAATCTTCACTTTCTTAAATAATATTAATATCCTTTCATTAATGTGTATATATTAAATAAATTAAATGAATAACAACGATGAAATTATATAGAAGTTGGATGTGATTGTTGCAAATTACTTAAATCAAAAGGATCATAATGGTTAACTGTTGACTGAAAAATATTCAGAGACTTACATATATTCTTTAGTTTAGAAACATTTATTCGATTATGAAGCAATTTTTACAGCATCTTAAAAATCAGTGATTGATGTCTTTGATTTTATAACTTCTCTATTAAAAGTAAATTTACAGCTATTTAAACTAGTTTACTTCAGAACCTATAGAGGATACTCTATTCATAATAGTATAAGCGATAGATTTCTTCAAAGTCATCTGCGAAGAATATCAAACTTATACAATAAAATTTAGTGACCTTTCAAGTTATCTTTGTAAATACAATCCTAATTTGGATGATGTAAGTATTTGATCTAATTTTAATAGAAGGATGTTCCTCTCCAAAATAGAACAATAACTTATCATAAATATCCCCCTTTGAAATAGTTTAATAAACCATAAAGTAGACAAGTAAGAAATATTGATCTAGAAGCACCAACTATTCTTGGAACATTAGGTCATTATATAAAAAGAATAAACAAAGAGAAAATATATATAGATTCTCAGAAAAACTAAAACAGTTCTATTCTAAGAATGCAATATTAAGAATCGGAACTAAAAATTCTAATTCTTCATCAATATAGTGATTTTATAAGTATTTACAATCCTGATTGTACATTGCATAACAGATTAAGACCAAAAGCTTAATAATTGAGAAATATCATTCATGATTTTTGTTGGTCAGAAGAATAATAAAGAATAGGAATAGTTTTTAAAGATGCTTGGATTTGTTTTATGGATTAGAGTGATAAATTTGAATTGGAAAAATACTTTACAACAAAAGTAGATTAGCATAGAATATATTATGTTCAAAGCAAATGGATGACTGTTGGTGTTGATTCTAAGATATCAATATGGAATTTGGAAACAGAATAAAGTAGTGTAATAGCTCATGATTAAATAAAAAATATTGTAAATATAGTTGAAATAACTTATTTATAATTAGTATGTATAGCTTGTTAAGATAAGTTAACAATGTGGGATTTATGGGAATATAGCAAACCTAAGTTATTATTTAAATTATAAGTAAATCACAGTAGATTAAATAACATAGTTTTCTTTTAAGAATATCATTTAATAATAACTTCAGGATTTGATACGAAGGTTAATTTGTATTAATTGCATAAGAAATATAATGATGGAGATTATGTAGGTTAATTGGAAGGTCATACAGCAATAGTTACAGCAATTCAATGTGTAGAGAAAACTCCAATAGTAATAACAACTGATGATAGATTGATTGTAAAATTGTGGGATATTAGAATAATGAAATGCATATAATCTTTTGATTTAGAAATGAGATAATCTATCAATTATATCACTATAATGTAGAATTTATAAAGTGTATGTTTTGCTACAAATAGATTGATTGTAATGGCTTTTGAAGGTCATAATAAAAATCTTTCTTAACCGAAACCTTAAAAATAGAGAACCTTACACTTATATCCAAAATAAGTGGAATTAAATGCAATAAAATAATAGTTAATAGTATCAACAAATAGAGATATTAGAATAATAAATTTATCAAATGGATAAACTGATACCATAATAAAGGCTATGATTGGTCAAACAGATGATATGATCAATCAATTTAAACGTATTATATGTCAATATTCAAAGCAATTCAATAGCATAAAAAGATTGTTCTTGGAACAACAAAAGGACTTATTAAAATATTTGATACATATTCTGGAGATCTTGTAAAAGAATACTAGAATAATAGTAATAAAATAACTCATCTTTCTATTGATTATTAAAATCGAATAATTTCAACGTCATCTTTAGATGGTTAATTAAGTATCTATAAGGAGAATAATTTAAATTTAGAATGTTTAAGAAAAGCTGAGAATGTTCATAATGGTATTGATTATTGTTATGTTTCATTATATCATGATTTAATAATAACAGCTGGTGTTGATATTGTATGTTTATGGAATTTAGAATTTACGAAGCCAGTATCAACCATAAGAACAGAATCAGCTCCTAAAGGTGTACACATTTTAGATGGTTATCGTATATTGATTATTGGATGCAAATATAATACATATTTTCTTTAATTTGACAAGAGTGAAGATTCATACTATTATTAATAGATAGGATTAATCTCTTAGAGTTGTTGTGCATTCACAGATAAAAATGGAACAGTTCTTTTAGGAACTAGAAGAGGTTTTATTTGTAAACTTTAATTTAATACTAATAAATGTTAAAAAGTATAATTTCATCCTTTTAGATAAAATTGGGAAGATTATAATATTGGTGTAAATAATCATAAAGTTACAAAGTTTGTTATTAGTACAACTCATGAGCTTAAATTAGAATAATTAATTGAAGTTCATAAAAAAAGATTATAACATATAGATTTTATTTCTTTAGAAGGAGATAATCTATTAAAGGAAGGTTAATGTAAAGTAATTACAACATCTAAAGATGGATTTCTAAAAATATTTGATTATCCTTCTTTTATATTAATGTGTGTTTTAAATGTTAATCATGTTCTTCCACTTAAATGGTCTATAACTGTTGATGTACATGAAATCATGAAATTTAAAGTAGCTTTTGCATTAAAAGTTATACATTTTATTAGATCTTAACCTAATTTAACTATTAGTCATTTAAGAATGTTAGAACCAAATTCTATTTTCAAAAATTTGTTGGCACAAAAAAAGTTTTTTAAATAAAATACTAATGAAAGCAAAGTTCAATTATTATAAGATTTTTATGAACCTAGAGATCTAGTTTTTTAAAAAGTTAAGGGATTCTATAAAAGTGAATTATAAGGACTTTCTTTAAAATAAATAGAAGAAAAAAAGAAAGCTTTATTATAAGCTAAAATGTTTGAGAAAGATTATAATGAATAGAATTTTTAATCAGAATAAAAACAAAATGAAGATGTGGGAAATAAAGAATTTAAAAGTTGGTAGTAATTTTTACATCCAAATTTCAGAAAAAATGGAGTATAGGGAGAAATAGAATAAATTGAAAGATTACATATGGTTCATTAATTTGAAAAAAGATTAGATTAAGTTTTAACAAAGGAAGATGAAATAAATATTAAACAAAATATTTCAGGAAGAAGATATTCTAAAACGAAATAAGATATATAAAATAAAAGTGCTAATAAATCTGCAAGATTAAGATCTACATTACCTTTCTTTAAATATGCAAGTGATAAAAAATTAGCATCAATTCCTGCTTCAACTGATACATCTCAAAGATCTACTCATGTAGGATATGATACAATGAGAGAAGAATACTCTAAAAAAAAAATCTAAAGAGTTTAATTTTTATCATAAAATATTGGTTAATTAATTTCTGATTTAGATTAAAATAAAAAGAAATAAGGATTAGAAATAGGTGAAAATACTATGAGAAAAACTAGTGGATAAGTATTCAATTAAATTGTTAATAAATTAAATGAATAACTTAGAGATTCAAAGTTTAAAAAATATTCTAGAAGTATGTGTAAACAAGATCTTGAAGGAATCTTAATTGATGCTCATTTAGATTCTATGCATTCTAAACAATCTTTAAGAAAATTACCCTGATTTCAGAATTTAAATACATTTTAATTCATTTTTATTATTTGTATATAATGATTAATCTAAAGATTATCATCAAATTATTTGATAGATGATTCTAAAAAAAGCACAAATTTTAATTAATCTTGTGATTGAAGTCACATATTCTTGTCAAGATAGATGATTATTTTAATTAACAAAAGTAAATTGATATCTCTCTTAATATTAATAAGATTATCTAATATAACTTAAATCATATTGATTTCTTTTGAATAGCTAGAAAATTAACAATAAGTATATAAAAAGAGACATTTCTGCTGTAAATAAATTTTATTTAAATCACATATTTATAAATAAATAAATAAAAATATCAAGATATACTTTAAGTTTTTATTTTGTTAATTGGTTTTTTAGGCGTTTTTTTAGAATCACTGTTTGCTTATGTTCTCAATCTAACATTTCTTTTAAATGGCATTAGTAAGTTAGATTTTTCATCATATTATTTAGAATAATATTATTGTACAAAAGATTTCATTGCATCATCATCGATTGAATTTAATTATTAAGTTTAAGCATTAGTTGGAGTAAATAAATATTAAGTTTAATTAAATTCTTCTGCCAAGTCTATTTTTTAATGATTTAATTTTAATAAAGATAATACTTCAGGTTTCTATTAAAATTTATCTAAATTTTCTCCTAATGGAGCTTATTATTATAATGCCATAATGAAATTAGCTTCTTTTTCAATATTACTTATAGTTCCCATTCTACGAAAAGTTCTAGCAGTATTTATTTTATGTGTATTTTCTGTTTTAAATTTAATGTTCTCTTCGACAATAGGATCAAAATTAAGATGCATCAAATCTTTTTTAGATCCTTATTTACTGAAATAATCCACAAGTGCATAAAACTTCATATCACCAAATTCAAAATATTTCTTTGGTTTTTATTAACTTTCTCTAAGTTCCTATGAAATATGTTTTACTCTTTCTAAATAAGTTTTACTAAAAACATCCAATTTTGGAGGTCTTAAAGAGTCTGCATACTTTTTAACAGCTAGCATTTTTTAGAGAAGCATTGTATTTTTCTTTTTCTCATATTCACTATATTACTTAAGAATGGCCATTTCAGCAGGTGTAAATTTTTCATTCAAATCTAAACAATAAAATTTAAGTTACCTGTTGATTCTTTATAACCAATACCTAAATCATATTTCATAAGGAAACCATGTTACCAACCTTTTTCTCCCAATAATCTATCTGGCAATATTTTTAGTATCTTATGTCCTGGTGGGCCAATAAAGGATTATGTTTAATCGATCTAATTTAATATGACCCTACTTTACAGAGTTGTTTTCGACAAAATTTTCGAGCAGAAGTCTTCTCACAACCTTCCTCACGTAATTTCAAGTACATCATGGCATTACTGTTATAAGATGCATGAATTCGATTACACATAAAAAATATATTAATGATTTATCAATATCATCATATAGAGAATAAATAATTATTCAANAAATAAATTTTATTTAAATCACATATTTATAAATAAATAAATAAAAATATCAAGATATACTTTAAGTTTTTATTTTGTTAATTGGTTTTTTAGGCGTTTTTTTAGAATCACTGTTTGCTTATGTTCTCAATCTAACATTTCTTTTAAATGGCATTAGTAAGTTAGATTTTTCATCATATTATTTAGAATAATATTATTGTACAAAAGATTTCATTGCATCATCATCGATTGAATTTAATTATTAAGTTTAAGCATTAGTTGGAGTAAATAAATATTAAGTTTAATTAAATTCTTCTGCCAAGTCTATTTTTTAATGATTTAATTTTAATAAAGATAATACTTCAGGTTTCTATTAAAATTTATCTAAATTTTCTCCTAATGGAGCTTATTATTATAATGCCATAATGAAATTAGCTTCTTTTTCAATATTACTTATAGTTCCCATTCTACGAAAAGTTCTAGCAGTATTTATTTTATGTGTATTTTCTGTTTTAAATTTAATGTTCTCTTCGACAATAGGATCAAAATTAAGATGCATCAAATCTTTTTTAGATCCTTATTTACTGAAATAATCCACAAGTGCATAAAACTTCATATCACCAAATTCAAAATATTTCTTTGGTTTTTATTAACTTTCTCTAAGTTCCTATGAAATATGTTTTACTCTTTCTAAATAAGTTTTACTAAAAACATCCAATTTTGGAGGTCTTAAAGAGTCTGCATACTTTTTAACAGCTAGCATTTTTTAGAGAAGCATTGTATTTTTCTTTTTCTCATATTCACTATATTACTTAAGAATGGCCATTTCAGCAGGTGTAAATTTTTCATTCAAATCTAAACAATAAAATTTAAGTTACCTGTTGATTCTTTATAACCAATACCTAAATCATATTTCATAAGGAAACCATGTTACCAACCTTTTTCTCCCAATAATCTATCTGGCAATATTTTTAGTATCTTATGTCCTGGTGGGCCAATAAAGGATTATGTTTAATCGATCTAATTTAATATGACCCTACTTTACAGAGTTGTTTTCGACAAAATTTTCGAGCAGAAGTCTTCTCACAACCTTCCTCACGTAATTTCAAGTACATCATGGCATTACTGTTATAAGATGCATGAATTCGATTACACATAAAAAATATATTAATGATTTATCAATATCATCATATAGAGAATAAATAATTATTCAATAAACTTATATACAAATATAAATTACATTGCATATACCTTAATTTGATTTGTAATTTTTTTATCTAACCAATATTATTTATTTATTCTTATTAATTTAAAAAAATATCAAACTCTCTTAAGAACAAAACTGATTTAGTAAATATTTTAAACTAAATTAACAAATATATAATTAATTTTTGTATAAAATTAAAAAAAAATAATTCCTTAAGATATAATTATTAAACAATCTAAATATCTACTATTATTAATGAATTTAAATTATATTAAAATAGATAAACTAGTCAAACTCTTCTTCAAAACTATGACTTTAAGTAAAAAATGCTATTTAACAAACATAAAGAACTATTATTTTATTTTAAAATTAAAATTATATGCCTCCAAAAAAAGAAGAGAGAAAACTGCTAGAACCAATGTTTCAAGTAATCCCACTATTTTATGAATATATTGATTATTCAAATGAATAAATGGAGTAATTGAATGAATATTTAAATTACTTCAAACCAGAATTGACTGCTATGTTGAAAAATAATATTTTTGACAATATGGAAATATTATGTCAAACAATAGGGATTGCTTTACATCCATCATTTATTAAACCTAATTAAATGATTGATTTGAATGATTTTGATGAAAATACAAAATTTAGAAACCCTGAAGAACTTGATGGAGATTAAGTACCTCAAATGATTCAAATAAATTCTGTAATTTATGATTATTTATGTTTATTTTAGATAAGAATTGATCTTTTTACATTAAAATTATTAGATTATTGTGCAGGTATTAGTGGATTGAGTACAATAAAAATGACAAATAATGGATTAACAGTTTAATAATATTAATAAATAGCATTAATAATCAATAATCCTGAGAATAAAATTAAAAAGTTGTTTATAGACTGGTAATAAGTTCATGAAAACTTTTTATAATAAATGCAATAGATTGAATTTTTAACTTTAAGATCTTGTTAATTAAGTATAATTATAGATATTTTTTAGCAACATAACAAATTTAGACTTTAACATTAAATGTTTAGAATTTAAAATGTTTAGATTTATATGATAATAAACTATCAAAGGAATCTTTAAATTTAATAGGAAAGATGTTGAGTTAAAACAGTTTAATTGAATTTCTTGGTTTAGCTAAAAATGGAATATAATCATTTGATGATTTATAAGGAATAACTTAAAATATAGGAAGATTTTTAATGAGTCAAGAAGATTATGATGATTATAGATTAAAAGAGAAAGAGAGAGATGCCATTATTGAAAGAAATAAGAAAGTAAAGAAAAAAGGAACAGAAGAAAATGTTCCATTTTTAGAACCTATTCAATAAATTGACAATAATTGGTATTTAATGAAAAATTCAAGATTATGGTTAATAAATTTATCTATGAATTAAATCGATGACTAATCTAGAGATGCTATAGAGAAGTTCTTATTATAAACAGGAGAAAATTTCTAATTAGTATTAATTGGAAATAGATTTGATGACTAGAAAGCATTGTAGAAAACAAAAAAGAAGTTTGGGAAAAAATTAGTATTATGATTTTATTTATTTTAACTCAATGAAATCAACAAAAGCTAGACAAGTTACAAATATATCTCAAATAGAAACAACCCTTAATAATTAGAGTATATCTTCTCTTAAGGTTCCAAAATTGCCATATTTGTACAAAAAACATAATTAAGTTCTATCTACATCTAGGAAACTTGTATTGGAAGAGAATACAATGCTTATTCAATTAAATGGTTAGAAAAAAGAGTTGTTAAAATTGATTAATGATAGATAATTAGATGATGCAATAGATAGTAAGTCATTCTGAAAATAGTGTAGCAACAAGAAAATTAGTTTAGTAATGTATTGCGTATGATCTGAATATATTTGGTAAATCACTTCATATACTGGCAGACATGTATATATCTAATAGAGAATTTGCTAATGGATTATACATTTACAATGTAATTAGAGTTTTAGCAGATGTTTAAAATAATTAAGCTCTAAAAATTGAAGCCTTGATTTAAATGGGTGATTTGTGTAAACTATAATAATCGTATTAACTCAGCAAAATATTTCTAAAAAAAGCTCTTTAATATGTTTGGTATTTAAATAACACTGAGAATGAAGCAACTATTTATGATTATTTTGGAGTTCTTTATTATGTCTAAGGGGAATTAAGATTAGCTAAAGAATATCACGATAGAGCAATGAATTTTATTGGAGAATCTACTGATAGTGCTGCACGTAAACATGGAATTGAATATGTAAAGACATACATTAAAAGAATTAATTATTAATCTTAAATCATGAATAATATGGTTTTATCTAAATTAGGTTTAATTTAAGGAAATGATACAGAAATTAAATTAAATACACTTCTTGATTTTAATACTTTATCTGATTAAATTTTATAAGATTATGAATTTTAAGTTGAAATGTCAACTCCAAATAGACCTTAAAGATGTATAACTAAAAATGGAATTCTTTAAAATGATGTAGATATGTTTGAAAATGTTAAAGAATTACATGAAAGATAAAAGAAAAGAAAATTCTTTGAAAAAAAGATACCTGTTATGCATCTTACAAAATCTCTTTTAAAATAAACAATTGAAGAATAACTTGAATAAAGAATGAAAACAAACAAATAAAAAAATGTATAAATATTTTTTCATTTTATTTTGATTAGTCTGTTGAAGAATTTAAGAAGTAGTTATAAAAATTTCATACATATAAAAACTTTCCTGAAAAATTAGAAAAAGTTAATATTAACCATCTCTCTCCAAATAGAAATCTTATTGGATTTAAATATAGTTTCAAACCTATGCGTCATTAATTACTTGATTTATTTGGAGAGATTGAATAATATATGTATTTACATTAATCCTGATTTTTGTTAATTTAATTTAATTTTATATCTGTAAGATGATGCAATAATAATAGTTATATTATTGATTTTCTTTTCACAAAGATATATTGAAATAGTATTATCAAATAATATAATAGATTATACTATATAGTATTTATATTATGATAAAAATATAGATTACATCTTGATATTCTTGTATATAAAGTAGATTTGAATAAGAAAGTAATATCGAAAAATGATTGAATGTCTATAATATTAAATATTTAATTTTGGATATGAGAAGATTAATTGTCAACCAAACAAGAAGTAAGACAGTTGCAGCTCGTCCAAGTGTCAATTTAGATAGAGTCAATAAATGGTTGTAAACTCTTACTGCTAAAGCAAATACTTTAGAAAGCAGATTTTACACATCATAATTAAGTTCCTTGTTTAATTATTATTCAAAACCTACAACTGGTGCAGCTTAAGTATTATATAATCAAAATGAATAGGAAATTGATTGGAATTATTGGAGAGAATAAATTACAACAGAAGGATTAGTTGATAAGGTTTAAAAGGGTCATGATACTCTCCTTCATAAAGAATTTGATGTTGAACGTATTTGTCATCAAGTTGTTTCCAGTTAAAGCAAAGAATTAGAAGACTTAGAAAATGAGCTTTCTTTCCATAGTGCTGTTTGGAGCAATTACTATTTGGATTAACATTTAGCATTACTAGATTTAGAGTAATATGGAGACAGAAATGATTACGTCAGTATTCTTATTAAATTTATGCATAGTTCATGAGGATTATGATTTCTATCCTGGATTAGAAGCTGATTTAGAAGAATTAACAGAAACTCACAATTGGATACCTGGATCAAAGGATGATATTAATTTGAAAGGTTATATGGTATCCTAATTCTAATGGGGAAAAAAAATCATTTCATTCTATAGACATCCTTGTGATGACTTTAAAGCTGCAAGAGGTACCAAAAATATCTTGGGTAGATGAGATTTATACATAATGCAAAATATTTTAAAAACAATACAATATTTTATTATAGTATGCTTTGTAAATATACTTCTCATCATTTCTAATATTCATATTATACATTTATGTTTTAAGTAAACAATCAAACCTTTTATAATTCAATTTTATTTTAATTAACTAATGCATGAGTAAAACATAACTATCATATAGGTTTTTAATTGTCATTAATATAGTTTTTTATTAGTTATTATTAAATTGTTAAGAAAGAATTTTATTTTTTTAAATTATGATTCAAATATGAATATTCTTTTACTTTCTTGAAACATTTGTTAAATTTGTAATTTAAAATCAGCAAAATTTATTATATTATGAATTAATTATGTCATTTTTATTTTTTTTCATATTCGATTGGATAATTTTCATCTTAACAAATATAGACTTGAATTTCATTANTATAGTATTTATATTATGATAAAAATATAGATTACATCTTGATATTCTTGTATATAAAGTAGATTTGAATAAGAAAGTAATATCGAAAAATGATTGAATGTCTATAATATTAAATATTTAATTTTGGATATGAGAAGATTAATTGTCAACCAAACAAGAAGTAAGACAGTTGCAGCTCGTCCAAGTGTCAATTTAGATAGAGTCAATAAATGGTTGTAAACTCTTACTGCTAAAGCAAATACTTTAGAAAGCAGATTTTACACATCATAATTAAGTTCCTTGTTTAATTATTATTCAAAACCTACAACTGGTGCAGCTTAAGTATTATATAATCAAAATGAATAGGAAATTGATTGGAATTATTGGAGAGAATAAATTACAACAGAAGGATTAGTTGATAAGGTTTAAAAGGGTCATGATACTCTCCTTCATAAAGAATTTGATGTTGAACGTATTTGTCATCAAGTTGTTTCCAGTTAAAGCAAAGAATTAGAAGACTTAGAAAATGAGCTTTCTTTCCATAGTGCTGTTTGGAGCAATTACTATTTGGATTAACATTTAGCATTACTAGATTTAGAGTAATATGGAGACAGAAATGATTACGTCAGTATTCTTATTAAATTTATGCATAGTTCATGAGGATTATGATTTCTATCCTGGATTAGAAGCTGATTTAGAAGAATTAACAGAAACTCACAATTGGATACCTGGATCAAAGGATGATATTAATTTGAAAGGTTATATGGTATCCTAATTCTAATGGGGAAAAAAAATCATTTCATTCTATAGACATCCTTGTGATGACTTTAAAGCTGCAAGAGGTACCAAAAATATCTTGGGTAGATGAGATTTATACATAATGCAAAATATTTTAAAAACAATACAATATTTTATTATAGTATGCTTTGTAAATATACTTCTCATCATTTCTAATATTCATATTATACATTTATGTTTTAAGTAAACAATCAAACCTTTTATAATTCAATTTTATTTTAATTAACTAATGCATGAGTAAAACATAACTATCATATAGGTTTTTAATTGTCATTAATATAGTTTTTTATTAGTTATTATTAAATTGTTAAGAAAGAATTTTATTTTTTTAAATTATGATTCAAATATGAATATTCTTTTACTTTCTTGAAACATTTGTTAAATTTGTAATTTAAAATCAGCAAAATTTATTATATTATGAATTAATTATGTCATTTTTATTTTTTTTCATATTCGATTGGATAATTTTCATCTTAACAAATATAGACTTGAATTTCATTATTTTAACCTTAAACTTTAGAACTATTTAAGAAGACTTAATAAGGGAATTCAGGATTATTTTCCAATACAGTTTCTACTAATGTACCTTTAGGAGCAGTAACAATAAATAGAGCTTCACCTTTATGATCAATTTATTAATTTTTTGAGAGCTCTTTAAAATCTTCTTAGGTTAGAAATGTATATTTAGTAATTTCAGGTTCTGTCTAAAAATTTTCTTGAAGATTTTTTTATAAGTGCTCAATCCAAAAATCATAAGTTTTTTCTTCATTTTACAATAATTCTAATTCTTCTTTCATCTATTAGAGTTCAGTTTCTAACTATGGATCATCTCTAGCACCAACCCATTTAATTTTATTTTTTGAGATTTTTTCAATGTATCCAATTCCTTCTAAAACATTAGTAATATCATAAATTCTTCTTTTTTGAACTCCTAAATCATTGACTGCCATATTCAAATCAATTGTAAGTTCATTTGAAATTTGGATGAGTTCAACAAACTTTTTAGTTAAAACAGATAAAGAATTGTCATGTCGAGTTTTTAACTTTCCACTACTCTTAAGTTCTTCATCATTAGATTCATTAAATGAATCCTCATCACCAGAGTATTCTTCTTATTTAATTTTTTTTTCAGATTCCAATTTGATTTGTTTTCGCTTCGAATTCATGCAATTATTAATTATTTTTTCATAACAAAAGCAATAGTATATATTTTTATATAAATTCAAAACCTTATGATAGATTAAAATATAAGAGTTTATCCATAAGAAAAATGATAAAATAAAGAAATAGTATTTATGATCAATAAATTATAAAAATTTTATACATTAATTGATACAATATTTATGCAACTAAATTATAAAGTATAATTTTGTAGAGTAATTATTTCATATTTCTAACATCTTCATTTTAATGTAATTTAAGTCTAAAATTATTCGTAGTTTATTTTGGAAATATCCAAAATTTTCATTTTTATTACTTATTATTGAAGTTATAGAACGTAAAATTGAGATATGAATTTAAAAGCCAATAAGACAAAAGTTAGACTCTATTTATATNGGTTTTTAATTGTCATTAATATAGTTTTTTATTAGTTATTATTAAATTGTTAAGAAAGAATTTTATTTTTTTAAATTATGATTCAAATATGAATATTCTTTTACTTTCTTGAAACATTTGTTAAATTTGTAATTTAAAATCAGCAAAATTTATTATATTATGAATTAATTATGTCATTTTTATTTTTTTTCATATTCGATTGGATAATTTTCATCTTAACAAATATAGACTTGAATTTCATTATTTTAACCTTAAACTTTAGAACTATTTAAGAAGACTTAATAAGGGAATTCAGGATTATTTTCCAATACAGTTTCTACTAATGTACCTTTAGGAGCAGTAACAATAAATAGAGCTTCACCTTTATGATCAATTTATTAATTTTTTGAGAGCTCTTTAAAATCTTCTTAGGTTAGAAATGTATATTTAGTAATTTCAGGTTCTGTCTAAAAATTTTCTTGAAGATTTTTTTATAAGTGCTCAATCCAAAAATCATAAGTTTTTTCTTCATTTTACAATAATTCTAATTCTTCTTTCATCTATTAGAGTTCAGTTTCTAACTATGGATCATCTCTAGCACCAACCCATTTAATTTTATTTTTTGAGATTTTTTCAATGTATCCAATTCCTTCTAAAACATTAGTAATATCATAAATTCTTCTTTTTTGAACTCCTAAATCATTGACTGCCATATTCAAATCAATTGTAAGTTCATTTGAAATTTGGATGAGTTCAACAAACTTTTTAGTTAAAACAGATAAAGAATTGTCATGTCGAGTTTTTAACTTTCCACTACTCTTAAGTTCTTCATCATTAGATTCATTAAATGAATCCTCATCACCAGAGTATTCTTCTTATTTAATTTTTTTTTCAGATTCCAATTTGATTTGTTTTCGCTTCGAATTCATGCAATTATTAATTATTTTTTCATAACAAAAGCAATAGTATATATTTTTATATAAATTCAAAACCTTATGATAGATTAAAATATAAGAGTTTATCCATAAGAAAAATGATAAAATAAAGAAATAGTATTTATGATCAATAAATTATAAAAATTTTATACATTAATTGATACAATATTTATGCAACTAAATTATAAAGTATAATTTTGTAGAGTAATTATTTCATATTTCTAACATCTTCATTTTAATGTAATTTAAGTCTAAAATTATTCGTAGTTTATTTTGGAAATATCCAAAATTTTCATTTTTATTACTTATTATTGAAGTTATAGAACGTAAAATTGAGATATGAATTTAAAAGCCAATAAGACAAAAGTTAGACTCTATTTATATTGAATGAGATAATTAAGTAAATGAAAATATTTATGAATTTTTTTGGTAGGATAATAAGAACTTTCTGGATTAGATTTTGAGCTATATTGATTTAGTTTTATTTTATTTCATATTTAATTGAGTTATAATGCAAGGAGAGACATCAGATTAATAATTTGAATAGATTTATCAAAGCCTTTGTAAAGACGATAGATTTTGTTTTGACTTAAGAATATAATTCGAAAGAATTTTGAAAGTAGAACAAGAGAGGTGTGGAGCCTATGAGAATCTTGCATGCTTTTTGAATGGATTAGCAAAGGAACCATTTAAAGAATAATAATCTTTAGTAGAGTTGCTTGATGAACTAGCTAAAGACATCTAAGAAGTTAATTAAAAATATGCAGATAAATATAATAAAGATGAAGACAAAGGGTTTATTAAATTGTTAAAACAAAAAATAATACCTAGTTTGATAGATGGACAAAAGTCTGTTGAAGTTTAAAAAAAGGCATTAGCTGAATATAAAGAGAAGGCTACAAGATTAAAAAAATTAGAATTAAAGAAAAACGAATTAATGATGAAAAATGATGATAAATTACTGAATATAGAAAAATAGTTACAAGAAGCTAAGAGAGAAAAACTTGAAAAAGGTTACACTTTTAATTTTACATTTTAAAATTATGTAGAGGATAGGAATGATGAATTAAAAGGTCTATTCAAACACTTTTTTAATAGGCTATTGATGATATCTTCAGCAGGACTTCAACATTACTCAATTGCAATTAATAAAATTCACACAACAGATGAAAAAAAAGAAGTTGAATAAAAATTAAGTGAACTGGGAATTATTAAAAAAAAAAATAGATGATTATATTTTATGATTTAAAAAAAAATTATGTAAATATTATGTATAAAATTATTAAGTATATGTTGAATAAATTCTAATGAAGGAATAAAATATAAAATAATAATTTTTTATTGATCAACAATTATTAAAGAATATTAAAAATTATTTGATATATAATGAATATAAATACATTTTTATAAAGATATAGGGTTTTGATTAGGTTAAATGAATTTTATAAGAAATTTATAAATTAGTTATAGAGGTTGTAAGATAGGTTGAATTGGAGTTAAGGTGGATTAAAACAAAAATATTGGTTATTTTTTAAAATGAAAAAATTAATATAAAAACTTAATGAACTCAATTTTTATGGAGATTGAGTAATATTCTGCCCGTGCTGCAAATGAAGATTAAGCTCTTATGAGTAAGAGAGGTGATTAAGAATAAAGAAAATCAGAGTTTTTTTAACGTTGTTCAGAGGATCGTAAAGTATTTACAGATCTTTCTCAATCAGAGAAATATATATTTGGAGATAAAGCTATTTATATAGGTAAGGTAAAATTAGAATAGAGATTGTAAGATATAGATAAAGTCATTTTACCTTTTGATAACATTAATTTAGATGAGAAGGAAAGAAATGAAAAAATGAAAGAGTAATCTAAGTCTTCTTAATCAGATAATTAAAGGATAGATCTTAATAAGAGAAATAAAATGACTGAAAATTTCTGGTTAATATTAAGTCCAGATAGTTGGGTGAAAATTTTATGGGACTTTTTTTGTATGATTTTAATTCTCTATGAAATCATTACAATACCAATAAGAATAAGTTTTGAAGTAGAAGTAAGTGTGGAATTTGGTTATGTAATAACAGCAGCATTTTTATTTGATATAGTTTTAACTTTTAATACAGCAATATATTTGAATGGAAATATCAATTATTCTTATAAAGCAATTGCATTTGATTATTTCAAATTATGGTTTTGGATAGATGTTGTAGCATCATTTCCATATGATTTAGTATTCAATGCAGCTTTAACAGGTGAAACAGAAGATGAATTAAATAATTCATCAGATAATTTAAAAAAAAGTACTTAAATTTTAAGAGTATTAAAATTCTTTCGATTTGTAAAAGTAATTCGTTTATTGAGATTGGCGAAATTGAAGGCTATAGTAGACAAAATAGAAGAATATTTTTCTGATAGTTCAATAATTTAAACAATAGGAAGTTTTATGAAACTTTGTGCATTTGTATTGTTTTGGTCACATTGGCTTGGATGTATTTTTCATTTTATAGGTTAAAATGAAGATATAACATATAATTGGCTTTCAATTTATGGATTATATGATTAACCTTGGGAAATAAGATATGTAAATTCTGTTTATTGGGCTGTAACAACAATGATTACAGTAGGTTATGGAGATTTATCTCCTTAAACTCCTTTAGAAAGACTTTTTGGAGTTTTCTTTCTTTTAATTGCTTGTGGTGTATTCTCATTTACTATGAATACTATAGGTAATACAATGCAATAATTGAGTTAAAAATAAGATTAATATTAAAAAAGAATATCAGAAATTAATAATTATATGGCTAAAGTTAAAATACCAAAATAGTTGTAAAATAAAGTAAGAAGATATTTATAATATATATGGGATTCTCATCGTAGTATAAATTTAGAATCAATTTGTTCAAATCTATCTTTATCTTTAAAATATGAATTTACAATTTAAGTAAATGGAGCTATTTTAGCTAGTTATAAATTACTTTGTGAAACATTTTCCAGAGAAATACTTATAGAATTAACTCAAATTCTAAAAGAATAAACTATATAACCAGATGAATATGTATTTATTGAAGATGAACCTAAAAATGAATAAATTCTCTATTTTATTTAAGAAGGTTAAATAAATATTGTTTTAATAAAAACAAGATAAATTGTAGCAAGATTAAGTAATAAATAAATTTTTGGTGAGATTAGTTTTTTTGGAAATATTGGTAGAACAGCATCTGCAAAAAGTAATGGATTTACTGATGTTTTTGTATTAAAAAGATAAGATTTTGTAGCATTATTAGATAAATTTCCAGAAGATAGAGAAAAATTTAATTTTATCAATGAAGAAGTAAGTAAACGATAATTTTAAGTTTTGAATATTCATTGTTATGCTTGTGATTTACCCGGACATGTAATAAGAGATTGTCCATCATTACATTTTGTTATAGATTTATATATATATTAAAAGACTAAAATTAGATGTATTAAAGCTATAATGAAAGATTTTGTAAGAAAAGATAGAATGAATTATCATGCATTAAAAAATAGATAAGTATTAGAAAAAACTGCTTAAAGTCTTTAAATGAATATACCAACACATAAATTTTTAGTAGAAGAATGTAATGTAGATGATCAATTATCATAAGCAGTTGAAGATGAATCAATTAAAAAAGGATTTAAATTAAGATCTAAATTTAAAGAAGATAGAAATAGAAGAAGAAATTGGGAATAAACGATTAAAAAGTCTGCTTAAAAAATATAATAGATTTAAATTAAATAATCAGAAATTTTTAGTATTACTAAAAGTATCTCATAAGCTCTCTTATCATCTCATGCAAGTGGTGAAACAAGTTTAAATCATATTGCTATTAATTAATTTAAATCTCCTAATGAAAGTTCAGAAGATAGTGATACTTAAACTATTTAATAGAAAATGTAAGAAATTATGGCTGATTATTAAATATTTAAATAGGAAGTTGATAAATATAATGGCAGTCAATAATTAGAAATTAAAAGGAATTTTGTTTTATTAAATGAATTTGAATATGGTTGTGATTATAATTTATTCTATCCACATAATAATCTCTCTGTTGTTTTAAAAGAATTTCATAAATATTAATTAGGTAACTCTGTTAAACCTAAAATTGATACTGAGTATGATACCAATGTATTTTAAGAATATATGGAATATTATGTTATAGATATAGAAGATGTGAAAAGATTTAAATTGGAAGTTAAACCATCTCAAATTAAACAATTTCTACCTTTCACATAACTTCTTTAATAATAATATAATCGCTAAGTAACCATAATTATTATTCATTTTATTAGAAAAAAAAGAACTTTGGGTTGTTAAAATAGCCAAAGAAATCTTTAAAATAAATTGCTAGAGCAATTATTTTGGCAAGAAAATTTAAATGATCTATTATATTTAATGATATAATTATTATTAAACGGTATGAAAAATACAAAAAATTCTCTTAATCCTCAAGTTAGATAATTTATAAAATAATTCACATAATCTCAATAAGAACTAGAAATTAACAAATAAAAAACTTTGACTAAAGTACATCATCAATTATCTAAAATCATAATAAATTAGATTTTAAAGCAATAAATTCTTTTAATTATCTTCAAAATAAGATAATATATAAACTTATCTTAAAATTCAAAGACTCCAATTTCATTCTCTTTTCTAATTCTCTCTTTTGTATTGATCAAGATAGATATGTTGATGTTATAATTTAGAAAGTTATCGAAAAATTAGAGAAAAGAAATTATTGCAAGAAAAAACCATTTTTAATTATATAACAAAATGTTATATTTATGAGTATTACACCTGAAACTAATTTTGATTATTTTGATAATGACTCTGTTATTTGTCAAATGTAGTATCTGAATCATTTAATTAGATAATAAACTTTTTTAAGTTCAAATCTAAATCAAACACCAATAAACTATAAATTAAAGCTTTTGATAGTTTTGATTAGAAATAAAAAATGTTTAAAGTTTAAAAAAAATAAAAATTATGAAAATAAAGAGAAAGTTAAAAACTTACTAAATTAATATATAAATTTAAAGCTTATTTACTTGTTGTAAGATCTTAAGGAAAGTTTTGATTATTTAATTTATTAATAAATTTTACTTTTATATTAAATCATAAATATTATTATTATTATTATTATTTAATTATAATGTCTCTTCTTCTTTTGAATGCTAGCAATAGAATTGCTTAAGGATTTTTAAAAGTTGCAGCTGAAAGTGGTAAATATGAAAAAATCATATGTGCTGACATATTTCCTACGTATTTTACAGTTTAAAGACTGCTCAAATTTAAGTCATCATTATCAGGAAATATAGAATTATTCAAAATTGGAGATCGTTAAGATTTACATGATGTTATCAAATAAGCTAATAATATTCTTTATGTTAGTCATGATTATACCTAATTGACTGCATCTAAAAAGAATTTATTGGTTGCTACATTAGATTTAGTCAAAAATAAAAATTATAAGACTGTTGCATATGTTGCACCAGTTGAACATGATCATTAAGAAGAAATTGATGAATGGAGACATTTAGAAGTAGAAGGACGTCGTTTCATTCCATAATTAGTAGGAATTAGATCTGATATTACATTTGGACCTTAAAGCACATTTACTAATAAATTAGCATCAAGAATATATAATGGTTAAAGTATTTACTTTTAAAGTACTGGATAATCATGTGCTCCTATATTTACAGGTGATTTAGACTAAATTGTTGCTTAAGTTCTTGCAGGATCTCATGCAGGAAAATTACTCTTAGCTAAAGGACACAAACATATTGATTTCAAATCTATTATTCATTTAATTGAAGACAGTCTTGGAACTACTTATAAAGCTAAATTAAATTAATCATTTATTGAAAAAGTATAACAATATTATATTCATTTTAGATTATTCATCCAACAAATAATTGTATTATTGGTTAATAATTATATTGTCCATCATACATTAATCTAACTTAATTGATTGCCAATTATAAAGCATTAGAGAATACTGGGTATGATTAAGTTGTTGGTGATAAATTAGTTGACATCGAAGAATATCATAAAAACAATAAAACCATTGTTGATCAATCATTAAAAGCTGATTACTAATTAAGTTATTTAATCGGTTGAATAAATGATTATGATCTATATTAATCAAATAAAATATAAAATATATTATATTTATTATATAATTTACAACATACTATTTTAATCTATATCAATATCTTTAGTTTTTTATTATTTTTGGAAAAACCAATATTATTTTTATTAAAAAAGATTAAAAATACAATTGTTTTTTTTATTCTTTATTAATTAAATTAAATTAAATTCTATCAGGAAATATGATCATAATTCTATTACATTTAATATAAAGCTGATTTCTTTTTAATTCTACATTTATAATAAGGTATTAAGGTATTTAACAATTTATATGAGTTCACTAGACAACGAAGACAATTTACTGAAAATAATTGACAAATTTTAAAATAATATAGAGAAATTTTAAAAGAATCATAAAGAAAAAATGCATCTTGTTTTATTAATTGGTTCAACTGGTTGTGGAAAGAGTACTATCTTTAACTTTTTAGTTGGAGGAGATTTTTATATAAATAATAAGGAATTAAAGATAAAGAATCCTTAAAATCATTTTTCTAAGATGAATGGCGGTATGATCTCAGTTACAAAAGAACCAAATTTCTATTTAAATACTTAAAATAATCATTTGATTATTGATTTTCCTGGATTTAATGATACAAACGGGGAGTTGGATTAATTATTATTTTAACTCTTATTTTACAAAATTGTTTCTACAAGCCCAATTAAAGTTATTTATGCTGCCAAAAATCCAGAAAACAACCTTATAAATAGAGGAAATGATCTTTAGGAATTTGTTAGATAACTAAATTAATAAGTTAATGTAAGTTTTCAAAAATTCAATTTATTTTTAAATTGTTATTTAGAAGATTTATCTGATAAAGAATTAGAAATTAATGTAAGGAAGGATTTGCATTCTGTTAAATTATCATAATTAGTAGAATAAATTTTTGTATTAAGAAAAGCTAAAACAGAAGAAGATGTTAGTTAAATATTCAACGATTAATAAAGATAAAAATTATGGAAATTGATTGAATCTATGAATTCTTTTAAAATATAACCAATAAAATTACCTAAGACTGAAATAATAAGTGAATATTTGAGAACAAAAACCTTTTCAACAATTGCTATGTATGGAAATATGTTGTGTGATGTTTTTGACAAAAATTATTTAAAGTTATCAAATACAAAAAGCCATTAAACTTTAGTTTAAATGAACAATTTATTATCATTTATAAAAATTTAGAATAATTAGGATCCTCTTAGTTGGTATTTAAATTTCATTTCAATATGTTAACAATTGGCTACTAATCTTAATGCTTAAAATGATATTATGACAAGCAGTAATAATTTTAAAAAGATATTCTCCTTTTTTTCATAGTTTTCTAATCTTATATCTGGGTATGATGAGCTGAAGATTTCTAAATAAATCGCAGAAAATTAGTTGAAAAGAATAGAAGAAATACTGAATACAAGAATAGAGTTTTTAAAGTAAGCATAGAAAGATTAGGAGAGGATTTAATCAATGGAAAACTAATAATTAAATTTACAACAAGAAATGGAAAAGTAAAAAAATTAAATGACAAAATAAAACTAATAATATGAAAATCTAAAGTATGAATCTATGGAATAGAAAAATAAATATGAATTAAAATTAAAAAAATTGATGTCAGAACAGGAATAAAATGAAATTAAAAATTAAAAAAGGATTTAATAAATGGAAATGGAAAACAATTAAAAACTATAAAAAATAACTCAATATTAAAATAAAAAATATCAAACCTTGATGGCTGAGTTAGAAGACCTTAAAGATAGGCCTCCAGAAATTTAATATATTCATCATTATCATAAAGAAGAATCATCCTGTTAATTGATTTGAATCTTGCTAGATCTAAATTAATAATATTAATTCCTAAAATTTCTCTCTCTCTACTTCTATTAAATTTAAAATTAATGTTTTGATATAAACAATTATGATGTAATAGAATTTTACAATTATTATTATTTATAGAAGATTAAGTATCGATAATATATATTTTCTAAACATAATTTTTACTATTTTAATAATGTTGATATCTTGAAAATATTTTATAATTTTATTCAATTTTTGTCTAATATCTATATCAAAAAATATAGTAAGATTTATCTTTTATTAAGTCAAGAAAATTATCTTAAACTATTTAAGCATTTCCTAAAGATTTATGAAGATTATTTAATTTATTTCAAAAAACTTTTGAAACAAAAAATTATTTATTAATAACAATAATTATCATCTTAATGCAATAATAGATAGGAAAAAAGTAATTTTAAATGGAATGTTAAAGAAAACATTTCATAAAGGATAAGTTATATCATCTTCTTTTAGAGGATAATTGCATAAGAATATCTGAGGTAAGAAAACATCCAACTAAAAGAGACAGTCATATTCAAAAATTGTAAATATGTACTTGAACTAAATTTTGAAAATATAATTTATTGGAAGACAGAGCAGAGCTAACTTGTTGCATATGGTATTAAGTATAATAAAAACCTAAAATGGTTTCATGCTAACAGCTCCGATTTATAACATTTATATAAAAAATTATGTGGAAGAATTTTTTTTGGAAATGTTTCTTCCATTTATGAGAGCAAAGAAATATTAGGTTCAGGGGCTTCATCAAAAGTATATAGAGTTTCTAATAAATTAACACATACTGAATTTGCTTCAAAATGCATTCGTAAAGATTACATCTATAAAAGAGAAGATAAAGAAAGATATGTAACTATTTATGTGATATAGAATCGCTTAATTTAAGAAATAGAATTAACAAGAAAACTAGATCATGAAACAATTGTTAAAATGATTGATATTTATGAAGGAGAAAAATCGTTCTATATCATTCTTGAACTATTAAAGGGTGAATCTCTTCATTCTTTTTCGAAAAAAAACATACTATCTCTTACATAGATTCGATAAATAATAAGTGTATCAACATAATTGTATGATAGAGATGTTTACAAGCATTATGTTATTTAGACTTGCATAATATAATCCATAGAGATTTGAAATTAGAAAACTTGGTATTGAATGAATAAGGAAAAGTAGATACTGTAAAAATTATTGATTTTGGTCTTGCAATTTACACTTCTAGTCCTTATAGATAATTATGTGGAACTCCTGGATATATAGCTCCTGAGATGTTTATAGAAAAATACCCATACACAACTAAAGTAGATATTTTTAGTTTAGGAGCTATATTTTATAAATTATTGTGTAAAAAATCATTATTTAGTGGAAACACTAGTGATGAGATTTTAGAAAATAATAAGAAATTTCTATGTAATAATCATTTAAAAAATTGTTCTGATGTAACTATTGATCTGATAAAATAAATGCTTTAAAAAGATCCTTAAAAAAGGATATCAGCTTTTTCAGCTTTATAGCATCCTTTCTTTGGAGATAAAAGCTCAGGTATTGATTTAATAAAATTAGATAGAATAAGGAATAGCTGAAGAAAGTCCACATGAGATTGTGAGAACATTTCCTCACACAAAACCAATGTAAATAATAAATTCTAATGACAATATTGCAGATATTAAGATTTAAGCAATTCGAGGAAGTTAATAAAGCTTTGAGCAAAGCTTAGGATCTAATTATTTCCCATCATTTGATGAGGGTTATCAAAAACCAAGAAATGGTAGCGATCATATTATTGAATGACTTTTATCAAGATACAAACTTAGTATTCATAATATTATATATTCTTTTCTGCTATTTATCACTCAATTAGGATTTGTAATAAGGAATTTTATTATCAAGTAATTTGTTACATATTGTTTAGGCTCTATCTTTATTATCATCGTTCATTAATACGAATTCAATAGATTCATTTAATTTTTCTAATTTAATTTTCTATCTATTTATCAATCTTTCCTTTGCTCTTTAACTTTCCTCCTTTCCTTTAATTTCATTTAATTTATTTCTTTCTTCTTAAAAATCAATTATTTTTTCGTGGAATATTTTTGTAAAATTTCTATCTTATGCTTTTTCATTTATGAATGTTTTTAATTTTCTTTATGCATCCATTCTTAATTCTTAAATTTATTTTAAAATTTCTTTATCCTAACATATTCTTCTAACTGTTTATTATGTTTTAATTCCATTTATCAATCTTAATTAATCTATTTTATCAAATGTTTAAATAAGAATTTCAAGTTTATTCTAAACCTTTTTAGGTTTTAATGATATGCTTCTAACTTTATTAGTTAATAAATCTTCAACAACTTGTTTATATTCTTATTTTTAACAATGTTCCCAAGCTAAATTAATTTAACTATTAGTATAATGAATTATTTGATGATCTTGGAGAATTTTTAAGAATTATTATTTTTATTTTGGTTTCTCTATTCTTAATTAAGCTAATAAGTGATGTGTCATCATCTATTATTAATGATAATGGAAAAACTTAAATTCTTGTTTTATTATTTTTTATATTGTTTAATTTTAATCAGATTACATCATTTTATGCTATAAAATTCATTAAAATATAATCACTTTAATAAACTTTAATTTCTGATTTATTAAATTACTGAATTAATTAGAGTTATTTTAATATTTAATAAATAGCAAAATCAAGCATTTTTCTATAGTATATATTTGGCATACTCCTTTAAATCTTAAATATCTTCAGGGGATTTCATTTCACCCCATTCCTTCAATCTTTTTTTTAATTTTTCAATATGTCTATATAATATATAATAATTACTATTTTTATTAGATTAATTTATCTGTTAAATCACTTGGGAAATGATAATCCATATCTACTTTAAAAAAAAGATCTTGTTTCATCTACTCCATTTCATGACTTATATATGGTTATAAAACATCTGTTGGAACTTAAATTTAAAATTTCTTTGGTTCATCATTTAACAAATTCTAGTTATTAAAATTCATGAATTTTTTGGTCTTGCTTTTAAGATTATTGCGTTAAAAAAATTAAATTTTTTGCACTTATTACTACTTAGGTTAAATAGTTTCCTCTATTAAATCAGGTTTACTTTAAATTCTTTAAGAAGCCTATTCAATTTTAGGTTCTACTTTGATTAAGTAATTAAATTTTAAATTTGGTTTCTTTCTTTTTTCAGGTAATATATAATGTTTATTGAAATGCCAATGACCATCAGGAGTATGATGCTAATTTGTTGGAGATCGAGAATTATCAGTATTATATCGTTATTTCTCTGAATTAATCCTCACTAAACGATTCATTTGATCTCTTTCTCTAATGAAAGGAACAAATGATTATATATTTTTTACATTTTTACTAAATTCTTTAATAAGTTTGAAACGAGGCAAAGATATATTACAATCTTCATAATCACTGAAATATTCTGAAATATTATTTTTGAAGCTTTGTAGATAATTATTTGACAGCATATAAAATTATATCTGAAATTAAGCTATTATTGATAAGAACTTAATTTATTAAAAGAATTAAATTTATTGTTTTGCTTAAATTAAATATATTAATGATCACACTAAAAAATAAATAACAATTTACAATTTTTATAGAAAGTATTTTAAGAAAACAAATAACTAATTAAAATAAAGTAATATTATTTAAACAACATAGAAAATCAATACTAATTTTAAAAAATCAAATAATATGATACTAGAAAAAAGTATTTTTAAATGATATATCATAAATCAGTATTATTTTTATCATTAATTTATTTAATGTATGATTAAATAGTATTTTAAATGCTTAAGTTTCTTTATTTTAATTGTCGAAAGAGAGATTATTATTTAAATTTTGGTTAATAAATGCTTGGAAGAAGAGTTTTAGAAACTATATCTGTTTATCTAATCTGATAACATCTAATAACAGAATTGTCTCTAGAAGTAGCTTAAATTTCTTCTAAAATTCTTTAAGTTTTTGCTGGAGATTCGTTTGGTGATTAAGTTTCAAAATGAAAAATAGATTATTTAGATTATATTACTTTTTCTTATGTATTTGATTCACTTCTTTGAACACTTTTAAAATTCAACCTTTTAGGAGGATTAGATGTAGATTATTTCTTATCTATTTCTTTTCCAACACAAAAGATTCTAAGATTTGTTTGTCTTTTAATTGTAAATTCTAATGCCATTCTAGTAATATCAATTAAATGTTGTAGCAATATTAAGAATATAGATTGTTTACTTTGGTTAAATAATTCATTTTATAATTGATCTACTTTAGAAGGAAGACCATAATATAAGTAAAGTTCAATAACATTTTTAGTAGTTGAAGCTAAAGTTGGTTCTAGATTAAGTAACTAATTATAAATTATGACTTTTAAATACTTCAAAATTAACTGCAATTATTTTAAGTATGAATTTAATGGCTTCTTGAAATTGGAGTAGATCATTTTAATTAAGCTTCTTGGCCTAATATAATTGGTTCATGGAATCTGTTTCGATTATTTGTCTAATCTTCTCCCTATACTCAGAGAATCAAATTTTTGAGCATACTTATTTACTTTATTGGAACTTGGTTGTTCTATAAATTACGAATATCTTGTGCTCGTTCCCTCAGCAAATCCATAACATTCATTATTAAAAATATTAATTATAAAATTAACACATACTCTTTGCTTAATCTAATATAAATAAAATAGGTATTCAATTTTAGAATTATTTTAATAATTTAATATTAATGAGTAGAGGTACTAATCTCTTTTTAGTTTTTTCAATATCAACAGTTCTCTGGATTATCACTCTATTTTTATCAACTGGATATGTCAAGTATTTTTAAACATTAAAATAGTGAAGTAGCAAAATCTATGCCCACATATGCTTTAATTTTATATTTCTCATATGCACTTTATAAAGTAGGAGGAGATTTGGCACGAATAAAGGATTATCCTGAAGAAGCAGAATCTTTATAAAAAGAAGTTTAAGAAGCAAAACGTTTCTATTAACAATAGGGATTAAAATTATGAAAAAAAATATAACATATATATTTATATATAAAATTATTAACTTCAATCATATTTGCTTTGACATTTTTTAATTAAATGAATAAAGTTTCTTAATTTCTAATTTTCATATATTTATCAAGTAATATAAATCTATTTTTAGATATTGCTTATCGTAGGAGTAAAATATAAAATATAGAGATTGTTTCTTCACAATATTTACAATATTCCTAACAATTACTAAGTCATTCATAATAATAATCAAGGAATTAAATATTATTAATGAATCAGTAACAAGTAAAATACATAACTAAATATAAAGAATAGGTTAAGAAAATATTGAATTATAATAATGATATTAAGTTTAATATAAATTTGATTTATTTTTAGATAGTAGGTAAAATAGAACAATAATTATTAAGATAAGTATGATTATATAATTTTTGACAATTTTTTATTGTTATAAATTAGTTTATCAAATAAATAAATGTAATAAGAATATCGGAAGATCATAATAAATCGTAGAGATTAGAATATATTGTTTCCTTCAAATACTATAAAAAGTTCAAAATATAATATGCTAAACTTCTTTCCTAAAGCAATTCTATTGCAATTTATGAGAATAGCAAATATTTACTTTTTGGTAACAGCAGTTTTACAGAGCATGCCATTAATTTCTCCATTAGCCCCATTTTCTGCAATAAGTAAAATGAGTTAATAATTAGTTAGGTCCACTAGTGTTTGTTTTGGCTGTATCATTATTTCGTGAAATGTTGGAAGATTATGTATAAAATAGTTAGTAATTAACCTTAAGCGTAAACATAGAAACGATGACATGATAAATGAATAGGTAGCCTTATTGTATAACAATTATGTTTTTTAAAAAATATAATGGAAAGAGATCAGGGTTGGTGATATTGTACAAGTTTTAGAAGATTTTACAATACCAGCAGATTTGTGTATAATACGTACAAGTGATGAGAATGGCTAATGTTTTTTAGAAACTTCAAATCTTGATGGGTGAGTTACAATACTAAACTAGTGAACGCAATCTCAAAACAAAATATGCAATAGCAGATATATAAGAGTAGATGGTCCATGGGAAGTTTAGCGATCTTGCAGGAGAATTGTAATGTGATAAGCCTAACAATCGAATTCATAAATTTCAAGGAATGTTATAAGTTGATCTAAAATAATACCCAATAAGTAATAACAATATTTTGTTGAGAGTATTTATTATACTAGTAAATATTAGGGGACAACTATTAAAAATACTAAATGGATTGTAGGTTTGGTAGTATATACAGGTCATGATTGTAAAATTATTAAAAGTTAAGGTAAGATGAGATATAAGACAACTCATATAGAGAGAGCATTAAATATCATTGTAATTGTGATATTGATTCTATAAGCAGGAGCATGTATAGTATTAGCATTCTTCGCTGCTTATAACTATAATCCATTTATTTTTGAAGGCAATCCATAGTTTATTTACATCTATCCAGAAAATGATAGAAATGGACCAGTTGTAACTGCAGTTATTAGTTATTTCTCTAATTTTCTACTTCTCAATTCTATGGTTCCAATTTCGCTAATTATCTCATTAGAAACATTAAAGTATTTGTAAACTACTTGGATGGAATTTGATGAATATATGCAAAATGAAAATTAACCATTTAGAGTCCTCAACACAATGATTCATGAAGAACTAGGCAAAATTGAATATATATTTACAGATAAAACAGGTACTTTGACTTCAAATAATATGGAATTTAGACAATGTTGTATAAAAGGTATTGCATATTCAGATGAAGATTTACAAGAGATTTTTAAGAGCGATAATATTTTGGATGATTTAGAATTGGAAAAATATATTAATTTCTTTCTTTGTATAATTATTTGCCATAATGTAATTGTTGATGAAAAATAGAATGAATTTTAAGGTAGTTCACCAGATGAAGTTGCTTTAGTTAAAGCAGCATTTAATCATGGATTTAAATTTCTTAAAAAAACAAACAATTCTATATTTATTAAAGTGAGAGAATAATTGTTAGTTTATGAGTATATTTGTGAATTTGAATTTACATCAGATAGAAAAAGAATGAGTATAGTAGTAAAGGATATGTAAACTGAATAATTACTATTATTTTGTAAAGGAGCTGACAATATAATTTGGAGAAGATTGGACATGAAAAAACATTAAGAATAAGAGTTAAGAATGAGTTAAGTTAGTCTTAAGAAATATTCTAAAGATGGACTTAGAACATTATGTCTATCGTATAAATAAATTGATGAAATTTAATTTTAAGATTGGTAAAAGTAATATAGGGCTTTCTAAAATGAAGTAGCACTTGATCCAGAAGCAATAAATAAATTAAAAGAACATGAATCTATTTTAGAACATGATTTAATGTTATTAGGTATAACTGCATTAGAAGATAAACTTTAAGAGGATGTTCCTGATGTCATAAAATCACTTCATGAAGCTGGAATTAAAGTTTGGATGCTTACGGGTGATAAAATGGAAACTGCAGAAAATATTGGATATCTATGTCATTTAATTGATCATACTACTAAATGTTTTAGAGTTAATTAAGAAGATGAAGAAGAAATTTTGTAATTCAATTTTCTTTATATTTTAGAATGAGATTTAAAAAAATTAATAGGAGTATCTTAACTTATGAAAAAATTACCAAAAAAACTAATAAAGTTAAGAAAAATTAATAATTAAAATAACAATTATAATGGTTAAGAGAATAATCCTCTATCAATTCATAAATCAGATCTGTTCACAAAATGAAAATGAATCAAATTTCTGTTAAATCAGAGGGAAGTGAGAATCACAGTTAAAAGGAATTTAAAAGAACATTTGCTTTAATTGTAGAAGGAGATTCAATTTATTATCTTTTACATTCAAAATAAATTTAGGAAGAATTTCTTAAAATTATTCCTAAATGTAGAACTGTAATTTGTTGTAGATCAACACCAAATTAAAAAGCAGAAATAGTTGGTTTAGTTAAGAAAAATCTTAAAACTATCACTTTAGCTATTGGAGATGGTGGAAATGATGTTAGCATGATATAAGAATCTCATATAGGAGTTGGAATTTTAGGAAAAGAAGGCAATCAGGCAGCTATGAATAGTGATTACTTTTTTTGCTAATTTAAACATTTATGGAGATTATTATTTGTACATGGAAGATGGAATTTATATAGAACTAGTTATTTTGTAAATTACTTTTTTTTTAAAAATATATTGTTTACATTTCAACAATTTTACTTTGCATTTTTTAATGCATTCAGTAGTTAATCATTTTATGAAGATGGTTATTTATTGAATTTTAATACATTAATAACAGCAGTGGCTCCAGTGTATTATGGAGTATTTGATTAAGATTTGGATGTTTAAGATTAATATATAAAATCATAATTGCCAAGAGTATATAGCGAATTTAAGTATCACAAATTGTTTGGGAGAAGAGCATTTGCAAAATGGTATGTTAGTGGTTTGTTGTGTAGTGGATTAGTATTTTTTGTGTCAAAATAGATATATTTAATATAGGTAAATAGTGAAAGTGGTAGAGTAGATGGATTGTGGTAATTAAGTGTATCTTGTTATTGGTCAAGTGTATTTATAGTATTTATGGTTATAATAAGTGATTCAAATTAATTTACATGGATAACATTTTTAGCATATGGTCCATTAAGTATATTAGCATTTTTTCCTGTATTTACATTGGCATGGAATGAATTTTAGAGTGAGACAAAACATTATGCATATGATTGGTTAGGAAATGCTAAATTTTTTATAGTAGTAATATTGATAGTAGGGACAGTATTTATATTTAAGAGAGTGATTAATATTTGGTAATAGCTTGAATATCCAACAGTGATTGATTAAGTAAGAAAAGAGAGGGCTGAAATGAATAATATGATGGAATAATCATAAGGGCCAGGATCAAGTAGATTGGAATTGAGTGAAATGGAATTTCCAATAGCAATTGAGAATTAAAGATAAGATGTATATAATCTGTCGCATAATATGGGATAATAAAGAGATATGGATATGTGATAAAATTTATTTGCACTATTTATATAATAAAATGATTCGTCCACGTTATGAAAGTCAAAAGGACCATCCTTTGTAATCTGATGTTGCCTGTTTCTTAATGGTTATTGAGATATAGAGACTATTAGATGAAAATACATAATTGAAAGTGGAAATGTAGGAAATCTTAGCTAGATAACTTGATAGAGCTAATTATGAATAATAGATAAGAGATCTTATGGAACGTCTTCGTTAACTATAAGGGTATACTGATATTTTATATATTAAATAGTTTGGTAACAGATTTAACTAAAGAAAATAAGTAACTTAAATAACGATAAGCTGATTAGGAAGCTGAACTTGCAGATTTAAAACAATTTGTAGAGGATAATAATTTAGAAGAGAAATAGGAATAATAGGAAGCGGTTGCCAAAGAATTAGATGATCTTAAAGATTAATTAGAAAGAGATTAAAAAGATAGGGTATTATCATTATTCTTATATTTATAGGATGATTAAAAGGCATTTTATGAAGGATTATTAGCTGATAAAGATGATTTAATTGCTGAACTTAGAAGATAATTAAAAGATGCTGATGATAGGTTTAATAATTATCGTAGAGAAAAAGAGTAAATTATTAAAGAGAAGGATTATGATATTAAAAATAAAGAAAGAGAGATTAAAGATTTACTTAGAAGATTAGCTGAATTTGAAGGAAAGTTATAAGGTAAAAAACCAGATGAAATTCAAAGAGAAATGGATAGATCAAAAAAAGAATTAGCAGATAAAGATAAAGAAATTGATAAATTAAAAAAGAAATTAGCAGATTTAGAAGCTTAATTAGCATTATTAAAATAATAATTATAGGATTCTAAAGATAAAGTTAAAGATGCATAAGCTTAAATAACAGATGCAAAGAATTAAGCAAATTAAGCTGCTAAAGATAATGATGCTAAAAATTAAAGGAGAATTAGAGAATTAGAATAATTAGTTGAATAATTAAAGGCTGAAATTGAAAGATTAAATTTATTAATTGATAAATTGAATTAAGATGTTACATCTGCATTAGAGAGAGAATAATTGTTGAATGATAATTTACAAAGTTAATTTAATAATCTATATTAGAATAATTAAGTGATAATGGTTCTGTTTCAGCTGCCAGATAAAATAGACAAGCCAAATAAGCAGAACAAGCTTAATAATAATTAAGTTAAACCTCTTAAAAATTAAAAGATGCTGAAAAAGATAATAATGAACTTAAGAAAAAATCTAATGAATTAGATAGATAATTAGAAGAAGCTAAAAAATTAATTAAATAATTACAAGATGAAATTGCAGCTTTAAAAGAAAAATTATTATTAGCTTAAACTGAAAATGATGATCTTAGAAATCAATTTAATGATTTCTAAGATTAATTGACTGAGGCTTTATTAGATAAAGATTATTTATAAAAGACTCTTAAAGAATAAGAAGATGAACTCAATAGAGTTAATGATTAAATACAAGATTTAAATAATGAAAAAGAACAAGCTAAAGCAGCTGCTTTAGATGCATAACAATAATTATAAGATTTGGCAGATGAAAAAGCATAGGAAGAAGCAGATAAAGAAAAAGATTAAGATAAATTAAATGATTTAGAAGATAGAATCACTGATCTTGAAGATTAAATTGAAGATTTAGAAAAAACAAGAAATCGTTTACTTAATTAAATTTAAGATTTAATTGATAAATTACATGATGAAAGAGAATTATGTGAATATTATCATAAACTTTGTACTGATTAAGAACATTAAAATAAATAATTATAAGATTAAGAAAAACAATTAAAGGAACAAGTCTAAAAACTTAATGATGATATAGAATAGATGGAAGAAGATCATGATGAAGCTTAAAAGAGATTAGTTGAATTAACTTAAGAATAAGAAGCTCTTAAAGAGTTAGCTAATTCTAATTAAGATAATTTCATAGATAAGGAAGCTTATGATAATTTATTAAATCAATTGAATGATAAAAATAAAGAAATAGAAGATTTAAATGAATTATTAAGAAGATATGAATAATAATTCAAAATGTTAAGAGCTGAATTAGCAAGAGTTAATTTAGCTTAATTAAAAGAAAAAAAGAATAAATAAGATACTGAAGGTCTATTAACTAAGATTATGATAATGCAAGCAGAAAATGAACGTTTATAATAAGTTGCCAAATAAGTTTAATCTTAAATTTCATCTCCTGATATTATAAAGAGAACTGGAAGTTAGGGTAATGATCCTACATAAGGAAAAATAGAATAATTATAAAAGGAAAATCTTGTACTTGAAGATTAAGTTAGTGAGTATGAAAATAAGATAGCTTTATTGACTATGGAATTGAAGAGATTGAAAGATTCAAAGTAATTTTATTTTTCTTATAATTAATAGACCTGAAATTCTTCCAATAAATTCTAATGGTAGTGATGAATTATAACTTTAACTATAAGTTTAATAATTATAATAACAAGTTCAAAAACTAGAGAATGCTGAATTATTATAATAAAATGGACAACCTTTGTCTAAAGAAGATAGAAGATTATCTGATTTGTTATGTTTAGTGACAATTATGGCTGCTGAAATCGAGAACCTTAGAACTGCAATGAAGTGAATAAATATAGAATATATTATTATATTTATATTTCTTTGATTATATATCACTCCTCATAAAAGAATTAGGGAACTACACCTTAATTAATTGTTGTAGAATTATCACTAAACTCTTTACTGAAAGTTGGTTCTTCAAATTTAAATTCATCAGTTTCAAATTTACCATTGGCTCCATAATAACTTAAACAACTTTGATTTGGTGTCAAAGCTCAAAATTAAAGAATTTAATAATACCAATAGTGTAAGGCTTGTCATATTCAATTTTGATTGCTTTTGTAAAATATAATTTACCTATATGATTAACAAATTCCATATCATTCTTAATTATGAATTTGTCTTAGTATATTATTTTTTTACTAATTTATTATTTAATTTAATAATACCTATTAAGATTCGAACCTTCAAATATTTGTACTTAAAAATTCAACTCTTATTCAGGCCATGTAGTAATCTCATACAATCCTACACCTGAAAGCCATATATCATGTTTCTTTTTAGATCTTAAACATATGGCATCAGTCTCTTTTAAATTCCATTATTCATATGCTAATTGATATCTATTTTGACTACTCAATATCTTAATTTATTTTTTAATTGGATTCTAACATGTTTCATATAATTTTTTTAGATCTGTTAAACACTAGTATAAGATACTATAATTTTCTTACTTTCTCCAACCAAAATTTACTCTCTCTCTCTATTACTTCAGCTGTCTTTATAAGCTTTTAAGCCTATTAATTTATTTCTGTATCTCTCAATATCCAAATCTATCCATCACATGTTTTTAAAAGAGGTTCAATTTTCTCTATTGCTTATTCTATCTACAATTTTGTTAATTTCTCCATATTCAATTAAGATATTGATTTTTCAAATGCGTCTCCTACAAATAAATCTGCTTCTAAATCTAATAATTTTATTTATTTTTCTATTTCTCTCTCTAATTTGTTAAGGATCTCTTTTATTTCAATTAGATTCTATCTAAAAGTTTGTTTAATCTTATGATGCTTTCCAAATATCTCATTACCTTTATTATGTAATTCTTATTAATTTTTTGGATTATTAGCTTTATTTAGACTTTGAATTATTGTTTTAAGTGGAAATACATTCTTTACATGGTCTTAATGACATTTTAATAAACAAAATGAACATATCAATCCTTTTTATTAACAATCTACTTCTAAACAAAATAAATTTAGAGGATTATCTTAGTGTTCTTTGTCTTCACAGTATAATGTTTACATTTAATTAAATGTTAAAATTATTCAACAAAGAAAAAAAAAAAGTACCTTAAATTCAAAATGTACTTACTATAGAAGAATTTTTCAAAAGGGATGAATATGAAATAAATGATGAGTTTTGGAAAATGAATGCCACATAACTTGAAGACACATGTAAAAAATAAGAAAAATATATCAAAAAATTGAAAATTTTATATGCAGCAGTATTATTCATTTTTTATTCATTCAATAGCATTTAGAATATCTTGAATAATTGTTGATTAAACATGAAGAAGAAAAAAAGAAACTTAGAACTGAAGTTGAAGAATGGCAAATTAAAAACTGTAAAAAATTTTAATTTTATCATAAGAAAGCAATTACGATCTAAAATAACAAATAGAAGTGTAATATAAGTAAATTTATGAATAGTTTTCTTCTTAAAACTAATAATAAAAATAACTTTAAATTATAGAGGAACATAAATAAGAACCATAAAATACAGATTTATTAGAACTTATTGAACCAAAAGAAGAAGAAATAGAAAGATTAAGAAAATAATGCATAAAAGTTTGTGAAGAAATGAGAAGATTATAAGAAGATAATGATGATATTAGTACAGCCTTAGATACAGAGAAATAACATAAAGAATATTTAAGATAACAATTCGAATAATAAAAAGTTTAATTTTAATAAGAGATATCTGATTTATAAAATCAAATTAAGAATTATTAAAATGAAGGATAAATCAATTCTTAATAATTAGAAGATAAAATAAGATATTAAAAGGATTTAGAATAAAATATGTCTGAATTTACAACTAAAATACATGAATTTGAAAGTAAATTACTATAAGAAAAAATTAAAGTTGATTAAAAAAATAAAGATTGTATTAGATTAGAAGATTAAATAAGTGAATTAAAAAATTAGATTGAATAAATGTCAAATTAAATAAATATATAAAAAAGCAAATTATAATTACTAGAATCAAAAAGGTAAAAAGATAAATTAACTATCAATGAATTAAAAAATAATATTGCAAATTAATAGAATAATAATGAACTAATTTTGTTTCAATACAAAAATGAAATCTAAAATTTAAATTTATAATTTAATGAATTATAACTAAAAAGTAATCTCTATGAACAGCTCAAATTTTAATATGATTAATTGCAAAATTAATTGATGGATAAAAATGTAAAGATTTAATAATTATTTCATTAAATTCAAGAAATGGAATAAAAAATAGAATAAAATAACAAGTAAATTTTAATTGTATTTTAGATAGTTTTAGAATAGAGAAGAAAAATAAGAATAAAAAGATAATGAAAGAGAAAAGTTAATTTAACATCTTACATTGAAAAGAGAGAATGCAAGAGTGGAAATTGAACAATTAAATGATAAGATATTATGTCTAATGAAGTTAGTTGATTCTATAAAGCATAAAGCTTCGTAAAATAATGACATTTAACAAATTATTAAGAATAACACAGAAATTCTAAATAAATCAGATATGCTTTAGAAAAGTAATCGTAGAATATAATTATTTCCAACTCTCCATAAATGTCTATCAGAATTAAGAAAATTAGAAGATAAATGTTATAAATTATACATTTAAACAATGATATCTGATTTTTCTAATAGAGAATCAACTATATAGATAGAAAGATACTTGAATGACATAGGAAGAAGATCTTAAGAATTATTAGATTTGTTAGATGAAATGGGTTTGAAATGATATTATTTAATAATTAAAAATTATTGTAGATTAATATTATTTTATTGAGTGATTAATGAAATTAGTCAGATTTCTTATGAAACTCAAAAATGAGTAGGTAATTGTGGAATTAAAGAATGGTACAGTGGTTTTAGGTACAATAACTGGAGTAGATGTAAGAATGAATACTCATTTGAGCAAAGTGAAATTGACATTAAAAGGAAAAAATCCTGTAGGATTGGATTAATTAACAATAAGAGGTTTAGAAAACGATAATTAATATGAATAGGAAATAATATTAGATATTTCCACTTATCCGAGAATTTATAAATAGACAATTTATTGGTGGATGAATCAATATCTAAATCAAAAAAAGTCAAAGCAGGAATGGAGAAGAACGATCCAAATTTTAAAAGAAAGAAGAAGAATAAGGTTACTAGATTACCAAGAAGATGAATAAGAATTCTATTGTATATCATTCCAATATAAAGTTAAAGAATTAGATTTTTATAAAAAAAAAACTCTTAATTAAAATGTTATTTCTAATAAAAGCAACAAAAATTTTTTTTCACTTTTATTAATGTTAAATAATAGGTATTACAAATATTTATATTTTCCAAAATTAGAATTGGAATTTATAATATTATATATGTTAATATAAAAACTTTTCTGTGATTTCATCAATATTCTGAATAATAAATTTTCTAATTTACTTTTTTAATTGATTAATAAATTCTTATTATAAAAAAAATATGATATAAGAAGTTAGTGAAAGAAAAATATCAACAATTACAAAAAATGATAATGTTTTAGATTTAGTTAAGATCAAAGTTAGATTAGATGAACATTTTTATATTTTTTCTCGTTTTATGATAAGCAGAATGTTAACATTATCGAGAATAAAGAAATTAGATGCAATCTAGATAGCTAAAGATATAAAAAAATAATTAATAGACAGGAATTCCCTTGAAATTAGCTCAAATGAATTAGAAGCTATAATATTTTAGACTATGAATAAATTTGGATATTAAAATAACATACAAAAATATCAAATGGTATCTAAGTACTAAATCAAAAAATAGTAGCTTCTACCGACACAGAACTCCTATGATTATTATAATTTTTGGTGCCCCAAGTATTGGAAAATCTCTATTAGCAAATAATTTAGCAGAAAGACTAAATATTTCAAATGTTCTACAAACTGACATTGTAGAAATGGTTATGAGGAGTATAAATCCAGAATAGTTTAATTATGATGAAAATGAAGATTTTGTAACTAAATTTAAGAAGGTAAAAAAATTAGAATTAATTAAGAGAATTGCAGATTAATAAGAAGAGGAGTTTCAACTGATATTTCTAAATGTTTATCTGAAGGAAAAGCTGTCATTATTGAAGGAAGTGCTGCAATGCCTGAATATTATTTAGAAGCTATTGATAAATAGGATGTTGGGGATGATCAGCCTCAATTATTATAAATTACAAGTTTTACTTAAAACGGTATAAAACTCAAAAAAGCTTAAAGAAAAGACTTATTGCTTTTTAATTAATAAAAAAAATTAAACACATAATTTAAAATCATCTTTCCTTAATCTGATTAAGATTTTGAAGATGAAGAACAGATTCAAAAAAACTTAAAGTTATATAAAGATTTAAATAAAATTGTAAATAAATACTTTAATAATTAGGATTAATCACACTCAATGATTTTAGGCTTTTTACCTATACTTTCTAGAAATGATCATTTATACAATATTGAAAATAATATGAGTAAAAAGATACCAAAAGATTTAATAGAGGAGAAACTAAACTAGTTTTAATCCATACAAAATGAATTATTAAAATAAAGAAGCAAATGTATTCTTTTACCTATCAATTTACACAATTTAGAAGAAACTTTAGTATAAAAAAATAATTATTTTAGGACACTATGCATGATATCATATTATAAAAAATTCTAGATTAATCAACTTGATGTAAGTGTGAATTGTTATTTATTTATCAAATATTAAAAAGAGTTATTTAAAAATAAAATCTTTCATTCAAATTTAGAAACCGCCAGATCTTCAGAACTATCTTCTTATTTTATTTGTAATCCATTGATAGAATTAAAACTATCATCTGTTATTTTACTTTTTATTTCTGGGACATCAATTTATTCTTCTATTTCATTTGCTGTATGATTTGGGCTAAAATTTTATTCTAATTATTAGCTACTTAAGTAGAATTACTCATTAGTACTTCCTTATTATTGATTTTAAGATTATTATGAAGATAATCTGCGATTATAGGATGATAATCCTAAAGGTCGAGTAAATGTACTTGAAAACTTTCCATATTTTGTTTAATATTCAGAATTATCGCCATCATAATAAATATCTTTAATTCCTTAGCTGATTTATGAATATTTATAACAAACTTCATTATCAGTCTTACTTTCATCAAATGGTTCATGAGAAAAATGGCTACCATTTTAAAATTCTTGAGTATGTCTAAGAAAACTTTATACAGCTTTTCTTTATAATTAAGTTTAAGCTGTAATTTTAGTTGAATTAGATTTTGTATGTACTGGAGGTTTATTATTTATATTAACTTCTTCTATAACTTATAAACCAGTTGCTAATTTAATAGTTTTTTCGAGTAAACATTCTTGAGACATCTACTTTATCAGATTTCCACCAATTTATGTGAGTTTTTTAGATCTATTTGATGAGATTTAAGATAATTATCCTTTTGAATTAAGTCCCTAATTTTATATTGATTAAGTTAGAGGTGATAATTATTATTGTTATAAATTTTTAGTTTGTAATTAATTTTTAGACTATTTTAAATGTTATTATTATTAAGACTGTGTTTTTTTTATGTTTTAATTTAAAGGCAAAGTTTATGATTTAGTTTTCAAACCTGAATGAACATTTTTTGATAATTCTTAGAAGTTTAAGTTTTTTTATTGGCTTGAATTTTTTTTATTATCAGATTCTGTTTAAATAATTTTTTCTTAAGAATTAGAAATTGTAGATAAACGTCTCTATTATTAAGAAACTAATTAATTTTTTCTTATTTCTGTTTTTTCAGATTATGCTCTGATACTGTTAGGCAATAGTTCTAATATTCGCTTTTCACAAATTTTCTAAACTAAGCATAATCCATCACTAGATTAGTTAATTAGGTTACTTAATATTATTAGGTTGATTACCTTCATAGATTTTCTTTAATCTACAAAGTGAATGAATACTTAACATTTTGAATTTAAGTTCTGTATCTTTAAAGAAACTTTCAATATCAAAAGAGAGACTAATCCATTTATTAGTTAAAATAAAAGCACTTGATATTTTTACTTCATCTGTCTTTTTAATATACGCTTACTATAGATTGGGACTTACTACTATTTTAAAATACTTAAAATCTATAAGCATCAGAGAATTACTTCTTATTTATTAGAAAGTTCAAGTATAAATTTAAGTTTTTCAATCAAATACAATTGAATGTATAATTTAGAGCCTTTAATGTATATATCATTTGTATTGTGGTAAGTGAATAAATTAGAAGGTCCAACTTTTAGAACAAAACCTCTATATGAAAATTAATTTATACTTTTCATGGTTTTATCAAACATAACATTTTCAGATTATTAACACTTAAGCTCTAATTATATAAATACTACTTACCTTTACAATCAAATAAAGTATTTTCTTGGTTTATCTTTGGTAAGTGAGTCATTAGTACAACTGTAAATATTATATTTAATAAATCATAAAACTAATTAATGCAAAAAAGAGTTAGCGACATTACTACTTTGAAAATTCGAACAATTAATGCAAATGGTATGAATAAATATAACCCTATTTAGACATCTCTCAAAGTGATTAGCCATTTTTTAATCAAAGACTTGATCAAACCAGAGATAATATTCAAATCCCTCAATCTATTCAAGAGATTTTATTCCCTCATTTTTAAATCAAATCTTTGACATCTGTAATTGTATCTTTGCTTGCATTAAATTATATATGTCAATACATCTATTATCAAGTTTCAGGATATAAATATTTTGGATGTGTATTATATGAATTTGGAGCATTTTATGCAGCTGATGTCATTAATGAATGTACAAATCATTAGGAATTAAGATGAATTTTATAGATATATTACTGGGACCCTTTATTTTGGAAGTATCTACAATGCTATTGTTTTTGTGACGACATTTACAATGCAAGCATATACATTAGAAGTTTTGTTTGGAAAGTTAATTATTTTTATATATTTAAATGCAGGAATCTATGGTTTAGTATTCTCGGGTTTGATTTACTAAAATTCTATCACCACAGGAAATTGTGGAATTATTTTTACTGTTTTAGTTCTTTATGGTTCAAACTTAATTAAGAAATATAATGAAATGGAAAATGCAAAGGCTATTATTGGCCTTTATTCAATTTAATTGATTTTAAATTTTTTAACAATTTTAGAAACTAACAATACTAATATTGGGATAGTAATAGGAGGTATAATTAATGGGTTTGGAATTTCATTATTTTATAATTTTCGACACATTAGTGAAAAGACTAAAAAAGCTTCATATATTATTATTTTTGTAATATATTCAGTTGAAATTATGATGTTTGGATTGCTACAAACTTTAGAAGTTGATAAAATATTTAAAATAGATTTGTTTTGTTGACTTATAAATTTGTAATTTTGAGAAATTAATTTTATTTTTTATCATAGTTTTTGTAAAATATGATTTTTATATAATAATAAAAATAAAATGGATATATCCGAAACAAAAGAAATTTAAGAAAAACAATTTATTTGCATAGATCCAAAATGCGATTAATAAAGTCGATTATTCAAATCAAAAAATGAAAATCATCCTCATAAATCTCATGAACATTAATTATACTCAGAGTTCTAAAAATTAATTCGTGCCCAATTTCCATAATAAATTCGAGAATAAATTAATTAATAATTTAGTAAGGATGAATTAATCAAAGCAATTTAAACAAGATCAGTTTAAATGCACGAGTCTGTGAAAAATTTTGAAGAAAATCTAATTAAGTATTTGTAACTCATAATGAATTATTAGAACTATAGAAGCTTATGATATTTTGGGTGCAGATAAAGCTTCAATTAATCAAGTTTTAAGTTAATTAAATGAGTAAAATCCTCCTTAATAACTTAATATTTAAGGATTAATGCATGTGCTAAAATTTAATAAATTGGGTCCTTAAAAAGTATTAGAAAAATGGAAAAGAGAAAATGAAATAATACTTAAAGAACTTAGTACATAAGCAGATGCAGCCTTAAAAACCTTAGGGAATGTAACCATTTCAAGTTATATGCATATTTAACATTTATAAAGTCCATTGTTATTATAAAAGTAAAAAATAAAACTATTTGAAAGAATGCACTATGTTTGGAGTTAGAGTTTAAAGGCAAACTCAGTAACAATTAGAGAGGATGCAGCTTATGAAAAAGGCAATTCAATGGGATTGGTTTGTATCTAATAGATTTTAGAAAAAGATTAAGTACAGAGTTTGACTATTGATATAAAAGAAAGAGCAGGAGTATTGTTAATTTTAATATATATATATAGAATCTTTACATAGGAGTATTAGATATGAATGAAAGGAAGCAAAGAGGCAGAAAGACATTCAGTTTTCATGATTGGAATGAATCAGGACATGGATTATATTTACTTTATCATGGAGGATGTATAATAATTTCTATAAAATAGATGTTTTTAGTTCAAATGATCTATCTATAAATAGTAAGAAAGCTGGTTTTACTTTTGATTAAAATGACAAGATTATTCTGACTTGGAATGGACCTGAGCATTCTATTACTATCCTCAAAGTTGGAAGCAGTCATGTAATTTAAATTCAAATATCATAGCAATTTACATTTAAAGTCAATCCTGATGGGCAATACCATTTTGCAGCTGGTTTATTCAAATGTGAAATAAGGTTGCTTGATTGATCAATTTTATTCTTATGATTAAATAAAAATGAAAGAATTTTTTATTTATAGAATCTGTCAAAACAATTATTATTTTAACTTTTATTAAATAATTTTATAATATAACAGTAATCGTTTCATCTGATTAAAAAGAGAATTATTATATCCAAAGGAAAATTGCATAAAAGTAGAAATTCAGAAGTTTATCCTTATTTAAAGAGAGATATATATATATACTTCAAAGAATTAAAGTAAGTTTAATTCATGAATATACTACTAAGATAGAATTTTTCAATTAGTTTATGATAAAGAATATAAATAAGAGCAAGAGTTCTCTCCATATAATTTGTGATGTGTCTCCTAATAGACTTCAGATAGATGTAATTTAGATTAGGACACAGAATAAGAAGAAAAACTTACAAAGTAGTTGCTAAAGCTGAGAGAATTCGTGATTATTTTACTTAAAAAAACTCATTAAAATCAAAATTAGTTATATTATTTACTTATAGTTCGTTCTGTATTTTCAGTGAATTTGAATGAATCCTTTCTTTTAGTATTTGAATGGTATTAATGCTCATATGAATTCTCATTTTTTTATTCTTATTCATTATTTTCGATTTTGAAATATTATTATGGATTATTTATTGATAATCTATTTGATTAGTAAAGACTCTTAATATAATGTGGGTCGTTTTATTGAAATGTCATTGTTCTATTCATTTTTTTTATGGGACTTATTTTTGGAGATGGAAATAAAGCCTCTTCTAAAGATTATTACTTATTTATTTGTGTTTCACATTATTATAATTATGCTTGTTGACACATATTTCCTTTTTCAAGTAATTTTTCTATTTATAGTTAATAAAACATGTTCTCTTATTTCATCTCTTTATTTTGGCTTTAGAACTAAATCATATCTTCATTTATCTAATTTAATTTTCCATCATTATTTGTTTAATTTGATTAATTATGAAGTCTCTCAATCTCTTACTTTAATCTTTCGACTTCCTAAATCTTAATTTCAAATCTATGATTTAAATCTAGTCTTATTAATTTTTCTTCTTTTAATTATTTATGTGTTTTTATAAGCTCATTCTCAAAATCAATAATTTATTGTTCTTTTAAATGCTTATATTAATTAAATTTTTATTTTTCTAATCTTAATTCTTCATCTTTTCCTTATTCATCAATTAAGTTCAATTAATTTTATTGGTTTGCACCTTTTTACAATCTCTCTATTTCTCTTTTAAGATTTTGAATTTCTAAATTTGCCATTTTTTGAGCTTCTGACATTCTTTCTAATTCTTAAATAAGTAGATTTATTCTTTTTAAGCAACCCTTATGTTTTTGATCTGTTATTAATAAATCTTATCTTGAAGCATTCCCTTAAGATTTAATTCGATCATTTTCAATTATAGACCCTCTTTAAGAATATAAATTAAACATAAATAAATTTAATTTCTAAATAATCCTAATAATTAATCAATTAGTAGTAAAAAATACTATTTTCAAATAGTATTAATTTTCTTAACGCCCCTTTTTATAATTAAGTAATTGTATCTTAATAAGACTTTACATTTTATATAATTACAAATTTAATTATTATATTAATTTATTTCTAATATGGCTGAAGAGTATGATGAAGAATTTGGAGAGGTGCAATATTTAAAAAAATAGGTAGCTTGGATTAGTGATTGGTGATTTTAATATACCATCAAGAGCTTCAGATTTACCCCCATAATTTAAAGAACTTTTAGTTCCCAATAAAGTCTAATATGTATTTTGCACAGGAAATGTTGGGAATCGAGAAACCACTGATTGGTTGAAAACATTATCTGGAAATACACATATAGTAAAAGGTGATTTTGATGAAACAAAAGAAATACCTGAAACTAAAATCATATAGATTGGTTCATGGAAATTAGCTTTATTACATGGCCATCAAGTTACAATACAAATTAATCTATTAGATAGTTCCTGCAGGAGATGATGAAACTTTATATACATTTTTAAGAGAAATGGAAGCAGATGTGCTTGTGACAGGTCATACAGGAATAGCTAAGGTTTCTGCTGTAGAAAAAAAATACATAATAAATCCTGGATCTGTAACAGGAAGTTTTAATGGAACATAATCGTTAATTATTTTTATTATTATTTAGATCAATACCATCATTTTTAATTTTAGAATTTAAAAAGGAAAAAATCTAAGTTTTTATCTACACTTTCGATGGAGAAGTTAAAATAGATAAACAAGAATTGCCATTTTAAAAATGAATAAATTAAGTTAAGTATCATTATTATTGTGATGTAAACCATTTATCTTTCCCGTTTTAAAATCCAAACCTTCTCTCCCTTAATTTCTTTAGTCCATCTAAAAAAAAAACTTGATAAGTTTCTATATTCAAACTCTTATTAAGATAATAGATAAGAAAAAATTCTGTCTGTAATTTTCTAATTATTATTGCTAATTTAAAAATAGTTTCTAAATTTCATTTTACTTGATTCTGTATTTTTTAAATAGTTATAAATGGCTAAAGATTTTCTAAATATTGACATGAAAACCAAAAGCAATAGGTTATCTTAACTATTTATATTTGATTAAATTTGAACATAATAATAAAAATTATAAATATATTTATATTATCTAATTAATAATAATATGTCTACCTAAAATAATTATGTTAGATCAAATTTCATAAGTAGAATTTTGATAATATAAAAATAAATAAAAGCTTTTATAAAAACATTTTTTCTTCAAGGAAAAATATCAAAATTTAAGTTTTATTGTTCTTAAAATATTAAAAGATCAAATCTTACAATATCATTAAATCTTGATGATAAGGAATAACCTATACCTCAGAATTTTTTACTTATCAATAGCTTTTTATATTAAACATAAAAGATTGAGCCCAAAACTATTTTGCTTGAATAATTAGTCTAACAATTGCATTTATTTTTTCCTCAGTACTCTACTAGGAACTATCCTTTTAAAATATCATTTTTAGCAACCCAGAATTAGGAATTTTTGATTTTTTTTTAAAAAAATATAAACTATAACTTTTTATTTATTTTAATATATAATAATTTTAAGAGTGATTTATTAAAAGTAATCAAAATCAAAAATACTAATAATCTGCAAAAACCATAAATGACAATCTTTAATTTGCTTTTTTTATTTAAGTTATTAAAGTTTTGTAAACAGACTAAAATTCAACTTTTTAGTTTAATTCTTAAGAATTGGACTATTCTATTTTTTTTTTGCTGAATTACCTCTTGAAAAACTATTTGTCCTTGATGATTTATTCATATCTTTAAAATCTTCTGAGCCTTTATTATCTTAAAGTTAGTTTTCATTTATAGAGCAATTGTGGAAGTTGGTAGCTTTAACTAATTAAAGAGATGCTCTTTTTTTAGATTTATCCCTAGATTTAGAAAGATTGTTTTAACTTCTTTCAGCAGACTAAAAACTAGATTTTAATTCTGTTTAATAAAGCTTTTTTAATCTTTAATAAGAATTTTAAGAGTTACGGGAAGAGATAAGACCCTTTGAAAATAAAGTTTATTCAGCTTCGAAAAAGATTCTATCAGTTTAAGAATTTGGTTTGGATTTATAACTTATAAAAGATTTGAGTCTGTTTATCCTTGAATATAAACTTATTCTTGTTTTATTCTCATCATTAATTTGATTTTACTTTAACTATTATGTGCATTCTTATCCCTATTCTTCCTAGTCTCTAAAAGCTTCTGCCATAGTTCGTCTTCGAGACTCTCTCAAGTTAGAATTAAATATTTGGATTTTTTTGATGAATTTTTTCTCAAATGTTTCTGTCATATCATAACATCTTGGATACACATATGGTTTGAGACTTGCTTTTCTTTTTTATAAATTTGTTTTATCAGAGTTCATTTTATAAATTGATCTCAGTTNTAAAAGCTTTTATAAAAACATTTTTTCTTCAAGGAAAAATATCAAAATTTAAGTTTTATTGTTCTTAAAATATTAAAAGATCAAATCTTACAATATCATTAAATCTTGATGATAAGGAATAACCTATACCTCAGAATTTTTTACTTATCAATAGCTTTTTATATTAAACATAAAAGATTGAGCCCAAAACTATTTTGCTTGAATAATTAGTCTAACAATTGCATTTATTTTTTCCTCAGTACTCTACTAGGAACTATCCTTTTAAAATATCATTTTTAGCAACCCAGAATTAGGAATTTTTGATTTTTTTTTAAAAAAATATAAACTATAACTTTTTATTTATTTTAATATATAATAATTTTAAGAGTGATTTATTAAAAGTAATCAAAATCAAAAATACTAATAATCTGCAAAAACCATAAATGACAATCTTTAATTTGCTTTTTTTATTTAAGTTATTAAAGTTTTGTAAACAGACTAAAATTCAACTTTTTAGTTTAATTCTTAAGAATTGGACTATTCTATTTTTTTTTTGCTGAATTACCTCTTGAAAAACTATTTGTCCTTGATGATTTATTCATATCTTTAAAATCTTCTGAGCCTTTATTATCTTAAAGTTAGTTTTCATTTATAGAGCAATTGTGGAAGTTGGTAGCTTTAACTAATTAAAGAGATGCTCTTTTTTTAGATTTATCCCTAGATTTAGAAAGATTGTTTTAACTTCTTTCAGCAGACTAAAAACTAGATTTTAATTCTGTTTAATAAAGCTTTTTTAATCTTTAATAAGAATTTTAAGAGTTACGGGAAGAGATAAGACCCTTTGAAAATAAAGTTTATTCAGCTTCGAAAAAGATTCTATCAGTTTAAGAATTTGGTTTGGATTTATAACTTATAAAAGATTTGAGTCTGTTTATCCTTGAATATAAACTTATTCTTGTTTTATTCTCATCATTAATTTGATTTTACTTTAACTATTATGTGCATTCTTATCCCTATTCTTCCTAGTCTCTAAAAGCTTCTGCCATAGTTCGTCTTCGAGACTCTCTCAAGTTAGAATTAAATATTTGGATTTTTTTGATGAATTTTTTCTCAAATGTTTCTGTCATATCATAACATCTTGGATACACATATGGTTTGAGACTTGCTTTTCTTTTTTATAAATTTGTTTTATCAGAGTTCATTTTATAAATTGATCTCAGTTATAATAATTTTTATTATACAATAATAAGTATCTAATTTAGAAGAACAACATTTTATGGAAGTTATATATCATTTATTTTGTAAAAAATTACTTCATATAAGAAACTGAAAGTAAAACAAATTATTATTTTATAAAATCCCTCTATAATTAGAATTATCATTCAAATTCCTTGAGTATTTTGTCTCCTTCATCTAAAGCTCTTTACATGCTTTCATTCAGTTGTTTGAGAAATGTTTTGAAACTCCAAACTACTGATTGAAACTTTGACTATGTCTTTTCCATCGTTGGTTTTAGTTATTTCTAAACCTTTTTTATTCCCTCAATTATCTTTTTCTTATGTTACTTTGTTGTAAATTTTTTTTTAATCTTCTTCATAATCGTATTTGCTTTGGCCATTTTTGCTTTTGATGATCCTATCATGATTATATCTGGACTTTCATCAGATTTTCTTTCTTCAATGATTTATGTTTTTGAGGTTAGAGTCTTTTTTTTTTATTTAGGCTGCCTTCCTCTTTTTATTTTCGTACTAACTCGTATCTGATGTTAAGACGAAGGCTGTTTTTTATTTTCACAGTAATCATTCTGACTATCGGCATTTGATGACGGTAAGAGATCAATCTCTAAGTCTTCAGATATCATATTTAATAAATGAGCTTCAAAACCATATCGTTTATAAAGAGAGAAGAGAAAAAAGCATGAAAAAAATTGGTTAATGTTTATTATTAATAATAAATTAGTCTATAAACTTATAAGCATTGAACTTTGAGTTTTAAAGCACTAATAGCAATTAGATTTAATGACTAAAAAGTAACTTTACTCAGATTGTGCTTATTGCATTGAATTTTTAATAATATAATCACTAATTGCAAAAGTTTCGAAATTATTTTACATTTTAGATAAAAGTTCTCTAACCCAAATAAAAATAGCTTATTTTTTAATAAATAATCAATTTTTATTGTAAATTACTTTTTTATTGATGCTTTAGTAATATAATTCTTAAATGATAAATTTTCAGAACTTTGAATCAAAATTAAATTAATCATCAAAATCCAAAAGAATTTCATCATCTCAATATACTACTTTTTATTTCTGATTTAGATTTATTATTTTTTGTATCTCATAATTTTATAGGTATTTTAATGAATTTAGGTTTTAAATTTTCATTGAGATTATGAATAATAATTGAAGAAAACAATCTCATTCTGCCAAAAGAGTTAATTAGAAGTCTTGAATAAAACTTTAATCCGAATCAAAGCCAGCTTTTCTTTTAGATCTATAAAATGAAATGGAATATATAGAAGAAATTTTGATTTTGATAGAGCGAATAAATCGAACTAAATTTTAAGACAAATTAAAGTAAATGAGATAGATAATATTAACTAATTGAAATAGAAAATGTGAATTTAATTTAAGTAGTTAAAATTTGATAAATTGTAATATACTATTAATAAAATTTCTAATTAAGTAAAATAAATAAATAATTTAAATGAATATTTATAAAATTTGAGGATTTATTGAAATAATTTTATACTTTTCCTTCATAATTTGATATTGGATAAAAGATTAGAAGAATTTTTTATTTAAAAATTTAAATTTTATTAATTTTAAGAAAAAGGAATTAAATTATATAAAATATAAAACAAAATTTTATACTTTACAATTTTATTTTACCTCTATCATTTCATGACACTAAAGATAATAAATTAATAAATACCTTTATTACATAATTACTTTATTTAAGCTTATAACCCTTAATTTTAGTTATATAAATCCATCATCCTCCTATTTAACTCACTAATTCCTTCACCATATTATTTCTTACTTAATTCTAGTGTTTTTATCTAGTTTTAAAGCTTAATTATTTATTTTTCTTATTCATAAGTAAGCTACAATTCTTAATTTTAATTTTTAGATTTTTTTTATTCTTAATCATCCATTTAATGTTATAATTAATCTTTATCTTAAATAATATTAGCTAAATTTTCTTAAGAGTTTATATTTGATTAACTTTTTATTTGTTTTATTTCGTCAATCAATGACAAATTAAATTATTCAAGCTATTATTTTTCTTCATTTAATCTAGATATTTATTCTTAGAGTTTTGATAATTTTTATAATTAATTTTAACTATCATAAAATTAATTATCTTAACCATCAAATTATTAATTATCTAAAGCATTATTTTGTATTTTTTTACTAAAATGGCTGCTCAAAGAATTCAATGGCTATAATCTTTTCTCAAGTATATCATCATCTTTTTCTAAATCCAATTAGTTTTCTAATTTAGGGCTTTACTCCTATAATATTCCATCTCTGTCCATTTCCAACAGTAAATATTAATTTAATAACTTATTGTATTTCTCTTTTTACTTTTAAATTTCTGCATCTAATGCTTTATCATGTTCTTTCTTGATTTCTTCATGTTTTTTATTTAAATCATCATTTAGTCCTTCTAAAGCTAAATGTTCAGATAAAAGTTAATTAAACTTATTTTTAGTTTTTTCATATTCATTTTTATCTATGTGATTTTCTTAATCTTAATTTATTTAATTTAAAGCTTCCATAGCTTTATCACATTAATCTTATAATTTCAAATGTTCATTCAATAGATTATTAAACAAATCTTTAGCTTTTAATTTTTCATCATCTAATTATTATTAAAATTCTTTCTTCATTTACTTTTCTTATTCATTGATTTATTCACTTACATTTAGAATATGAAGATGCTCTTCTAAAAGACTATTATATTTTTATTTATAATAATCTTCTGTGTTTTAATCCAATTTAATTGCATCATCATTTGTTAATGCAAGATTGGGCAATTTTTTCTATTCTTGATTTGTGACTTTATCTAAAATTGCCTTTAATTATTATACTTCTTATCTTAATTAATAATTTTAATTCTAAAGTTGATTAATGTTTTATTATTAATCTTACTCTTTTTGATTTTATCCCTCTACTAATTTTTTCTCAAATATATCATCGTCTTTTTCTAAATCCAATTAGTTTTCTAATTTAGGGCTTTACTCCTATAATATTCCATCTCTGTCCATTTCCAACAGTAAATATTAATTTAATAACTAATTGTATTTCTCTTTTTACTTTTAAATTTCTGCATCTAATGCTTTATCATGTTCTTTCTTGATTTCTTCATGTTTTTTATTTAAATCATCATTTAGTCCTTCTAAAGCTAAATGTTCAGATAAAAGTTAATTAAACTTATTTTTAGTTTTTTCATATTCATTTTTATCTATGTGATTTTCTTAATCTTAATTTATTTAATTTAAAGCTTCCATAGCTTTATCACATTAATCTTATAATTTCAAATGTTCATTCAATAGATTATTAAACAAATCTTTAGCTTTTAATTTTTCATCATCTAATTATTATTAAAATTCTTTCTTCATTTACTTTTCTTATTCATTGATTTATTCACTTACATTTAGAATATGAAGATGCTCTTCTAAAAGACTATTATATTTTTATTTATAATAATCTTCTGTGTTTTAATCCAATTTAATTGCATCATCATTTGTTAATGCAAGATTGGGCAATTTTTTCTATTCTTGATTTGTGACTTTATCTAAAATTGCCTTTAATTATTATACTTCTTATCTTAATTAATAATTTTAATTCTAAAGTTGATTAATGTTTTATTATTAATCTTACTCTTTTTGATTTTATCCCTCTACTAATTTTTTCTCAAATATATCATCGTCTTTTTCTAAATCCAATTAGTTTTCTAATTTAGGGCTTTACTCCTATAATATTCCATCTCTGTCCATTTCCAACAGTAAATATTAATTTAATAACTAATTGTATTTCTCTTTTTACTTTTAAATTTCTGCATCTAATGCTTTATCATGTTCTTTCTTGATTTCTTCATGTTTTTTATTTAAATCATCATTTAGTCCTTCTAAAGCTAAATGTTCAGATAAAAGTTAATTAAACTTATTTTTAGTTTTTTCATATTCATTTTTATCTATGTGATTTTCTTAATCTTAATTTATTTAATTTAAAGCTTCCATAGCTTTATCACATTAATCTTATAATTTCAAATGTTCATTCAATAGATTATTAAACAAATCTTTAGCTTTTAATTTTTCATCATCTAATTATTATTAAAATTCTTTCTTCATTTACTTTTCTTATTCATTGATTTATTCACTTACATTTAGAATATGAAGATGCTCTTCTAAAAGACTATTATATTTTTATTTATAATAATCTTCTGTGTTTTAATCCAATTTAATTGCATCATCATTTGTTAATGCAAGATTGGGCAATTTTTTCTATTCTTGATTTGTGACTTTATCTAAAATTGCCTTTAATTATTATACTTCTTATCTTAATTAATAATTTTAATTCTAAAGTTGATTAATGTTTTATTATTAATCTTACTCTTTTTGATTTTATCCCTCTACTAATTTTTTCTCAAATATATCATCGTCTTTTTCTAAATCCAATTAGTTTTCTAATTTAGGGCTTTACTCCTATAATATTCCATCTCTGTCCATTTCCAACAGTAAATATTAATTTAATAACTAATTGTATTTCTCTTTTTACTTTTAAATTTCTGCATCTAATGCTTTATCATGTTCTTTCTTGATTTCTTCATGTTTTTTATTTAAATCATCATTTAGTCCTTCTAAAGCTAAATGTTCAGATAAAAGTTAATTAAACTTATTTTTAGTTTTTTCATATTCATTTTTATCTATGTGATTTTCTTAATCTTAATTTATTTAATTTAAAGCTTCCATAGCTTTATCGCATTAATCTTATAATTTCAAATGTTCATTCAATAGATTATTAAACAAATCTTTAGCTTTTAATTTTTCATCATCTAATTATTATTAAAATTCTTTCTTCATTTACTTTTCTTATTCATTGATTTATTCACTTACATTTAGAATATGAAGATGCTCTTCTAAAAGACTATTATATTTTTATTTATAATAATCTTCTGTGTTTTAATCCAATTTAATTGCATCATCATTTGTTAATGCAAGATTGGGCAATTTTTTCTATTCTTGATTTGTGACTTTATCTAAAATTGCCTTTAATTATTATACTTCTTATCTTAATTAATAATTTTAATTCTAAAGTTGATTAATGTTTTATTATTAATCTTACTCTTTTTGATTTTATCCCTCTACTAATTTTTTCTCAAATATATCATCGTCTTTTTCTAAATCCAATTAGTTTTCTAATTTAGGGCTTTACTCCTATAATATTCCATCTCTGTCCATTTCCAACAGTAAATATTAATTTAATAACTAATTGTATTTCTCTTTTTACTTTTAAATTTCTGCATCTAATGCTTTATCATGTTCTTTCTTGATTTCTTCATGTTTTTTATTTAAATCATCATTTAGTCCTTCTAAAGCTAAATGTTCAGATAAAAGTTAATTAAACTTATTTTTAGTTTTTTCATATTCATTTTTATCTATGTGATTTTCTTAATCTTAATTTATTTAATTTAAAGCTTCCATAGCTTTATCACATTAATCTTATAATTTCAAATGTTCATTCAATAGATTATTAAACAAATCTTTAGCTTTTAATTTTTCATCATCTAATTATTATTAAAATTCTTTCTTCATTTACTTTTCTTATTCATTGATTTATTCACTTACATTTAGAATATGAAGATGCTCTTCTAAAAGACTATTATATTTTTATTTATAATAATCTTCTGTGTTTTAATCCAATTTAATTGCATCATCATTTGTTAATGCAAGATTGGGCAATTTTTTCTATTCTTGATTTGTGACTTTATCTAAAATTGCCTTTAATTATTATACTTCTTATCTTAATTAATAATTTTAATTCTAAAGTTGATTAATGTTTTATTATTAATCTTACTCTTTTTGATTTTATCCCTCTACTAATTTTTTCTCAAATATATCATCGTCTTTTTCTAAATCCAATTAGTTTTCTAATTTAGGGCTTTACTCCTATAATATTCCATCTCTGTCCATTTCCAACAGTAAATATTAATTTAATAACTAATTGTATTTCTCTTTTTACTTTTAAATTTCTGCATCTAATGCTTTATCATGTTCTTTCTTGATTTCTTCATGTTTTTTATTTAAATCATCATTTAGTCCTTCTAAAGCTAAATGTTCAGATAAAAGTTAATTAAACTTATTTTTAGTTTTTTCATATTCATTTTTATCTATGTGATTTTCTTAATCTTAATTTATTTAATTTAAAGCTTCCATAGCTTTATCACATTAATCTTATAATTTCAAATGTTCATTCAATAGATTATTAAACAAATCTTTAGCTTTTAATTTTTCATCATCTAATTATTATTAAAATTCTTTCTTCATTTACTTTTCTTATTCATTGATTTATTCGCTTACATTTAGAATATGAAGATGCTCTTCTAAAAGACTATTATATTTTTATTTATAATAATTTTCTAAATTAAATTCAGTTTCTTAATTTTTATCATTTATTTTTAAAATTTCATTTTAATTAATAATTTCTTATTTTTAATTCTTATCTTTTAATTCTGCATTCTATTTTTATAATTCTTTTAAAACAGCTTCTTATTCATCAGTTATATTTGATAATTAAATATTTATTTCTTTTTACTTTTTAATTCTTTATAAAGTATTTTGAACTTAATTTTCTAATTTTTTATTAGTGTAAATAATCCTAAATTATTTTGCCAGCAATTTAGTATACATTTATTATATTTTGGTATTATCTACTTAACTTATCACTTTTTCTTACTATGATTAATACTCGATATCCTCATTTTTACGTTATTCTTCATAACAGTGATTATCAACTAGATCTTAAACAATTGCTTTTTATTTTTCCAATCTTTTTCTTAATTAATCATTCTCTCTATCTTTTTAAAACATTTAACAAAGTAATTTAAATATTTTTGCTAAATATTTCTTATTTTAATTCTCTAATTTGTAAATTTCTAATTTTAACATTTCATTGTTATTTTAATTTGATATTTCCTCTTGGGTATCTATACAATTTTGCTATTAAATCTATACATTAGGTTCAATTTTAGTTATATTATTCTAGGAAATTTGATCTATTAATTAATTATTAAGGGCTTTTTATTTATTTATTCTTTCATTTAATAGAATAAGTTCATTATCTTTTTTCTTATATTGATTCAAAACTCTGAATAACTTTGCAAGTAATTTTTTATTCTTTAATTTCAGATTGGTTTTTTATTCTTATTCTTATTTTTATTATTCGATTAGTTATTCTTTACCACAATTTTTTTTTTCGGCTTCCCGCAATTATGATAGTAATTAATAATTATTTGAGGTAATATTTTTATTTTCCTATTCTAGTTCCTATATTATTTTTTATAAGCTTAAATCATTCTAGTTGCTTTATTGCTATTAATTTATTTGAATCTCCTTTTTTAAATCATTTATTTATCCATTCGCTTGCTTTAATTTATCTTCTAGTTCTCGTTATTTAAAAGATGAATCTTTTGATCTTGGTGTTGAATCTTTTTATTAATACTTTAGAGCTATTTCCAAGTCATTAATTTTAATTTCTTAATCTTTTGTAATCAACTCTAGTTCTTCAATCTTTTTTTTATCTCTATTTTCTTCTTCTAAAATGGCATTGAGTTAAATGTTTTTTTCATTATATTTATTAGCCCATTCTTAAATATCATCTTTTTGGAGCTAAACTTTGTTTTCTAATTTTTTAATTTAATCATTCAACAAAGAACTATCTTTTAATATTTTGTTTTTTTAATTTTCTAATGTTTCCTTCTAATCCAATATTTCAGTATATTTGGCTTTCAAATTTGAAAAATCATCACTTAATTATTTGAATTATATAGTCTTATCATCTCCTTCATTATTATGTGAGCTATATAATTCAATTAAATCATTTTAAAAATTTTAGTTGACTTCTAAAGACTTTGATGTCAATTATTAAAATAATGTTAAATTTTCAGCCCTCAAATCTTAATTACTTTTTTATTAAATATCGATTTAATCCTAAAGCCTTTTAATTTCAATCTCTAGTTCCTTTTGATTGTTCTTTAAAACTATGACACTTGCTTCTAATTCATTTATTTTAATTTGATCTTCCTATCTTTAATTTTCCATTTCCTCTTTTTGCTATAACAAATTCTCAATTTTATTTTATGCAACTAAATTTATGGAAGATTAAATACTTGCATTATATTTTTCAATTTCTGCTTTACTTGTTTAAAGTTATGAAAATTTGTTTTTCCAATTGGTAATTTCCTGCTCATTAGATTTTTATTTTTCTTCAAATTCATTTATTTCTTCTTGTAAATTTTATATTTACTTTTTAAAATTCTCAATAATAGTAGAGCTAAATATGCTTTAAAGGTTACTTTTAGTTAATTGAATTATTTTATGATACTATTATTTTTTAAGGTTATTATTAATTTTTATAAGAAGATTATTCCTTCATCAATTATTTCTAAAGTTCCTTGATATTATTATCTAAAAGAGAATTTTAAGCCTAAAGTTATTCAATTTATTAATCCTTTTAATCAATAACATTCTAAGCTAACACGAGATCATTTGTTAATTAAATGTTTTCAATTTTCAGATTTTCCGATTCTTTTTCTTTTTAATTTATTTCAAGTTCTAAAGCAAGTAATTCTCGTTATTTCTTTTAATCTAGACTTAGTTTGTCATTATCAATTTTTAATGATTTAGTGCTGTGAATGGATGATCTATTGATAGCTGGCCCTTCAGTCCTTTTTAAAATTTCATCTGCTTATTTTTTATATTTTTCCTTTTCTTCCTAAAGCTTTTCTACCTTTAGGCTTAACGCTTAAGCAGTCTCTTTATTAATTTTTGACTCTTTCATGGTTCGCTCTAACGCTTGTGAGTGTTCAACTTTAAGCTCTGATTTTACTTTTTAAACTTGAGTATCAATTTACTAAGATTGTGAGATTCAAACTTTACTTTAATTCCTATCGGTGCTTGCCCTACATTTCCTTATTAGATACTTCTCATAATAAATACGCAATTAAAAATTATTAAAAATATTCTTAACAAAAAACAAAATTAAATATCTTAACATATGCAATATTTACTCCTTAAAGGATTGATTAAATCATTAAACTATCCTTTCAACAGTTCTTATTCTCTAGTAAATAAAACATGTTAATTTGAAGAAAAGCTTAAATTATGAAGACGGCGAATTTTTTTTTTTGAGTTTAAATTATACATCCTAAAATTTCATATATTAAATAAGAATTAATCAAATTCTTAAGATACTTCATTTTAATATATACAGGGATAGAATACAACCTATTTGCTTAAAAATAATTAGATTTATAAATTTATTTGATGGGATTTAATTATCAAAATAGATCAAAAACTCTATTATAATTTAGAGAGATTGAATCTAATAGGTTTAGAAATCATTTAATGTTTTATAGAAGCTATAAATTATGTAATTGAAAAGAATCGTTAGAATAATATTAAAAATAATAGATTTAAGAAAATAATATAAAAATATAAATATAAAAGGATCATTAAATTATGTTATAAGTAAATTAGTGTAATATTTTACTAAATTAAAAAGAATAATTAATATTTATTATAATTATTTGTTAATATGAGCGTCTCTTAGAATTAGTAATAATTATATGAGGAACTAATGGTAATGAAATAAATTTTCTATATCAGGAAAAAATAAAGTAAAATTCAGAGATAAAAGAGAAATTTGATAGCAGGACTTAAAATGGACTATTAGATAAGGACTATGCGCATGAAGTCTTGATAGATTGGAGTGAATTACTTAATTATGATCTTGGTGATGCTATAAGTTATTTTGATCTCNTTCTCGTTATTTCTTTTAATCTAGACTTAGTTTGTCATTATCAATTTTTAATGATTTAGTGCTGTGAATGGATGATCTATTGATAGCTGGCCCTTCAGTCCTTTTTAAAATTTCATCTGCTTATTTTTTATATTTTTCCTTTTCTTCCTAAAGCTTTTCTACCTTTAGGCTTAACGCTTAAGCAGTCTCTTTATTAATTTTTGACTCTTTCATGGTTCGCTCTAACGCTTGTGAGTGTTCAACTTTAAGCTCTGATTTTACTTTTTAAACTTGAGTATCAATTTACTAAGATTGTGAGATTCAAACTTTACTTTAATTCCTATCGGTGCTTGCCCTACATTTCCTTATTAGATACTTCTCATAATAAATACGCAATTAAAAATTATTAAAAATATTCTTAACAAAAAACAAAATTAAATATCTTAACATATGCAATATTTACTCCTTAAAGGATTGATTAAATCATTAAACTATCCTTTCAACAGTTCTTATTCTCTAGTAAATAAAACATGTTAATTTGAAGAAAAGCTTAAATTATGAAGACGGCGAATTTTTTTTTTTGAGTTTAAATTATACATCCTAAAATTTCATATATTAAATAAGAATTAATCAAATTCTTAAGATACTTCATTTTAATATATACAGGGATAGAATACAACCTATTTGCTTAAAAATAATTAGATTTATAAATTTATTTGATGGGATTTAATTATCAAAATAGATCAAAAACTCTATTATAATTTAGAGAGATTGAATCTAATAGGTTTAGAAATCATTTAATGTTTTATAGAAGCTATAAATTATGTAATTGAAAAGAATCGTTAGAATAATATTAAAAATAATAGATTTAAGAAAATAATATAAAAATATAAATATAAAAGGATCATTAAATTATGTTATAAGTAAATTAGTGTAATATTTTACTAAATTAAAAAGAATAATTAATATTTATTATAATTATTTGTTAATATGAGCGTCTCTTAGAATTAGTAATAATTATATGAGGAACTAATGGTAATGAAATAAATTTTCTATATCAGGAAAAAATAAAGTAAAATTCAGAGATAAAAGAGAAATTTGATAGCAGGACTTAAAATGGACTATTAGATAAGGACTATGCGCATGAAGTCTTGATAGATTGGAGTGAATTACTTAATTATGATCTTGGTGATGCTATAAGTTATTTTGATCTCGATAATCCTGACATTCCACCTGAAGAGATCAGATAAAACTTAGATTTTAACAGTTTCATTAATCTGGTAGACAAATGGCTTTAGAAGCAATTAATTTAATCATCACCAAAATAAAAATAAAGTACAAACTAAGATCAATACTGGTTTAAGAGTGAACCTGGTACACTAAATACAGAACAAAGTGATTTAAAGCATTAAGAATAATTAATAAGAGCAATTTTTGAAATTTAAGAAGCAAAGACTAAAAAGGTTTTTAATGAATATGCAATGATGAGTGATCAAACTGACACAATTAGCAAATAAGATTTTCCTCTTTTGCTAAAAAATTTGTTATATTAACATAATGCATCAATTTATGAAAAAGCTGGGCAAGAAGATTTCTTTATGAGAAGTAATTCTTATGGAAATTTAAATAACTTTTTAAGAGATGAATAAATTAATTATTAATAATTTAAGGAAGCTGCAATTTAATTTATAAAAGGAAACCAAGATTTAATTCTTTTAGATCATGAATAAATTAATAAAAAAAAAGAAAAATAACAACCTCAAAATCCACCTAATTTAGAAGAGGAACTTTTATAGCAAATAGAAAAATATCAATAAATTTTATAAAGTACTGAACCTGAAATTGAAAAATAGGTTTTAAGAAATATGATTACTACTTTAGTCCGCTAATTAGATTTAATCAGAGATAATACTATGAAACTTGATGAAACCTAAATAAATTCTACTCTCAAACCAAAAGCTAATCTCTAAGTGTCATTTTCTGGAATAGTTAGACCTGAAAAAAGATCTAAAACAAAGGAAGAAATAGAAATTGAAAAAAGAGATAATTAAATTTTGGAAATCTTTCTTTTTTTTGCAAAATAGTAATATGTTAATGGAGTTGCCTACGAATTTGACAGATACACAAAAGAAGCTTAAAGTTTAAGTTTAGGCATGTTCTTATATTTTTGTAAATGTTTTAATCTGATTGAAACTCATATAAGAAAACCAAATGAAGAAAATTTATTAGAAAGAAAAAAAAGAGGGGAAGATGTCAATATAACTAAATTAAATCAAACAATAATAAATAAAAGCTTATAAGAGGAAGAGAAATAAGTAGAACAAGAATAAGCTTCAACTATTATATCTCCAAAATAAAAACCTCCTACTGTTCCAGTTGACATTAAAAAGGTTGAAAATTTGCCTCGAAGAAATAAATATTCCCATATCCCGTCTAAATTTGAGTAAAATTTTATTTAAATATTTTAGATGGTGGAATGACGATTTAAAGTTTGATAAATATTACAATCCAAATCAAAATCTTCTACCACAATAAATTATGGATGATATGAAATATTTAACAAAAGAGGAAATTAAAAATTTATTTAAAAGAAGTGCCTTTGGAAAGGATGTATTATATTAAATTTAATTAGCTCGATTTTGATGAATTTAAATGTTTGTTAGGATTTATGGCTAATCTTATGTTCAAATAAAATGGGGAAAGACATCCTCATGCTTACTAATTGATATTAAGACTAATGTATATTGATTATCCAGAAGAATATAGAAAAAGATTAATACCTGTTAAAATACCTTTCAATTGCAAAGAGAAAATTGGTTTTAGATTATTACCAGGTTATGAGCATCATGAATATAAGGGCAGATAATTATCTTAATAAGAAAAACAGCAACTTTAAAAATTAAAACAAGAAAGAGAAAATCAACTAAGAGAGAGACTTACAGAAAATCCAAATCAGAGCATAAGATCTATAGGATCAATAGGCTCTTAATCTATCGCTAATTTACCATATAATAAGTAATAAGGAAGATTCTTAAATGGAAGAATAGATTTGGATAGGGAAAAAGTATCATGGGCAAAATTAGAGAATTTAAATCCTAATGATTTAAGTGGACATGGAAGAAATTTTAAACCTTAAGATTTGATTGATGAATTTGAGGATGAAGAAGATAGGTAATTATTTTTTATTATTTTTAGATTTTTTTTAAAAGAATTCTCACTTGAAGATGAAAAAAAAAATTAACCTAAACCTGAGGAAGTTTAAAAAAATCTTGAAAAATATGGTGCTTATAAACCTCCTAAGAGACCTACTTAAAAACATTAAATGAGCTAACCTTAACTTTTAAACTAAAAATATGATCAGAAAAGTGTAGACATGAAAAATTAGTACTTGTAAAGAGCTAATCAAATTTAATAACTACAAAATAAAAAAGAGTAATAACTACTCTAAAAAATAAACAAATAATATAAAATTTGATTATTTTAAAAATAATTATTCGAATTACATTTTAAATAATAGTGTAATTTATTTTATAAGAAAAAATCTTTAATTTTTATATTTTGAATCTTAATGTTAATTCATTTTTTTTTTCAAAATACTTATTGCAATCCATTCATACAAACTCCGCAAGTATTACCTGCTCCTAATCTAATGTATCCTTTCTCTCCCCAACTTGAACCCCAAGTATTTTTCAATGTCCATACTCCATCATTTGTAACTCCAACAAGTAATGCACCATGATTTAAAGAAGTTCCACATTAAGTCAATATTCCACTAAATTTATTAAGAAAATACTTACCTTTTATAAAATTACCAAGAAGATGCATCAACTGATACAGTAACTGTTGAATTAGATAAAGCTTTAATCAAATTATCACAGTTTTTTATAGTAATATAATTTGAGATGTGAAAAGTTCTTTAAACACTTTTACAGGCTCCGCTTGTTGATGTTGTTGGATAATCTTTTTCATAAGCTAATCCTTTATCTTTTACATAATTCAAAGAATTTCCTACATTTCCACCTGAACATCCTTTATTCCCGTATGGTTATGTACAATCGATTAAATCTTGTTATGATAATGGATTATAAATGTTTTTAATGATTTTATTATTTGTATCCAAAAGATCTAAGGTGAAAAAAACATATGAGGCACATTATCCTTAATTTCGAACACTTCCAGCATATGATGACCAATCAATGTCTGCATTTAAATTTTAATCATCTTTAAATTGTTAGACAGCTTGGTAATTTGTATATTGATGATCATATTGTAAATATTTAATTGAAAATTCTTCTGATGTTAAATCAGCGAATTCATTAATTTCTAACACAAAGTCATTCTATTTTTAGTTTGTCTCTTCAATTAATTTAAGATTTTAGTCAAATACTTTTCTTCTATATCTAAAAACTATTTTTATTTTTATACTCTTATTCAAGGGCAGAATAGTATTATTTATTATGTTTCAGCATCCATATGTGATGTTAATTAGTGATATCAACACCAATCTGATCTTATAAGTGTATCAAACTTAAAAGAAGAGCTGTTCCTAATATTATATAAGATTTTGAAGCCATATTTATATTAATGATGTAATGAAAAAAGTTCCTTAATTCAAATATATATTAGAATAATTAGAAAATTGTTTATGACTTTTTCCAATTAAAAATACACATAATATTATACTCACATTTTTATCTCTTTGATTAGTTATGTTGAACTTATATTGAGAGCATATCTTTGATGAAATAATTAATATTTGTTATTTAAAACTCAAAAAAAAATGAGATTTTTTTCATTTGAGAAAATGATTAGCTATTTTTCTAATTTTAGAACACTTAGGCTTAATTTTATTTTCCTTTAATATATTTTTTTTTGATTTTTTTTCTCTAAAGAAGTTTTCTAAGATACAATTGTTAACATCTGAATCAGAGGGATTTCTAATTTTTTTATTTTGATCTTTTCTTAAATCTAAATACATTAGTATCAATTTCTGAACATTTTATTATTATTTTATGAATGAATTGAATCCTTTTTAATAAATATCCACAAGTATCAAATAATTAGTATTTTCCACTTTTTCCTTTATTATTCTAAACAATAAAAACTTTAATTCTTTTTTAGAAATTCCACGACTCTATTTTGTGGTCTTTCATATTTATTTTTCTAACTTCTATTTTTTCTCCTTTATAGTTTTTTAGGTAACTCTTTTATAATGTTCAATAAAATATTTTATGTCTATAAATATTGAGTAAACAATGGATTATTATTTGAAGTATTTCTGACTGGAATACAACTTTTATTTATATTTTATATAAATTAATGAGTTTTCCTTTTAATCCATCTCCCTCATACTCATTCAATATTGCTAAAAAGTACCAATACTTTAAATACTTAGAATTCAATCCCATTTTTTATTACCTTAAATAAGTATGGGACCAGGTTAATATAATCCTCAGATTGATAAAAAAGGTGGAACACTAAATTTTGGATCATACAGTTAACGAAAAATGCTATTGGCTCAGGATTCTTTTACTCCTGGACCTCTTCATTATACTATAAATACACATAGAAGTTAAGGTGTTTCATTTCCCAATTCAAAAAAAGCTTAAAAGGAACCAACACTTAGTCCTGGGCCAGGGTATTTTTAAACAAAATTAGGCAATATTTACCAGTAGATGAACCTCATAGTAGAGTTGGAGGATCTATTTCTAGAACATCAAGAAATAACAACTTTGATAATAAAATTCCAGGAGCTGGTCATTATCCAATTAAATCAACATTAAATAGTCTAGGCTTTAAATTTAAATAATTACATAAAAGAGCTAAAACAGATCATATGAGTCCTGGTCCTGGATCCTATTCAATCTTGAAAGAAACTATGAATCATGGTGTCAAAATGCATAATTCTAAAAGAACTTGGTCTTATATTCTAAAAACAGAAACTCCTGGTCCAGGAACTTATTAAAGTGAAAGTTTCATTCAAAATAGAGCTTCATCAAAACATTCAATAACATCTTCAAAAGAATAATCAAAAATATTAAATAAATGTTATTCTTAACATGAATCGAAAATGTCTAATAAGAATGCCACTTAAACTTAATCTAAAGGTAATCTTGATTCAAATGGAACATTAACAACAAGATAAAAATTCAAGTCTAATCATTCAAGTTAATAATAAAACATTAGTGATGCATATAATAGATTAAGGGAATATGGTAAATTAAAAGTAACTTTTACAAAATAAGTGAGAAAAGAAGAATTTCTAGATGAATTTTCAACTCCTCTTCCAAGAAAAATGAATAGATCTCCAGGTCCTGCTATTTATGCTGATATTAAATTCAAACCTAATACTAAATTAGGATTTGTGCCAGCATCAAAAAAAGGTGAAGTATTTAAACCAAAAGAAGGACCTGGGGTTGGTGAGTATTCTAAAATTATTCCTTTTGGTAAGATTTACAATAAACATAAAACACCAAAGAGATAATTTTTTAAATTTAAAGATCTTAATTAATTTGATTTTGAATAATGACTATTTGTATATTAATATATTAATTGATTTAATTAATGTAAGCCTAAGTTCAATTAAAATGGAGTGATTTATAAAAGGATGATAACATTCTTCAAAATTATGATTAATGTAAACATATATAAATTTATAATTAAGAACCTAAATTAGCATATTTAGAAGAGAATGTAAAAAAAGTGAACAAAGTAAGATTCATCATAGGTTCTTCATAAACTCTTAAAGTGATGATTGGTATATGTGATAAGAAGATTCGTTAATAAAGAGGAATGATATTTTAGGATAAATCATTTGTAGGACATGGTACTTACTTACTCTATTCTGTGAATTCTTATAATTCATGTAATAAGTTAAATATGTAAAGTCTTGTTTAGTCATTGGGATTTGGAAGTAAATTATAATGAAGGTGGATTTGTAATGAAAAAAGATGATTAGATTGAAGTTTCATTTAACTTAGATAATAGAATCTTAAAAATAACAGATGTTAATAAAACAGAAAGAAGTGTAGAGTTTTAAACTGAACATCATAATATGGAAGATCTTCACTTATGTGTGGTAATAATTGATGGGGATGTGTAATTTTATTAATGATTAATTATTTCATTATTTTTAAGTATCTATGAAATTTGTATCTGCATATGAATCTCTTTTAACACAACCTAATGCCACTAACAATTTTTGCATGAAAGATTCATTTTTTTATTTGACTGTTTATGATCTTATTTCCTTTTTTTAAGAATCAGAATGTCTACTACGACGATATTATTATTTGAAATCTTAAACAGAATTATCAGTTTGAGTTTAAAGTGTTATATTTTATCTAATGAAAGATTATTGAGAAGTAGCTGTAGATTTAGAGAAATATTAATTTTCTTAATATAAATTACTTCCATGAACTCTTACTCTATTTTAAGTATTTTATAATTTATCCAATTCAAATTCATTTTTATTGAGCCATCTATGATTCAGAATTTATTTCATAGTAAATCTATCTTTTTATTTATATTTAATTAGACCAGTAATTAGATCTTTAACATCTGAACTCAAATTATTATCAAGAATGGTGTAATTTATCTTAACAATATTATTACATTTCTCAATATCATTCTTTCCTTTGAATGGTGCTTCACCATGTAATAATTCATATAATAAAATTCCTAAGCACCATATATCTAAAGTATGATCATGTGGTCTATCTTCAATCATTTCAGGAGCCATATAATCTATAGTTCCACAGAATGTACTTCTCTTTTTTGAACCTAAATTTTCAGCTGACCAACCAAAATCACAAATCTTTACATTATCACCAATATCTAATAATATATTTTCAGGCTATATAATTATTTATACAAAGTTACTTTAAGATCTCTATGAATGATATTTTATTAATGTAAATAATCTATTCCTAAACAAGTTTATTTAAAAAATTTCAATGCTTCATTTTCATTTAATCTTCCTCTTCTTTTTAATAATTAAAATAGTGAACCATGTTCTGCATATTCTAAAATTAGATAAACTTTATCTTTATCTTCAAAATAATGGAACAATTATGTAATATTTGGATGATTCAATTTTCTTTGTATTCGAATCTCTCTTTTTAAGTTTTCAATTGAACAATACTCGAAAATATCTTTCTTATTCATCTAAATTTCATAATCAAATATACAATCTTCATTGCATGTAACTATCCATTAGTTTTATCTTTTACTAATCTAACTGCTCCAAAACTACCTTTTCCAAGTTATGGATAATCATATATAAGTTCAAACTCTTCTGGACTTCTTTTCATTTATCTTAAGGTTGATACTTTATCACTATAAGCAATTTCCTATGAATTTAACATGTTTTAAGGTATACATTAGTTTTTATGTCCAGATGTCCTTACATAATAACTCAATTTACCAATCAATATCTCTACATCTTTAAGAACAATAATAAGCATGTTTACAAAAGGGACAATTAACTCTATATTTTGGTATTGGAACCATTTAAGTGGAAGTCAAATTATATTGACAATATCGTGAACTGCAAACGTTCATCAAAATAATATATAAATAATATATAATATTCTTAATAAATGTAGAAGTATAGAAAATCAACAAGTTCACCTATTTTCAAATCATAGAGTTTACCAATAATAAATGAATTAAAATTTGCAATGAGAACCAGAGCAGGAAGTGATTAATAGCATTCAGTGAAAATAAATTAAGACAGTTTTATTGCATGTAGATTGTAAAATATATAATAATAATAGTAATGGTTATTAATTTTTTGCAATTTGTGATGGTCATGGTTAAAATGGACATCTTGTTTCATAATATTTAAAAAAAAACATTCCAAGTATAAATTATGAGAATTAGTTATTTTAAGGAATTATTTAAAGGACATGTCATTGAATTCAGAAGGTATAAATTAAGCTATAATTCGTTCATTCCTTAAAATTAATAAAGATTTATTTTAGAGTAATATTGATACTAATTTGGCTGGATCTACTATTGTATCAATATTAATAAAAGATTAACAAGTAGATCTACTTATTATTAAATAGATATTCTGTTCAAATGTAGGTGATTCAAGAGCTATTATTTGTTAAAAAGTTAATACTTGGATGGCTATATAAATTAGTGTAGATCATAAACCAAATAATTAAAAAGAAAGAGCTAGAATTTTACATGCTGATGGTAGAATATCTTAAAGAAAGAATTCAGATGGATATCCTACTGGTCCTGAAAGAGTATATTTAGCATATTCAGATACTCCTGGATTAGCAATGACAAGAAGTTTTGGAGATAAAATTGCATCTAAAGTTGGAGTTATTGCAGAACCAGGTATTATTCATTATATTAAATAAAGAGATATTAGAATTTAAAATAACTAAAGCTCATAAGTTTATAGTAATTGCTTCTGATGGTGTTTGGGATTAATTGACTAATGATGAAGTTATGGATTTGATATTACCTTATTTTAAAGATAAGTAAATTGAATTGGCTACTGAAAGAGTTGTAAGAGAAGCATTTAATAGATGGAAATAATATTCTATTTTGAGAGATGATATAACTTGTATTGTAATATTTTTATGATTTGATATTAAATAATTTTAATATATTAGTTAAACCATATGTTTAACTTTCTATTCAATATCATCTTACTTATAGAATTATCAAAAAATGAAATTACTGTTGATTTTAATGAAGATAATACATGGGAAAGTAACTTAGATACTTCAAGTCATTCTACTTTTAAAGTTTAAAAGTTATTGACAAAATATTGCTATGTTAGAATATCATTAACAACTAATGATCCTAGTTTTTTATTAATTGCTGATTACAAACAATTACCAAAAACAAACTTAACTTCTAAATATAAATAAGGAGAAAAAATAGATAGAATAAGGTAAGCATTATTCTCTATAAAGTCAACTTGAAAATAGGAAATCTAGATTTCTAAAATTGAAAGCAACACAAGAAGTTATTTATATAACTACTTTAGCTGATTACTCATTAAATAGTTATAATATTTATATAACTGCAAGTAATGAAGAACTTTGTGATAACTCATGTTTTACTAATGGAGTTTGTGAGGTAAAAATATATTATTTTAAGAATGACGGATGCAATTGTTAAAGTTCTTTTATTGGAAATGATTGCCATTAAAAATCCTAAGAATTATATTCAGAAACTACATACAAAATTTATTTTGAGCAAAATTAATCTATTAAGTTCTTTTCAATAGACTTGAATCATTTAATTAATTAAATGTTAAGACTTGATTTTTAAGTAATTTTAATATCAAAATTATTTAGACTGATTGTATAAATTGTTTAACAATTATCATTTACAAAACTAAGGCTCTTTTGCAATCAGATAATTTTACAAATGATAATTATTTATAAACATTTTAAATTTAGAATGGATAGATAGCTATTATAACTTAGATTCCATACACTTTGTCAACAATTTCATAACAAATTTTAAACTTTGCAGTATTAAATAAATATTCTAATTTTTAATCTACTTCTTTATAAATTAGATTTAATTAAGACTCTTAAGATATTAATAACAATCAATAAGAAAAAAATGAATAAAATAAACAAATTTATATTATCGTTCCAGTTGGAACAATAATAATATTAATTATCATCATATTTTTTATTTTAAAATTAAGAAAAAGGTTAAGGATTGATATTTAACCAAATCCCTCTAATTAATTAGAATAAAATCCATATATATAAACTCTTAATCATTAAGGATAAAGAAATATACATTTATAAGAAAAAGATGATAGTTGCCCTATTTGCATGTAGGAAATTGATCTAAACTAATTTGTAATTAAGCTTAATTGCTCGTATATATAAATTATCTAATTTAGTCATTAATTTCATAAGGCATGTATTTAGAGTTATACTCAAAATAGCAAAATTTGCCCACATTGCAGAAAACCATTTCATAAAAATGAAATTTACTGATCTTATTTTCATTTCATTTTTATATTGAAATATTTTGCATAAAAAATAAAAAAATTCTTCAATTTAATAAAACAAAATAAAGTTACGTAAAATAAGTATTAAAGTAATTATAAATGATTTATGCTCTTATTCTAGTCTAATTCCAACTATCCTTTACAATTGATGTTATATTTAATGAAAATTCAACATGGATAGGAGAGTTTATAACCTCATCTAATATTACTTATTTAATTACACCAAATGGAAATGGGTAGGTCCAATACTATTACTATATTTAAGTTTAACTAGATTTCATAAATCCTAAATTTATGCTATTAGCTCAAAAGTAACAACCGGTTTCAAATCCCTTTTCTCCTTTCCTTATAGATGGATATAATGTTGATGCAACAAAGTAAATAATTCATATTTTTGTTATAGTCAATATTAAAACTAACTTATTAGATTTCTCAAAATATCATCTATTAGTGATAACATTTATATTTCAACTATTGGTAATGTTGAAGGTCAAAAGTTCAAGATTAAAATTCTCAAAACTTAGAATTCTAAAATCTGCTAAAATGATTGCTCAGAATAAGGAATTTGTGAGGTATTATAAAAACTATTTTAGGAACAAGGATGCTAATGTAATTTAAATTATATAGGAATTGATTGTAGTTACAAAGCTACTCCTATAATTGATGGACAATATTTAAAAGATAATTTTAATGGAGACATATACATTGCTTTTTTATATTTAAATATTTCTATGTATTAAGGTAAGCAATTGATTCTAAAATTTAAAGTAATCTATCACTTTTTAACAATAGACAAATCATTACTATGGCTTCTAAATTCTATTTTATAAGACCTCTGCCATCATTTATCCTAAAGATGAATTTATCTAAAACCCAAATTTATGTGATACATTTCAAGTTAATAAATATCAAGATTTAGAATTACTTCTTATAATACCTGAATCTGTAAAATAAAATTAAAATTTTAATTTTGCAGTTAAATCTATTTATCCTTACTTTTAATTGCTAGATTTATTTATTAATTTAGAAGAGTACTCTTAAGAAGATGATGATAAATATAATTCTATTATAATCATCACTACAACTGTTAGTTCTTTTTGCTTTGTCCTACTTTTAGTTTTTTGTGGTTATAAATATTACTCAAAATAATAACCACAAATACCTATAAACCCAGCAGCATTGGAAAATCGTCCTATTGAAAATTTCAATCAATAAATTGAACTATAAGAAAATTAGTAGAAAAATGGTTTATTTTTACCTTGTTAAAAAGAAATCAATGCAGAAGAATATTGTTCTATTTGCTTAGAAAATTTTAATTTACCATAAAATATTAGATAAACTAGATGCCAGTAAAATATTTGTTTATTTTTAGTCATAATTTTCATGCAGAATGTATAAATTTATGGTTAGAAAAAGCCAAAAATGAATGTCCTATATGTAGATAATAACTTGAAATTAAATAAGATCATCAAGTATTGAGGACTTGAAGAAATTAATAGATATTGGTTAAACGATTATAATGTTTTTTATATATTAAAATAATATCTTTTTTTATTATTTAATATTTATAGGATAAAAGATATTCATTATCTCCTATCAAATTTTTCTAATTTTGCTTCTTTTTCTTTAAATTCTCTTCTATCTTTTTCATATTATTTTTCATTTAATATTTAACATTCTTAAAATTCTCCAACTTTGGATAACTTATTTAATATCTATTTCAGATCATATTCTTAATTGAATTCAATATAAATATATTTATAATGAATAATTCTATAGGCTGATAAATCATATTATTGCTTTAAAGCATTTATAATGTTTTCAAAAGATGATTTTTAAAATTATATTTTTTAATTTTTTTAAATTTATTAATTTTTACGTTCATCATCTGGAAATTTAATATAAATGATATATTTTTAAGTTATTTTAATATCTTCAGCAGTATTCAAATTAATATTATAATTACTTTTAAATTAATTTAATTTGTTTTTTTGATTTTATAATTCTATTTATGTTAAATCTTTTGTCAAATTTAGAAATATAAATCCTGTCATATAAGCATCAAAACCAGCTGTATGATATGAGCTTTAATCTAGATTAGCTTCAATTTAAATATAATTCATATTATTTTTGATAAATTCTGCTAAATTTTCAACAGATGTTGAAGTTTCAAATTTTCCTCTAATTTTTTCTAAAGATTAAGCTGATTAAATGATATATTTAGTATCATAAATTGGAGGCCAATTTCTAATAATATCTTCTTTGAATTCTTCCCAAGATATTGGAGGACATTAAACAAAATGACTATAACAAAAGATAACATCTGCAAAACAATTATGTCCTACCATATGCTTTTTAGAATTTAAAATGCAATCCCAAATTTAATAAAATCCAATCTTTGTTTAAAATCTATTAGTTTTTAATAATTATCTTTCTTCATTTTTTGCTTATTTTTCTGCATTTGTTAATTTAGTAATTTTCATTTCTCCTTTTAATAAAGATTCTCCAATCATATTTTTTTAATAAGCTTCTAAATAAGTATATATAATTTTCCTTTAATATCCATTAGCTGTTTCTATTGTAGTTTATTTATCATCTGATTTATGAAACTTTTCTAATTTATCAATTAAATCTTATATCTAAAGAATAAATTAATTTATTACAGTTTTTTTATCTGCTGCTTTAACATCATCTAAAATCTTTTCAAATTATTCTTTTAATTCTTCTTAATCTATTTATTAGAAATCTTTATGATAATCATCTTGAAGTTTTTAATATTGTCCTCTATTTAAATAACCTATTCCTTTATTAATCCATCTATTCCAATCCATTCCATGTTCACTATTAAAAAACATAGCTCCTACTTATAAACCTACGAAATCATCTAAACTAATAATCATTTATATTTTCTACTCTTAAGGAAATAAAAAAAATGTATAAGGAAAAGCAACATATCCTTTTTAGTTTTTGATAAATATACACAATCCAAATTGAACAATATTATATTTCATACTTACTTTTCGTGCCTATATGTCATTAAAAATACCTTTAAATATCTTTCAAATGGTAATTCTTCAAAAGTATCTTAATAATCACCCTTAATCCCAGTTAATTCAAGATCAAAACCTATAAAATCACAAACTTTTATCTGCTCCATTATTGTTTGTTTGTTTTACTCAAAATTATCAAGGTCGATAAACATTTTTTATATATATTTACTATTATTAATTATATGAAATCATTTCTTAAACAATATCTAAACAATACCCTTTTTTTTATCAGCTGGTTTTAAAGCCAATTCATCTAAGATTTCTTCTTTTTCTTTTTCTGAAAATTCTAAAAATTAAAACAATGTTATAAGTATTGCTTCTGCTAAATCAAATTTTTATGTTTTTGGACCACAAGCAGTAAGAAACTTTTTTAAACAATCTCTTAAATGAGCCTTAGCATGAACAGCTTAAGGATCAACAGATGTCTTTTACATAGCCATCATTTTATGTTTATACTATAATATATCTTTCATTTACATCTCTAGCCAAATTATTTAATTGTACCATTTACTCCTCTTTTGCAGCTATTCTTTCTAATAAAATTTAAAATTTTGCTATTATTTTTACATTTTCTTCATTTGCTGCTTCCAATTTACATTTCAATATATTAACTTCTTCTGTATGTGAAAGTTATTTATTATAATTAGAATTCTAATTAATTATTTTTTAAATTACTTCTTTTTTATTTTTATCATTATTAACTATTGCAGATATCTCTAAGTCTTCAATAAATCCACTAATATCATTTTAATTAATTTCTGGTTAATCTTCATTTGATGGAAGACTTAAATCTTCATTATTTTGTTCTTTTATATTACTCAAGGCTGTTTTTATTGGCAATTTAGCTTTCATCAACTAAATATCTTTTTAATAAGCCAATAAATTATTTTATTCTTATTAAGTTAATTTAAGCTATATATATATTTTTAATATATACATAATTTTAAGCATAAAAAGCAGCTGGTTAATTTCTTAAATATTCATCCATTAATGATTAAAGGCATTAATAGTAAATAAACTTTCTCTCACATTACTTTTCATGTTAAGATTTAAATTATCGTAAATAATCGAGTATATTTTCTTAATTAAATAATGCTTTTATTTCATTTAAAATAGAAGAACTTTAAATTTATGATGCTTAAATTTTATTCATTTAAACTATTTATACTTCAATCTCATTCTTTAATGCTATAATCTCAGAATCTTTTTTATCTAATAATCCATTAATCTCATTTACATTATTTTAATTCTCTCTTTTTAAAACATCATTTTAAAACTTTTCTATTTCACATTTTAACTCCAAGATTTCGGTATTTTTTTCTTCAATTTATTTTATTAATTAATTTTCTTTTATAATTTACTGATTTTTTATCATTTCTAACTCTCTTTATAATGTTAAAATTTCTGGATCTTTCTAAGATGATTATTTAGTTGATTCATTATCCTTCTTATTTTATATACTGTTCTCTTAATCTTTTAAAAATTCAATTTCATTTTACAATGTTAAAATTTCTGCATCTTTATAATCAAATAATTTCATAGCTTCTATTTCTCTTTTACTATAACCAGCTATATCTATATCTTTTATAATTAAAGTTTTTTTCATTTCATCAACTTATCTTCTTAAAGCAGAAATTTAAGAATTTAAATTCTCAATTTATTAATTTAGTTTTTTTTGTTCTTTTAATAATAAGGTTTCTGCATCTTTTAACTATTAATCTAATTACTAATTTTATTATTCCTTTTATAATAATTTTTAATTCAAATGTACTAATTAATTATTAAGCTCGATTTTTTAATTATTTATCTATTATCTATTTTCAATTTCTTATTATAATTCTAATTTTAATTATTTTATGTCTTATTATTAAAAATCTGTTTATAGTGATAACTAATTATTTTATTATTTAACTTTTTCATAGTCAATTTTTTATTATGCAATTTATTCATCATGATCTTAAACAAGTTAATTATTTTACTACAATAACTTTTGCTCTTATGCTTAACTCTCTTATATAGATAGCATTATTTGATTTTATTTACCTTTCAAATCATTTTCTAATTATTATATTGTTTATTATAAATGATTTATTTACTCTTGTAATGAGACTATAAGTCTATTTTAAGCTTAATCTGCTTCAATTTTATTTGTTATTTAAACTTAGTTCTCTACTAACTCTTTATTATTTTTTTCCAATTCTAAAATCTCATTTTTTAATGCATTTGTTTTTTCTAACAATTCTTAATGCTCCTTATTTAATTAATTAAAATTTTGAGTTAATTGATTTATTTATAATTACAACTTCTTATTACTTTACTCTAATTCTTAGTTTTAATGTTACTATAAATTTAACTCTTTTTAAATTAACTAGGTATATTATGTTCTTTCTTGAATTTAACTCTCAAAAATAGTTATTTAGGATTACAATTACTAAATCTTATTGGTGCATTTTTCTATTTCTTTCATCTGATTTTAATATTTATTTTCCTTTTCAATTAATTCTTAATTTTTATTCTTAATATTTAAATCTAATCCATTTATTATATCAATATTATTTGTTATAATAATTTCTTTAGCTTCTAAATTCTTCTCCAAATTAATTTTTAGGTCTTTTAAATGATTATTATCATTTTTTATTTATTTAATTTCAATTGTTTATTAATCTATTTAGTCTGATTTTTCTTTAATTTCATTTATTAAGTTAGAACATTTTCCTTATTCTTAACTTAATAACTATTACAATTCATTAATCTTAGATTCTTTTGCTAATTAATTTTACTCTAATTCTGTTATCCTATTTTATAAATCTTAATTTTATTATTTATTATTTAAAAGTTCTTAGTTTAAATTTTGACATTTTAAATTTTAATCTTAATTTTCTTGTTACTCATGTTTTAGTTGTTAGTTTAAATTTTCTATTTAAACTTAAGAATTATTAATATCTTATTCTTGAATCTAATTTTATAAAAGTAATGTTTAAAGCTCTATAGTCTTTTCATTAAGTTCATTTTGTAAATTTGATATCTTGAATTCTTGTTACTATACTTATTAACTTTATTTTTCAATTTGGCTTTAAATTTATTATTATGATTAACTCTCTAAAACTTTTAATTATTGATTAAGAATTTGATATTTTTATTCTGACTCTGCTATTTTAATTTCTAATTTATCTATAGTCTATTTATTTTTTTCTAATTCCTCTATTAAAACCCCAATTTAAAATAATAATTTTTGAATTTCTCCAGTTTGTTTCATAACTTTACTAATTAATTCAGCTTCTCTAATAACTAATTCAGAACTATACTATGCCTTTGTTTCCTCAATTTATTAATCATTTTTTTAAATATTTATTTATAATTAATTATTTAAATCTGTTATTGTTTTTAATTATTCGTTAATCATTTCTGATAGTTTAACTTTTTCCAAATTTGCATCCTTTTATGATTATTTAAATAATTCTATTTATAAATTTAATTCTTCAATTTACAATTCCTGTTTTTTAATTATTTATTTATTGTTATTTTCAGTATTTCTAAATTTCTCAATTTCTTATTGATATTGAGATTGAATATTAATTTAGGATTATTACAAGATTTAAATTTCATTAGATAATTAAATATTCTTTTAAGTAAGATCTTAATTTATAGCAACTAACTCTTCATTTTCTTAATATTGAGAATTCAATTCATCAATTTTTAATTAATTTTCTTTTAAAAAACTTTATCTTTCTATTTTGATATCATTTTATAAATCTTGTATTCTAGATTCTAATTACTATATTTAATCTTGTGCAGAAATTAATTCATTTTCCATTATAATTAATCTACTTTAAGTATTTTCAAATAAAATTTATTTTTCATTTGATTAATTTTATAATTTTTCGGCTTCCTCTAATTCTTGAATTAATTTTTATATTTTTTCTATGAATTGTTTTTTTTCATCTTCATAATCTTATTTAAGTTTTTTAATTTGTAATTCTAATTATTATATTTAATTTAAATATATTTTTTATTATTCAGTCAAAGTTATTTCATCTTTTTATTTTGCAAAAATTTAATCTTCTAATTTTTTAATCTTATTTTATAATTCTTATTATTCAAGCTTTGCTTTTTGATGTTATTATTCAAATAAAAGAGTTTATTACTTTTATTACTAAGCATAATCTTTTTTTTAATTCTACAACATTTCTATTTCATGTTGTTTTCCTAATATTATTTGATCTTTGAAATTTAATGATTCTTATAATTTTTATATTGTCTAATTGAGATTTGATATTTATTTTTCATGATGATGAATTGTTCTTTCTTAAACTTATATTTTTTAGTTTATTCCCTAAAATTCTTTAAGTTATTATTGCAATTAATTTATTTCCTAATTTTTATTTTTGATTATTTTGTCCTTAGCATTAATTTAATCTTAATATTAATTATTTACTTTAGTCAAATCTCTAATCTATTATTCAAAATTTGAAAGACTCCTATTCAAAGTATCAATCTAAGATTTTAAATGACCTTAAATTGTTGTTTATTCCATACTTTTACTTCTGAGTTATTCTGGAGTGTCATTTAAAATCCTACTATTACTTTCATATTATTAAATAATTTAATCCTTACTCTATATTGTATTATCTAATATATGAAGTTACTCAGTATGTTCTAATTCAAGTCTTTTGATTTAAGCCTTTAGATTATTTATCTCATCCTCATAATTTAACAATTTATTTTCCTATTATTTAAATGCAAATTAAGCTTGTTATAAATCATTCTCTAATTGCTTAATTAATTATTGTTAAGTTTCTATCTCTTGTTAAGATACCATATCTAATTGAAATAGACTTTATTATTCTGAATTTCTATTTTCAAAATCCTCTTTTTAAGTTTACAATGATTAAACTATTTATTTATTCATTTATTAATCATGCTAATATTAATCAGATAATTCTTAGAAAGATTACTTTAAGTCATTATATTTTTATTTAATTTCCTATAATTTTAATTGAGTTTAATTATTTTCTCTTTCTTTATCTTCTTTTTCAGTTTTCAATTTAGAAATCTATTGGTTTAGTTATTCAACTTCTAAGGAACGATCAATTGAGCTATTTCTAGATTAATAATAAAAAATTATAAATACTTATTTGATTTTTATTTTAAATCCACTATCTCTTAACTTAGTGATTTTAATTTTTGACTTGAATCATCCTTATAATTTTAATACTCAGAATTCACTTCAAGTTTTTATTTCTACACTACTTTATTAGAATATTATTACATAATTTTTCGCTTTCTAACACTTTAGAGATTTAAAGTTTAAGTAATTTATTTTCATTTTCTAATTATTTAACTTTTTTTTAATGATTCTAAATAATTTAATTTTGTTCTTCTATTTATTGTTTTAAATTCATTATTTCTGTTTCTTTTTCTACAATATGGTCTTAAAATTAATTCAATTAAGTTTCTAATAATTTATTTTAATTATTTTTAGAATCAAGACTTGATTATGATTCAATCAATCCATTTTTTGATTTAAATTTATCATTATCTTAATAATTTTCTGAGGCTCTATGAGAATTATGCAATTAATTAGAAAATTACTTATTTGTAAATTCCAATTATTATTTTTTATTTTCTAATTTATTTACTTTTGCTTCTAGTTTAGTAATAACTGCAAATAAGTTTTTATTTTTAATATTTAAATCTTTATTTTAACTTTCATATTAGCGTAATTAAGTATTGATTTCAATAAGTTTATTATGATCTTATTCTTTACTTTAGAGACTACATGCTATAATTTAATAAAGTTAATCAAAGGATTGAGGATATATTTTTTAATGTTTTTCAACTAAAGAATAAAGCTTATTTAGTTCTTCCTTCTTTAGTAATTGAGGAATATTTATATTTTAAAGTTGATTGATAGAAATTTATGCAGTTTAACATATTTGATTGATAGCATTATATCCCATAATAATCTCTCTAATGTCTTTGATTAAAAGCATTTATAATTTTTGTGAAGATTGTTAATTCTACAATTTCTTGGCATTTGTCGATATGATTGATAACTCTTAAAGAATTTCAGTCAATAAATCATCGGCCCTACACGTCATAGGTGGGTCATACCTTATTTATTCTGTTTTGTGAGTGCCCTTATCAAACATTGGTTTAAGCAACTTATCTAAAGGCTACTAAGAGAATTAAAAGTTATCACCACTCATTCTACTCTAAAGTAAATTTGATTTAAGCACAGATATTTCCTTCTCAATTTACTAATGACAATCTTTCAGCATATTAAATCTAAGTGATGAACCAAGAAGTCTATCTGAATCCTAATCTTGATGCTTTGTTGTATATGAATCAATAAGAAAATTTTACGAATTACGAGGGCCATAAATCCCAGGAGATATAATCTATCTTAAAGGTTAGGGTGAACAAATTCCAGGTTAAGGAGAATAAAATGCTGTCTGAGTATTTTATCTGCTTAATTTTTACATTTTTCAAATTATAAATAAATTATTATAACAACAAATTCACACCTCCATAAAATTATTTTTTATTTCATCCCAAAACTATCTTATATTACTTAAATCATATAAACATCAACTTCAATATCCATTCTAAATATTCTCTCTAATTTAATTTATTCTTTTAATTCTATTTTTTCTACTTTTAATATATATAAATAATAATATAAGGTTTTACGCATGAATTAGTATGCTATTAGAAGGGTGAAAATTAAAATTTATTCGTGATCTAATATGAAACTGTTTATGAAACTTTTATCTTAAATCTTAATTTCAGCTTATCTTTTTTTTTCTTTTTTTATTTTTTGAAAACTTTTCATTAAAGTTTCAAGATTTCTTTCAAGTCTATCTAGTGATTGGGCTATATGATTTTAATATTACTATAAAAGGTCTCATTCAAAATTTTTATATATTTGGATTCTAATTTTATGAAGACTCATGTAAATTGTTTAAAAATATATAGCAATAATTAATTCTATTATTTTGATTTGTTAAATAATTCTTTTTGTATGATAAATTTATTAATGTTTAGTTTTTTAATGATAATTAAATATTTTATTTATTTTTAGATATAGTGTAATATTCTAATAATTTTAATCAGATTATTAATATTAATTAAAAGGAATCAGATTATTTAATAAATTATTGATGGATGAATGTATTATTAAATTTGGCAATAGTGTGAGAATAATTAAATTATTATTTAGATGAAAATTAACTCCTTATAGAAATTCGTTTAGTAAATTTTAGTTTGATTACAAAAGACATCTGCATTTAATATTAAATTATTTTGTATTTTAAAATGATATCTCATTAAATTTTCTTTCTCTCTTCTAATAATCTAGCATTTCTGATTCTAGAGAAGAATTTAAGAATTTCATCAACAATCACAACAGGTGCTGATACTCCAATGATCAAAATCCTAAAATAGAATAATATATATAACCAATCTTGAATAGACAATGGAACAGTGTTAAAGATGTTTTCAAATAATGGAACATAGCAGATCATGCAATGGAGAGTCATAGATCCGCAAATAGCTAAAATTAAATATGGATTTGCAAAAAGTCCAACTTTCAATATTGATCCATCCTAAAAAGAGTTTAATAAAATAATTATACTTCAGATAAGGCATTTAAGGCATTAAACATTTCAATAACAACAAGTACAGAAAGACTTAAAGTTGAAGCCTTTTATTTACCCCAAGAAAAATAAAGACAGGGATCTTTAGAGAAATCATATTTTTCAAAATTGGGAACTTTGAATCCTTCCCAATGATGACATTCAGCCCAATTTCTAAGTTAATGGAATGTAACAATAGGATGTCCATCACCAGCCCATTCATATCCCAAATAATAATAAACAAAGACAAAGACTGTAGCTAATCCAACATATGTTCCAATAACACAATATCTAATGAATACAAATTCAGTGATAATTGGTTCGTCATGCTTTCTTGGTGGTTTTTACATAACATCAGGATCAGGTGGATTAAATGATAAAGCAGTAGCAGGTAAACCATCAGTTACTAAATTAACCCATAATAATTAAATTGAATTGAATCCATCAGGAATACCTAAGACTGATGATGTGAAAATAGATACAACTTCACCAATATTAGATGAAATCATATATCTTATAAATCCTTTCATATTTTAATAAATAGCTCTTCCTTCTTCAACAGCTCTTACAATTGTAGCAAAATTATCATCAGCTAAAATCATATCTGATGCTTCTTTTGCAACTTCAGTACCAGCAATACCCATAGCAATACCAATACTAGCTTATTTTAATGCAGGAGCATCATTTACACCATCACCTGTCATAGCAGCTATTTAATTTAATTAACCAGTTAATAATTTAACTAATTCTCTTTTATGTGATGGATCTGTTCTTGAGAAAACTAATCCACTTGGTCTTCCAATAACTTATTCAAGTACTTTCTTTTATTTCTCTTCTCCCATTGTTGAGAATTCTAATCCTGTAAATGAATGAGTTGGGAATTAAGATTAATTATGTAAAATACCAATTTACATAGCAATTGATTATGCTGTCTCTTTAATATCACCAGTAATCATTATAACTGATATTCCAGCTTCTCTACATTTTTCAATTGATCTCTTTACTTCACTTCTTGGTGGATCTTATAAAGCAACAACACCAATAATTATTGGCTTACTTTCTAAATCTTTATAGTTATTTGTATCAATTAATAAATTATGAGCTGGATGTTTAGGTCCATCATAATCACTTAATTAACCACAATCTTCTTAAACACAAATTGCCAATGTTCTCAATCCCTTTTCTGCTAAATTCTTAACAATTTTTAATAATTCATTCTTATCTTAAGCCTTTAATGGTACAGCATCTCCATTTGAATTAAGAATTAAATTAGACTTTTCTAATAAATAATCAGGAGCACCCTTAATGAATAAGACATTTGCTTTTTCATTTTTGGAACTAGCTAAAACAGACATACTCTTTCTGTCTCTTGTAAATTCTAAAGTGGCTCTCTTTGTAAATTCACTAACAATCTTTTCATTATATTATTCTGGAGCATCTAAAGTTGGTTTACTACTGAATGAACGATCATATTTTCCAACTTTTTCAACTAATACTTTTAATGCAGCTTCAGTTGGTAATCCACTTCTTTAAACTCTTCCTTTATCAGTGAATAATTTAGATTCATTGCATAAAGCCATAGATTAGCATAATCTGTTAACATTTCCAGCTAAACTGTTTCCTTTGACTAATTTAGTATCTAATCCTTCAATTTTTCCTTCAGGATGATAAGATGTTCCTTCAACAGGGAATACATGTAATGAAGATGCTTCCAAACCTGTTAATAATACTAATTCTTTAACACACATTTCATTAGTTGTCAAAGTACCAGTTTTATCTGAACAAATAATAGTTGTGCATCCCAAAGTCTAAACTTTTGGTAATTTACGAACTATAGCTTTTTATTTAGCCATTCTTCTAGCTCCTAAAGCTAAACAAGTTGTAATAACAGCTGGTAATCCTTCAGGAATAGCAGCAACTGCTAATGCAACAGCTACTTTGAAATAATATAATGCTCCCATTACTGTTCCTCCATATGCAGGATCAGAGAAATTACCAATGTTCATAACCCAACATATGATACAAATATATGTAACATATTTAGCTAATTTATCTCCAAATTCATCTAATCTTTTTGATAAAGGATCATCGTCTTCTTATTTCTCTTTTGCTGCATCTTATACTTCCTTTTAAATCTTTCCAATCTCAGTTCTCATTCCTGTATTACAAACAATACCTATTGCAGTACCATTTGATACTAAAGTTCCTGAAAATAAGAAATTTATTTTATCTTATACGGCGGCTTAATCTTTTAAGACTGGATCAGTTGTCTTATTTACAGGATTTACTTCTCCTGTAAGAATTGACTATATTATTTATTAATTTATAATACTTAATCTGTTTTCAATGTAATTGTCTTCAAATCAACCATTCTCAAATCTGCTGGAATTCTATCTCCTTATTTTATTTCAACTACATCACCAATCACTAAATCTTTTGCTTCAATTTATCCCCAATTTTCATCTCTTAGGACTATTGCATGTGGTGATTACAAATCTTTAAGTGCCTAAAATAATAATAATATATTATCATACTTCTATTGCTCTCTCTGCATCCAAGTCTTACCAGATACCTACAGCTGCATTTAATATTAATATTGTAAATATAACACATGGCTCAACCCAAGGAGGTACTGCATGTGATTCTTCATGATCTTCAAATTATGAAATCACAAAAGATATTACAGCAGCCAATAATAATATTCTTACTAAGTTATCTTCAAATTATTCCTTTATCTTTTCCCAAATACTCTCTTTCTCTTCCTTCTCTAATTCATTTGGACCATATTTTGTTAGTCTAGCTTATGCTTCAGCTGTTGTCAAACCCCTTGTTATATTTACTTATTATACTTTTATAAACTTGTTTGAACTGCTGTCACTACCTTCTCTAATGGATAGGTATGGAATGGCTATTTCAAATCGATCTCTGCCATTAATTAAAAATTTATAATATATGATATCCCCAAAAATCTTTTTTTGTTAAATAATTCATTTTTTATAAGCAACTACTCTCAATAATTTTATTCACTTAAATTATTTACTCTAAACATATATAATGTCTATATTTAATCTTTTATCCCCTTCTTATAATCATTTACAGAACAATTATCAATTTATAGAAAATTATTTTATTCTAATACACAATTTTTTATAGAATTTTTATTTCTTAATGAGAATTTAATTCATTCTATGATTCCTTCAACAAAATCACCTCTAGGACTTGCCAAATCAACCAATTTACTACTCTTTATTACAGAAAAAGGTTCTTTCTGATAAAATTGAAATACTCCTTTTGGGGATTGCAACTCACTCATATAATTACACTTCTTTAACTTTGGAATTTAAAATTAATTTTAATCCTTATCTTCAATTTCAGAATTTATTATGTCTTCTTATAAATTGTATTATGATAATATTTCTTCACATTAAATAGAAAAATTCCCATTATTCTGTTTCATCGTTGAAATAAGTGATGCTTACAGTTAAGTACTGTAATCACTAATTTAATCAAAAAAAGCATGATAAAGAGCCTTTCTCGCACTTATTCTCAGTTTTGGATCTTTCTTCAACAATAAAGTTAGTAAATTCTAATTTAGATTATTATATAATAACTACAATTGAATCTTCTGTAATATATTGTTTATCTAATGGCAATTAAAAGTCTATTTCACATTTTTTATTGGCTCTTAAAATTTCATCAAAAGTCTTTCCAGTAAAAATACTCCTTCCAGTCAAAAGTTTATAGAGAATACATCCGCAACTAAAAATATCCACTTTTGTTGTGTATTTGCTACCAATATTAGTTGTTAAGACTTCAGGAGCTACATAACCTGGAGTTCCACATCTTGGAAATAAATATCTAATTTAAAAAAAGATAAGATACTTATCTAAAGTTTCATTTGTAGCTAAACCAAAGTCAACAAGAACTAAAGAATAATAATCATTTCTTCTTGCAAACATTAAATTATCTGGTTTTAAATCTCTATGAATTATCTAAAAATACTTATTGAGAATATACTTTATAGGAATGCAATAATGCTACACTTTATAATAATTATGCCATTATAATTTTAATAAATTAAATAGGTAAACGCTTATCAGGAAGTCCCTAATCTTTAAAATAATTAATTACTTTGGCTCTTTCTATTTCTTCACTTAAACATTAACCTTCTAGATATTCAGTCACTAAGTAATAAGTATGGTCCCCTTCATAAATCTCTCTTAAAATTAAAAAGTTAGATGAATGAGGAGATAAAATTTTGAGAATTGAAATTTCCATATTATAGGCTGCCTATAAATATTTAACTAATGATTAGTACTAATCCTGAGCCTTTCTCAGTCTAATTCAAAAATGATTTTTCAATAGCTTTAATAGCATAAACTTTTGAATTGATAACATTCTATGCACTATATACCTACATAATCAACAAATATTTACTTTTGCTGAACTTCCTTTACCAATTTGCAAAAGTGGTATATAAATATCTCCAATACCTTCAAATGTAACTTTTAATCCTAAAATTTCTTTAAATCTATAATATTATTTTATCCTACCTAACCAAATCTTAATGATCAGCACACAAAGTCTTAAAATAATTATTGTAGGGAAAAACGAAGGATTATAAATAAACTCCATCTTTTTACTTTTTCAAGACCCAATTTATCTTTATTGAGAGTTGAAAATAGATTTTATATTTTGGGGACTAAGTATCTTAAGACTAAATATTTCAATATACTTTATACACTGCCCATTGTAAAATAATCTTAGAATACACTGATATAATATTTTTTATCTCGAAAAAAATGTTTACGATATCCAATAAACTTGAATTTAGCATCTTTGTATTCAATATAATCCATTGTGTGTTTGATATACAACTAATTAAATTTAACAAATGATTTATAATAAATAAAAACAAAAATATAATTTTTTCTTTACTTTCAATAAAATATCTTTTTTTAACCCTGAAAGCAGGATTATTATAAAGTAAAGCAGATTTTTTAACTCTTATTGGATGCTAATCTTTACATTTATATTTGTAGTCACTTAATTTTTATGGTGATTTAATATCTTAAGATTTGGCTATAAATATAGAATTGGGAAAAATGAGTTGAATTTGATTAAAAAAATAATCTAGTTGCTTCTTAAAAAATTTAACGATTTTTGATTTGGAGTCAGTTAATGAGAATGCTAATTATTATTACGTTGTAACATTTTTATTACCCAATTTCAATTCAACATAAGTTAAATATTAATTCTTTTTAATGTGCTAATATTCATTATAACAAAAATAAGTATTGTGGAGATAATCTTTCATTCAATTTTTAATATTAATTGCAATTTTTTTTTATATAAGTCTTTTCATCCTCTAAAATAATTTTTCACCATGTAAGATGAACAATAAAATTATAAATTTTTTGAGATACATGTAATAGGATTCTTATGGCCCAATATATACTGCTTTATCATATTTTTCTTTTCTTATGATCTCTGATAGCATATATTCAGTGGTACCAAAAAAACAGGTTTTTTGCTTAACCATCATTTAACCTGAAAGTAGACCAGTTGAAATCACAAAATTTCATATTGTAATTTTACAATAAAATGTTATCTGCCTTTATGTTTCGATGAATAATACCAATAAAGAATATGTTAAGCATTTTGATAGAAGTGATAAAACTTCTTCTTTATTTAATTGTTAACTATCTTAATTAACCCATATAAGGTGTCTAGTTCATATATTTATACGATTTTCTACTCAGAAATAATTTAATTCATTTAATATATTATAGGTGGAAAAAATTTGTTTGATATAGCTTTTTGAAATCTTTATAATTTAAATTGTTACTATTTTTTTAGTGAAAATTTTATTTAACATTGTTCATTGGCAACAGAACCTTTTCAAAAATTCTACTTCTTAAAGTACTTTATATTAATCTTTAAGCGATTTCTTATGAATTTGAGATGAAAAAGTTTTGGTTTTATTAGGCAAATTGTTATATGAATATTAATTCATCATTAAGGAAAAATAAATAAATATGATATTGATATAGTTCCAGTTCAAATTTAAATAAAATTTAGTTTATTAAATTGTCATCATCTTTATCTACTTTATCTAGTAAATCAAATAAATTGTCAATAAAATTATCTCAATTTAATAGATAAAAAATGTTGATTTTAAAAATCATATTTGTAACAGTAGGTTTCGTTTGTACAATTATTAGCCTTTTTATATATTAGTAGTATTAATAAATTTAATTTATGAAAATAATTATCAAAACTTTAAGTGGATAAACTTTTGAACTTGAAGTTCAGCAAACAGATACAGTAACTCTGATTTACAAATTAGGTTCTAAACATCAAAGAAAAAATTGAATAGGTTAAATAATTTGAAATAGGCTAATAAAAACTTTTAAGAAAAGGAACTCTTTTACTAAATGATTAAACAGTAGGGGAATTGGGAATTTAAGAGAAAGACTTTCTTGTTGTTATGGTTAACGTAAAAGTAATAAATAAAAAATATAATTGTCTAGAAAGGTCCTCCTTAATAATAACCTGTTTAATAATAATAAGTATAATAATAGCCACTTTAATAACCTTAACCAATTTAAATTTAAGAACCTGTATAAGTAGCTAAGCCAATAGTATCATAATAAAATATGGCAACAGGTTAGGAATATGATGTGGCAATTTAAAATTTGATTTAAATGGGATTTGCTAAATCTGAATGTGAAGCAGCAATGAAAGCAGCATTTAATAATTAAGATAGAGCCATAGAATATTTATTAAATGTAATGAAATATCATGCTATTTAAGGGGATTCCTGTAGTTGAATAGCCACCACCTCCATAATAAGGATAAAATGTAAATTAAGAACATTAAAATACATTGTAATAATTAAGAGAATAAATTATATAAAATCCAGAGACAATACTTTAAATTTTACCATAATTATAGTAATCAAATCCTTAATTATATTAAGTAAATATAATGATTACATTTAATTAGTAAATTTAATAGAATCCCGAGACATTTATTCAGTTACTTTTAGGAGGTGGTTAAGAAGGAGGAGATGAGATTGAGACAGAGATTACTTAAGAAGAATAATAATAACTGAATTAGTTAATAATGATGGGATTTACAAAAGAAGATGCATTAGAAGGTTATTTAGCTTGTGATAAAAATGTGGAAACAGCAGCATCGTATTTATTTGAAAAATAAGCAAGAGGGGATTTATTAAGTATAAAATTATATTTATGACAGGTTAACATATTGAGAGGGAAGAAAATAATCCTGAAAATTATAATGATGAAGAAGGAAATGAAGGGGAAGATGATTAAGATGATGATGATGATTAATATTATTGAATTCATATTATTATATTATTTTCACCTCCATATTTTTTCGGAATTACTGATATATTAATATCTTTTAATAAAACTGCTTGTATTTCTTTAGGATCTCTTCCAGCAAAGGCCATTTTCTCGATAGTTCTTTTTGGTAAAAATTTCTTAACTAGATTGTATATTGACTTAGCAAGCCAATCAGTATTTATTACAATATTTCTTATCTGTCTTTCTGGATACTTCATAAAGACGTAAGTCATCAATGCCTTTATTAAATCTAGACTAACATTTTTTCTACTCAAGTTAAAACAATCAATTATTAAGATTTAACAATCAATGTGTCCTCTCATACTTTTTTACATAATTACATATTATTTATTACTTACTAATGTTATGTTCCATCAAACTACAGAAATATTCTATAAATATTTCAATCGTTGGATTAGGTTCTTTATATTCATCAGGTAATAGATTTTCTGCTCTTATATAAAATATTGGATGACCTAACTATTATTTTTAATATTTATATTTTTATACTTTGCCTTCTCCCAACATTATCAAAATATTTTACTTTCTAAAATAATCATACTTTTCATTTTTATAATCATAAGAATTTATATTATTTTCTTTCCTCCATTTTAAAACATCTATTAGCATTTTCTCAGCTGCATTTAAATCAAATTATCTAGCTTAAAGATGTCTAATCAATGCATTATCATTTAATGCCAAATTTTTCATTCTCACCCTAAATTGGTTCAAAATCTCCTTTTCATTGTCCTATTCTATTTTCAATCAATACATTTAATTAAGTAAATCTTAGATATCTTTCTTCATTTTATAAAGCAGGATGATTTCTATCAGGATTAACATCTTAATAACCTAAATGATCATTAGGTAAAAAATAAACTTCTAAACCATCCTTTTTATTTTATTATCCTATACCATTTTAAGTTTATATTATTACTTCAGACTTCTCTTAAATTTTTTCAATAATCTAATTTACTTAAACATATATACATGATCATATTCATAATTTATAATTTAATGATTTATTATATATTCTTTTGCAAACTTATGCATTAATTTATCCTTAGACTTCTTAAGAATAATTAATATCTCACATTATGTTTAATTTATATTTTGATGATTTTCAAATATTTAGAAATTAATCTATTATATATTAATAATCTTACCCTTAATATTTAAGAATTTTATACATCCCTTTGTATTATAAAATAGCCAGATTTTATTTACTATTTTCTTACATAAGTAATATGAATATTAGTTTAATGCTAATCCTTTTTCTTTTTACTAAAACAAATTTAATATTTCTATTGAAATTGATTGCATTTTATGCTTTGATGATTCTTTAAGCTCGGTTGAAAATAGATCAAATTATTTTCATTTATAAAAATTTTTTTTATCATTTTCATTGGTTTATCTATAACCCAATTACCCTTTAGATAATGAAATTTAGAATCATCAGAATAGTATAGTCGTAATTTATCATAGATTTTATGTAATTTCCAATCAACATTTTATTATAGAAGTTCAATTTCATCATTACATTCATCCTCTATTGTTGTATGTAAAGTATGATGGCTAACTAAAACAGGTTGATTTGATAATAAATTCTTTTTTAAAGTAAATCATTACTATTGAAAGTTTAAGTTGAGCAACCCATTCTTCTGCATCTTTTAAAGAAATAGCTCTGTATACGGTTGAATAATCTTGATGAATCAAAGTGAAATAAAATAAATCATCAATTTTATCCGGACCCTCTACTTTAGCCTATTCCAAAATAATTACTTCAATAGGTGAATGAGACTTATTCTTTAAATTATTTTTACTTTATCATTCTCAAATTTAAAGAAATGCTTATGATCTAAATAATAGTAATTAGAAGTCCAAAATAAAGATTTTGTCTGGAGATAACCATGTTTATAGGAATGTTGATTCATTAATTTTATTTATTATAATTAATAAACAATAATTTTTTTATAATTGTAACCTTCGTTAAGAAAAATCTGAAACTCTTAAATATTTTATACAATTCAAAGAACTTTTCAAATTAAGGTGGAAGAATCTTAGTATTATTTTATATTTATTTTTAATTTACACATTTAAACATTATTATATTTTATGAAGAAACAGAATCTGAAAATAATATTATCATAAAAATAATTGATAATTTTTTGATTAATTCAGAAATGAAAGAAAATTATTGGTTAATAACTACTTACATATCATTATAATATTAATGAATAAGTTTCTTAAAATAAGTGAATTCATGCCTTCCGCCTTAATTTTATATAATTTATTCAAATAGTTATTTGCTTGTAATTGATTTTTTTGTACTAATCCTTACAAAATTCAAAGAAGTAATTTCTTTTAATTTTTACATTGTATGTCTTTTTTTACTAAAAATTATTCTTAGGTATTATAGATCAAATTCTTTGAAGTCTAAGTCAGTAAATTTTTAGGAACAATTTAAAGGACTAATTAGTCTTTTATCAAATATTTATATTAAAATCGATTTATTTAATTGAATATGAATTTATAAAATTTATAATATATCATTTTAAGATGATATCAAAATTATCATGAGCACCTTTTAAAAGCATTTAACTTAAAAACCAAGGACATTTTATTTTTTTGCTGCTCTCAATGTACCAGCAAGGGCCATATACTATTGATATAGAGTACTTCATAATATTTTTATTTTTTTTCAACATTGAATAAAACTCCAAATTTTACAACATCAGAATTTTTGGTACCTCATCGTTAAATGTCTTTTTTTAATTCTTCAATTATTTTCCTAAATTTTATCTCACATGATAATAATTATTAAATAATATTTAAAATTGAGTAATGAAATAAATTAATTAATGTTTTCTTAAAAATAAAGAAAAAAAAGAAAATATAAAATGAAGATGGATGCAATATTAATTCTCAATTCGTAGATTTACTTATTAATGTTGGAGTATAAATCTTCCAATAAAATGTAATTCCCAATAGCGCTCCAATCCATGGTCCAATAACAAACATTAATAAATTAATCATCTAACTCCATCTTCCAAAATAAATTCCATAAAAAAGTTAAAGTCTAACTTATATCAAAATTCTTACCCAAATGCAGCTGCTGGATTGAATAAACTATTGCCCATAGTTGCTGTATATCTAAAATATATTCATATATTACTATCTAGCTACAAAATATATTATACTAATGAATGCTGCTGATTAAATTTGAGTTGAAGTAATTTTTGTGTTTTCAGCTGTTTAAATTTATATAAAAGTAAAGAAAATAATGGAGCCAGCTATTTCAGACATCAAAGTACCTAGTACTTAATGAGTAGGTAATCTAATATTATAATATTAATATACGATTCATAATAAGGTAAGGTTTAACTATTCGCAAATAAAGGCATAATTAACATTCCCGCAATCAAACTTGCAAGTAATTAGGATCCAATAAAATAAATTGTTTTTTTACTATTAATAGTTCCATCTATAAATCCTATTAATGTACAAATTGGATTGAAATATCCTCCACTTAGGCGCCCAAATAATATTAGACTTATAAAATAAATGAGAGATAATCCAAAATTATTTCTACATAATTTTGATAAATCTTTTACTCAGTTGCTAAAGCTCCATAAATTACTAGCAAAGTTCCAACAGTTTCAAAAACAACAATATTTAAGATTTAAGCAGATTCTTTTTCCTTTGAATCTTCTTAATTCACTTAAAATTAATTGACTGTAGGTTCCATAATATAATTATATATATAATTAATCAATATAATCAATATAATTTATTTCTAGTTAAAGTTTGCGTCATCTATTTTTACGACTAAGACATTATTCCTTTAGTTAACTAAGTTATTAATTGCTTGTTATATTGATATTAGGTATACTTATTGTTCTTGATTAATTTTTTTATTTTCAATACATTCAGCTAACATTGATTTGATACATCTCCAAATTTATTTAAGATTTGGTAATTAATCTCCAGAAAAATAATCAGGAGGTGAACATGAAACTATTAAATCTTTTAAACACGAAATAAATTTATTTTGTTCTTTTAGTTTCAATTTCTATTCATTTAATTTAACTAAACAAAGTGAATGTAATTTTGGTTCAAATATATTTTCTTTATTTACTAATCCTATTTCATTAAAAACTTAAGAAACAAATGTTTACAATCTTTGTATATTTGTATAATTCCCTATCATCTTTTCTAATACTTAAACTTAATGCTCTAATTTTTTTATTTATTCTTCTTATTTCTTAATCAATTCATTTTAATCATTATTCAGAGATACTTCATGTACTGAAGAGTAATTCATATTTTAAAACTAAAGCATATCTATATCTTCAGATTTAGAACTCTTATGTTATCGAAATGGATGGAGACGAGGAGATTATAAGGTTTTAAAAGAGTCATAGTTGTCGTATGTTTTACATCTCATTTTGAATTATTCAATTTAAAACTATTTGTTATTATTATTATTATTAATTTGACAATTTAAATCATCATAAAAAAATCACAATACAAAATATATTAACTAATCCATCTAACCTAAAATAATCAAATATTCATAACCTCATTTTCAAACCTAATTTGAATTAATTAAATTTTTAATCAAATAATAATTGTCAAGCCTAATTGTAAAGAATATATCAAATTTGATAACGGAAGTCCAGATAAAAAAAATATTTGAAAAAAAGGGGAAGTTTTAGATGTTATAGTTATTTTTAAAGATAACAAAAATAAAAGATTCTGTTTTATTGGTTATAAGAAGAAATCTGATGCAATCAAAGCAAAAGAACATTTTGATAAAACATTCATAATGATGTCTAAAATATAAGTTGATTTTGCTAAAACAGTAGAGGATCCTAATTTACCTAGACCTTGGTCAAGAAATACTCACGGATTATCAGCATTTCAAAAAAACTATAAAATTGAAGAACCATTTGTCATTAAAAAAATAAATGATAAATAACTATAAGAATAACTATATAAATCAATAGAACCTTAAAAAGAATAAAAATCTAAAAAAATTTAAGAGTTCTTATAATAAATCAAAACTAATTAGAAACCAATCAGGAAATCTCTTGGAATGATAATAAAAATAATTAAGTTGATCAAATATTTGAAAAATCGATAAAGGAAAACCAAAAATATTTTTTTATAGTTTCATCTAAACTTTTAAACACACTTTCCTTTGATATCTCCATAAAAATTTTATATTTTTTCTTAATTTCATTACATAAACAATAAATTTATTTCCATTTTATTGATTTATATTTGGCTAGTTTTGGTACAAATATTTGATATTTAGGCAATCTTCTTTCTGATTTGAAAATGAATTTTGTGATTTGGTCAGGTTTCTTAAAATTCATATTTTGAAATTTATTTTTTATTATTATTAAATTGACGTTAATAAATATTAAACCTAGAATAATTTATTTTCTAATTTCGATATAATCTAACTAAAATCAACTTGTAATATCATTTAAAATTTGAATGAATTTTATATTACTAAAAGCACATACTTTATCTAATTTATTCTTAAATTTGATTATTTAAATTGAAACTATATGTTTTACAAGGCAATATTTATAGGCTTTGATTTTTGAATATGTAAAAATTTTAAATAAGCCTTTAAATAATTTAGGAAAATTAGTTTAAATTTGAATATGTATATTAGATGAATATTTAAATCATTTAATCAATTCCAAGACCATAACCCAAGCAATAATAATTATGTAGGAATAATTATTGAATTGGCATACAGGATTATCTTTGGAACAATTGCTTTAGGCTAATTGGTAAGAACAGGCAGTTAGAGTTCAACTGGGTGTCACATTATTAATAGATTCAGGAACTTTAACTATAGAGAATTCTGAATTTTAGATCCAGAATAAATTAATAAATAAACATATGTTGCCATGAAAATTAAGTGCTTATATAAGGATTATTAGGATATGTTTAATTAGCTTATTGCCAATCTAACTTCGTCAAACTATACAATGCATTATAATAACTAGATTCTAAAGATAAATTAAAAAAATATAATTTTGAGATTGATAAAAATACATCGATATATATTTAGAATCTAATAAAAAAAGTTAATTAAAAATTTATTTGAACTATAACAATTCCATTAGTTCCATAAATTGTTTAACCCTCAATAGAAGGTTCGTAACTTTAATTAATGCTAGTGTTATCAGTAGTGTTTAAAAACTCTGATATTAATGTCTAACAAATTTCTAAACTACCGTTTCTATAATTGTATCTCCAGTATAGCAATTAAAAAAGCAAGGAGAATAGATTTTATCATCATCTTATTGGATTGATTATTTTAAAATGCTTATTCTAGCTTAATCATTTCCATAACCTAAATAAGATACAGAAAATAATGAAAAATTGCTAACATTGGGATTAACATTTAAAAGAACAAAATCTGAACCAACAAATTGATTATAAGGAAATGCATTTTAAGTTGAAGCTCTTCCTAAATCAAGTGTCAAAAAAGATTACTAACTTTTTGATCAAGCTAATAAAAAACAGACATCCACAAATACATTCCCTAAAATATTATAAAAATATTTACTTCCTCTTATCCAGTGATAATTCTAGCCCATGATTGATTATAATATGATTTGGTCTCCTAAAATATCTATTAGACAGTAAAGATTATTTCATTTTAATCTAATTATGATTATCTTAATCAAGCAGTAGGTCCAAGCATGATAGGAATGTATTTATATAGCTTTTAGGGTACAACATCATAAATGAAATTAATAAGTGGATTTAAGTAATCTTAAATGTCTTCTAAATCATTAGCAAATGAAGCAAGACCAGGCTCTTATTTTTTGTTGTTAGACTTTTTATAATAAAATAAATAATATACTGTTTCACTAAGATTGACCATAAGAAAGGTCCAATATAGAACCATAAAATTATGGATTATTACTAAGATCATCATCTAGAGCTAAGAATCGATTTGAATTAACAGCACAAATCAAGCTAATCAATAAAATCAAGAAACTATCTAAATTTGTATTGTATAAATTTATGTATGCAATTATGATCATGAACTTCTTGATATTTCATCTTTATTGCAAAATAAAAAAATCATTGTTAAAACCCATATAAATATTATGAAGTAGGTTATAATCAAATAGCTTAAAATGAACATTCTTAGATTTAAGCATTCCTCATGTTATAAATAGGCATACTAAAAATATGTAAATGTGTAAAATACTGTCAATCCAATTAAAATTACAATGTTAAGAAATAATTCCACTTAATCAACTATGTCAAATAATTTAATTTTCCAAGATCCATTTGTTTTATATTGAATTGGTAATTCAATTATCCTTTAAAAATAAATGAATTCTTACAATTTATATCCAGCCATCAAAAATAGCAATATTTCAGTATATAATGACCAAGTATCAATATTATCACATGATTAATCATCTCTTATTTAAAACAAATTAACAATTACTATAATGACGAAAGATTAAAAAGAGTAAACCCCAACCTAAATTGTATATGATAGCAAAAATGGTTGATGATAAAGATCGGACAATTTAATCAGAGTTTCTCTTAGTTTATTCAGTATTTTGCTTAGATGTTGGAATCTCAAATATTTCAGCTTCTTCCTGTTGTTGATTCATAAAATAAAACGAATATTTATTATTTATAATTCAATCAAATAAAGAATCTACATTTTCAACTTACCATATTGTATTTTGTTCTTTTCCTCCCACTAATACAACTTCTCCTTAAAAAGTAGTTTTACTTGAAGGCCTACTAAGAGCAGCCAAATATTAGTTTGTTTTTATATGTTTAAGTCTAAATGGATATTCAAGAATTAGAGTTTTTAATTCAGGTATACCCTTATCAACTCCTAAAAATCATAATTCTTTAATACCTTCTATTTAGAATTCAGCTTCCTCTTATACTCCACAATTAACTTCAAGATAATCTTTCTTTTTATTTCTAGCCCCATTAATATGCATTAATCTCTTTCCTGTTCCAGTATGAGTTAAAAATAATAGAGATTTGTTTAGTATTTGACTAGTTATATCTGTATTACCATCTGCCAAATCTAATTACCACCAATCATTTTAATCTCTTCTTATAACATATCTCCAAGTTATTTCTTGTTATTTATTTCCATGAGAATATGTGCTAGTATGAGAATGTAAAGATCCACCTGTGAAACAATTTCTAATCACCACTCTATCTTAATTATGAACATATTTAAAGTTTCTGGGTCTTATTGGTTTTTCTATATCTACTTATTGTTCTTTTATAAATATAGATGATCGAACAGATCTAGCTGCCTATAATATATTCTTGTTATACAGGTATTATACTCCAATAATCATTCTAATCTACCCCTGTAAATCCTGTCACTTCATTAGTATCTTTTGGATTTTTATATTATCTATTATGTGAATGTAAAGCATGATTATCATCAAGAACATTTACAAACTTTACTTTGTTCAAATTTATTTCATCAAAGTTTTCAAATCTCAATATGAATTGTTGTTCCCCTGTTCCTTCATATTGATTTGCAACTAGCATTTCACCCTATTTTGTTACTGGTGATTTATTTCCAATATTGCTTAAATAATCTATATTATTTACCAAGTGATAGTATTTCCAGTTTTTCCATTTCTTATAATAATCATATCCCCTGGCCAAATTTCAACTTTATCATAATTAGGCTTTTTGAATCCCTAAATAGGTGGACGATACTTTTCTAATATCCATACAGAATTCTAATCTTATTCTTTTTTAGTTCCCAATAGGTATCTAATAATTCTAAAATGAAAATTACCCATTTTGATAGGATACCTAAGTGTCTGTTAGATAACAATTGGTTTCATTATGTTTAATGTAAACAATATCTTTATGAATTAGAATTTATTATTCCATTAAGATAATTATATTAATAATCAAGCATAAATGGAATCAACTTATTCAATCATCCAAATTGTATTGCCATTATTTTTAACAGTTAAAACTATTTCTCCTTATGTAGAACTTCCACTAGAAGGTCTCTCTAGAGCTGCTAAATATAATTATGTAGGAACATGGCAAATTCTAAAAGGTGTTTCAGATTTTAAATTATTCAATTCTTCATCAACATTGATCACTTAATACTATAAATTAATACTTTCAATTCTAAATTCTTCTGTGGCTTATTTATTACAGCAAACTTCAAAATAATCTCCAGCCTTTACTTTACATCCAGATGAGTGAGTCAAAAATTGTTTAGTTTAGACATGTAACAGAGAAATTATAGAATGATTTTCTATTAGCTAAATTTATTAATCAGAACTTTGTTAAACACCTTTAATTTTATACATAACCCACCAATCATTTAAATCTCTAGGCATTTTTTTCCATGTTACTTCTTATTATTTACTTCCACTTTTATATTTAGAAGAATGGGAATGAAGAGTACCCCCAGTAAATGAATTTCTAATAAACAATGTGTCTGAAGAACGAATGTCTTAACATCTTCTTGCAACAGGTTCTTATATAATTTGTTACTTAATTAATTCCCTCATTTCTTAAGATATAATATCTATAGTCCATGCATCATTTAAATCTCTATCTTTATATGCTGTCACCTCATGATAATGATTCAGATTTTTTAATCTAGATGAATGTGAATGTAAAGCCAAGAATGTTTCTGTATTTACTATCCTTTTGTAAGGAGAATTCTCTTCTATATTTTAAATAACAAACACTTATTCTCCTCCTTAATATTTTACATCATTCTATTTAGCTAATACCATCAAACCTTGTTTAGTTATTGGAGATTTCTCATTTGGAACACTGTAATTATTTTTATTTCATTACCTTGTAACATATTAATTAGAACAAAAGCTCTTTATTTTTATTAAATCTCCTTATATGATTGGAGTATTAAAATAATTGGGAGTCTTAAAATATGAAAACTATGGAGTATATTTCTCTAAAATAAATACAGTATTTGGTGTCTAATTTGTTTATGCACCTAATTAAAGACTTTAATACTAAATTCAAATATAATACCCATATTTATTTTCTATATTAGTGTCTGTTAAATATATTTGTTAGTTTTTGTGTAAAAATTGAACAAGTTCTAAATGCAAAAATTATTTTTGCTATGCTAATTTGATTTACGATTCTTGCAACATTTTAAATTTTATTTACTTATTTTATTAATTATTCAAGCTAATATATCAATAAATCAAATATCTTATTCAAAATTTCAACTTCTGTTAGTCTTACTATTACTCATTTATTAAACTAATATTGATGCTCCATAATGATTTAGATAAATTTTTATTACTTTTTAAGTCTTTCGAAGCTAACTGTCGATTTTAAAGAATAAGAGACATGAACTTCTTTTGAAATCAATTAAATTAGCTAATTTTATAACTTTATCAAATGATTCATATAATTAATATAGTCTTTCAATGAAAAACTCTACTCCAATATTTACTTTCATATATTAAGGATATCTTCTTTTATTATTTACAAATCAGGATTCATTTCTTTTCATTTACATTAATTTTTACTATGAACTTTCCAATAATCTCAATTTACTTCTCCAATTTTTGCTAAATCTTTTATAATTTCTTTCAACAATAAAGCATTTATATTCAAATGATTATTTACTATCACTTTTTAAACTTCTAAAGTTTATAATTTAAATACTTTTATAAGTGAATAGCTAAAAGAACACTAAAATCTATCAAATATCCAAATTATTCTAAATCAGTTCCTTTCAAAAATTATCATATTTCCTTATTTTAATAAAGATTTGACCTTTTAATGACATCAAAGCCCATAACCTACAATTGTTTATCTAAAATATATCTTGCTTTATTGAATATGAATATTGTAAAAAAAGATATTAGGGAATTCTAATCTCATATTTTATATTTAATTGAGCTAAATCTTAATATCTTTATAAATGATTTAAATTTTAGTTAAGAAATAATATTTTATAATATTCTTTGATTGCTTCTTGAATATCTGTTTTTACTAATCATAAAAATCGTTTTAGATCAATTGTTTTGAATTTTGCAAATGCTTATTTAATTAATATTTATTTTTATATTACTCTTTCCTATAAATTTTTTTCATTTATTTTAATAATTATTAAACTCCGTATGGACACACATAAATATGTTAAAGCAGGTTTGTTTATTAAATGCATTTTAGGTGAAATTTTTGTAAAGCATCATAAATTTGGTGCAGAGAAAATCCGATTGATTTACATTTTAGATGGCATGCTCTACTGGACAAAACCTGATGATCTGAGTAAATTAAAGCCTAAAGGGAAGATAAATTTAGAAGTTTGAGTTAGTAAATTAATTTAAGGATATATTGTAAATAGAAAATGGGTTGAAAAAAGCAAAGAAATTAAAAGACTTTGATAGGTCGATAAATTGTTTTTCAATCATAACAAAAGAACGAACATTAGAACTTGAAGCATCAAACATTCAAATAAAGAATTTGTGGACAAATATCATAAATAATATTTTAAAAAAATAATAGACTCCTTAATAGTGAAAAAAATTTATTTTATTTATTACAATAATTTTAAAATCTTCAAGATTTTTAAATGTAAGAAACTAATTTAAGACAATCTTAATAACAAATACAAATTTCAAGATTTATCATTTTTTTAGCTCAATTATTAAAAATATTTTAAAATTGTGAATGAGAGAATAAATTTTAATTGAAAAAATATTTTATTACTATTTTTTTATAATTTTTCATACTTTTTTCTCACTTTATAATTTTAAAGTTTTATTTTAAATTGAATAAATTAGAATTAATAATATAAATTAGATGAGTATTTCTAATAAAATTTAGGAAAGGCATTCAAGAAGAGATATGGGTATTAATAAGCAAATTGATATTGTTCTCTAAAGTCCATTGCTTAAGAACTCAATAAAATTAAATCTTGAAAATATTCAAAGATCAAATTCAGAATAGTTTATAACTCCTTTAAATAATAAATAATCATTAAAATATGCTTAAAATTTATCACATTGTAGTAAAGATGGATTATAATTTGGATTAACAGAGAGAGAAATAAATTTATGCTCAAACGAATTATAAGTAATGTAATCTCATTGTAAAAATTTATTGGGAGCTACTCTATCAGTTAGAACATCATAATCAAATTAATTTTTTTCTCCTAAATAAATTGAATTAAGCAATTTAGAATATGAAAGTCCTAAAATAAGAAAAGATTTTAAATTCAAAGACAAAGAGAATTAAACAAGTTAAGAAATTTAATAGAAAGTTGAAGAAATGAAAGTTAATTATATAAAATCAAGTGTTACCCTTAATTAATAACTAAATGATAATACAAGGTTATTACAATAAATTGATGAATTGAAGAAATAATAATAAAATTTGTCTTAGAATTATGAATTTAAAAAAAAAGAAGAAAGTAACGGAAAGAATAAAAAAGTAGCTATAAATGTAAAAATAAATAATGCTAAAACTAAGTAATTGATAAACTTAAAATAATAGAATCTTATTGATTTGATAGCAAAATAATAACTTATAATATAAGATTTATAAAAAAAACTCTAATATGAAAAAACAGAAAAAGAATGCTTAAAATTATTTTGTTAGTCTCCAAAATCAGAAAATTAATTAAATCTCAAATAATAAGACGTTAGAAAAAGTTAAACTAAGTTTCATTTTAATAATTGAATTATTTTCGATTGATTTCAATTTAATTTATAGAATAGTATAATTGTTAAAATATGAACTTTACCATTTTAAATTACTATAAAGCTGAATAGTTAATTAGAGTGATTTTTTATTTAATTCTAAAACAAAAATGAAACATTCAATTAATAAAATATATTAATCATTTAATTTTACCAAGAACTACTTCTATTACACTAATTTGGAAATCATAATAATAGAGGCGTTCATAGAATAAATTAAGTGAGTACATAATTGTAGTAACGAAATAAAGACGATAATAAAAAAGAGAATACATATAAAGATAAAAAAAATAGTTGAGAAAATCAAAATTCAAGCCACTTTTAAAAGTTTCACAAAAGTCTCAAATATTTTGAGGTTATACATCAATGAGATCTTAATAATAATAGAGAAAATAAATAAATTCTAAATCATCATCATTGATTAATAATAATAAATAAATTTTTTTAAGTCTAGTTTCACTAAATGAATTTCCAAATATTCTTAAAGAGAAGTTAAATAATGAAAAAATTTAATTAATTCAAAATATTGAAGAGCAGTGATTAATTTCAAAAAAGTTATAAAACCATTAAAATAAATAGCATTTGCTTAAGCTTTAAATTTATTAGGCTAGATGCTCCATTAAACTTTAGATGCTTAATTAAAGATATCTAATACAAAAAATATAATAAAAAATTTACAGCAATTATAAAGGATATAATAAATAAATTATAAATATTAAGAAGATTATGTGAAGGAATTACTTGAGTAAGACAGACTTTTAAACTTTGGTTTTGATTATTTTATAAAAATAATAAAATTTATAGAGATTAATTTGACAAGATTACATTGGGCTACTAAAATATCTCATGTATTATTAATTAAATATCTGTTAAAAATAGGATTTGATATTGATGCTCAAAATCTGATAGGTAAATAAACTTTGTATTTTGTAATAGAATAGAAAGTTAAAATATTGTTATATCATAGATATAAATAAAATGAAATTAGTTACTAATATAAAACAAAGAAATTGTTTGGAGTACTCAAAAAATTATTTACTCAAAACTTTGCAAAGAATATCAATAGATTATGTTGCTTTTAGATAAAGCCAAATTGTACAGAATGATAGATTTAAAATAAAGAATATAAATAAAATAGAAAGCTTTAACTGGATTATTTGATGTTTGATTATAAATTTATAAATTAAAATATGTATAAATAATTTATTGATGATGAAGGACAAGAAAGATAAATTTAATATTTAATTGATTTAGGTATTGTGTAATATAAGAAAAGGATTTTCTGAGAGTAAAGCAAGAAAAGGAGTAGAATAATTTGGTTATACAATATCTTTAGAAGATTTAATTAACAGAATTTTAGACATGAGCGATGATGGTTCAAAAAAATCAAATGGAAACAAAATTAGTTTGATATAATTTTCAGAATCTAGCAGTGAAAAAAACTCGCCTTTTAACTAACCTTTATAATAATAATAATCTTAATAATAATGTTAGATAAAATAGATTTAATATCCTTAAAGATAAGTGGGCTAGCAATTTCAATAGCAATAAAAATAATAATAGTAATATTAAGAGTAGTAATAACTCTAATAGAATCAATAACAATTAATCCAACCTTAATAATAGCAATTTATTTACTAAAATATTTTATAGTATTAATAACCTTTTGATTTTGAAGAGATTGCCTAATGTTAGGTTTGTTTTACATAACCAATATAATGGATTCATTTTGAATGTAAACATAAATTCTGTTAGCAATGTGTAATAAAGTATATAAAAGCATCAAGGATAAGAAAATTAGATTAAGTAACTTGTTTATAAGAAGATTGTCATTCCAAATTAATTAAAGAAGAAAATCATTTAGTTAGCAATGAATTACTACCTTAAATTGATGTATTTTTAATGATAATTTAGATTGAACCATATAATGAACCAATATGTTTAAAATGTAAATTACCATAAGTGGCTCATAAATTTAAATTATTTTCAAATGCTTGTGACAATGCAGAATTCACAATTTTAAGTGCCTGTATTAAACATGATGAAGAAGGCAATTAATTATAAAGATGTCCTTAATGTGGCATATGGGTTTAAAAATCTAAGGGATGTAATTCAGTTTTATGTTCGTACATTTTTTATTTATAAAAAGATTAGCTATTGTAAATTTAATTGGTGCTGGTTATGTAGACGATAATGTGATAGTAATCATTATGTGTTTTTTAATCCTGTTGGATGTCCAGGTTTAGGAGCAGAATAATATACTATTGAATAATATCCTTGGCATAAAATCTGTTGGATTAGAGTAAAAGTAATTTTAATCTATTTCCTTTTAATTTTACTATGCATCATTGTATATCCTTTTTTTGTGGCTTAAGTAATTATTCGAAGAATGAACATAATTAATACTCAAGGAAATATATGTTATCGTTTATTGATCTATACTGGAATTGCAATTTTATTTTTAGTCCTATCTTGTTTAGCTATCTTTCCTGGGATTATTATTTTCATTTTTTCATAAAAAGCAAGGCAAATCGTTTTCGTTGGTTGATTTAAATATATTTTTATAATTTATTATTTAATTAACGAATAAAAATGGGGACATCACAATCTTATGGATATGATTTATCATAATATTAATATTTAGATGAAGTCAATGATCCAATTTATGGAGAAGGTAAATTATTTTAAAAACATGAAACTGGAGAAATAATATGTCTTATTGAAAAATTGATCTAAGAGGAATACAAAAATTCAGAATTATCTATCAAGTTAGATCATCCAAATCTATTAAAAATATATCATTAACAATTTAGTGTTATGAAAGAATTATGTTCATCTATCTCAAAATTATCTATCATTTATGAATTTACTAATCTTAATTTAATTGCACATATTAATCATAGAAAAACTAAAAATATTCCATTTACTTAATAACAATTATGGGGTTTGTTGCTTTAATTGTTAAATGTATTAAATTATCTTAAATAATTTGAAATTTATCCTTTAGATTTGAAACATATCATGATTTCAAGTTAAGGATAAATTAAATTTCATTCCATTTAATCTAAATAAATGAGTAACTACAAAAAATTACTTTACAATTTAACAGAACATATACATCTTTCACCTGAAGAATTAATCTGTTTAAAAAGAAGTGACATGATTCTTAATATAGATTTTGAAAAATGTGAATTGTTTTAATTAGCCTTAACTTGTTTATATGCTGCTTCATTAAATGATACAAATGATATATTTGATTTAAGTACATTTTCGTATTCATAAAATGCAATTTAATAAAGGTTACAATAACTTTAATATTCAGGAGAATTTAAGAAAACTCTAATCTAAATGTTAAGTCATGATCCTTAAAACAGAGGAACTTTTTATTCTTGGTTAAATTAATTATCATAAATAGATGTTGAAAATAATTTGTTATTATTATAATTGAAGGACAAGTAGGAAAATAATCTAAAAAAGAATAATTAAAAAGAAATTAATTAATTTTAAGATTATCAAATAGAATATCTGCCTCAAAATTACCTCTAAAGACCCCCTGATATTATTTAATCTCAATACTAAATTTCTTTATAATCAAATTAGCCAACTTCAAATGCTCCTCAGGTATTATAACCATAAAAACCTTTTCATATAGCAACTCCTGATTAATCTAGAATATCTAAAGAAATAAAAAAATCATAATTATTTCCATAACATTAACATGATAATAACAAAAGTGAATAATAATTTTTTCAAGAATCCGGACCAACAGTTTAAACTTAAAATGATGAAAATTTTGATAACGAATAATTCCATTAATAACCTTAAATATAATTAAATCCATATCGTAATCCAAATTATTTATCTTATTTACCTCCCAACAATAATTTACCATCCAATAATATTTTACCTTCCAATAATAATTTACCATCCAATAATAATTTTATGAAAACTTCACAATACCCTCCTCAAATGCCAACATTTTCTTCTCACATATAACCTCAATAGCCATAGAAAGTTTTTAATGTATTGCAATAAAATAATTATTATTCTTAATAATAATAATAATTAGTTGAAAAATAATCTTAAATATCATAATAAAGTAAAAAAAGCTAAATAGAAGAGAGGATTGAGTAGGCAGTAAAATCATCAAAAAGGGCATTGTAATAATTTGATTTTGCTCTTTAATCAGCAACAAAAGGAAGGGTTTCTGATAATATGTGATATAAGTTAGATATTTATTAATTTATTTAATTTATCATTTATATAGTTATTAATAAAAATTGATGTGGTTAGAAAATAATGAAGCAGAAATTCCTAAAGATTATGCTAAACTTAAATAATAAAATATTAAGTTAAGAAATGAATTAAAGTAAATTAATGAATTCTTATCGAAATAAATCGAAAAGAAATAGGATCAACAAAATAATCATAAAAATTAATTGAACATTAATACAGAATTGAAAGAAGGTTTTTTATATTATTATTTTAGATACACTAAAAGCTGAATTACAAAATGCTTAAAAATAAATAAAGATTCAATTGAAATAAATTTAAATTCTATAAACTAGACAAGAAATGCTTTCTTTAGATAAGTAAGTATGATTCTAATTTTAAGTATTGTTTAATTACAATCTTAAGTAAAGAAATAGATGGACAAAATAAAAGAACTTGAAGTAGAAAAAAAAACATTAATTAATATAAATGGAAAATAGGAGAAAAAGTTAGTTGAACTTTCTCAAGATGATTTTATTAAAAATAGAATAGATTAATTAGAATAAGAAAATATGTTATTAAAATAAAAAGTAATCGCACAAAATAAAAATGAAAGATCTTAATCTGTATAAATAGCTAAGATTGATCCAATCATAAAACCAATTTAATTAACTTAAAAACAATAAGAGATAATGAAAGAAAAGGATATTTTTATAGTATAATATGAATGTTATATTCATAGTCTTAATTGCAAGCAAAATTAGAAGAGTAAGAAAAACATATAAGAATCTTGAATAATTTGAAAACTTAGTATGATAAATAAATTAATGGAATGACTAATAGGATAAAGTAACTTGAAACCCAATTAATGATATTAAATTAGTAATTGTAAGATAAAGTAATTTAATTTTTGTATATATACTATAGAATTCTGAATTGAATAGAAAGAATCATTTGTTACCAAATTTAAGTGCCAGAAATCAAAGATATCAATAATAAAAAAAAATCAATCTAAGTGTTGATAATAGTTTAACTGAGTAATCTAAAAATCATCTTTAATTAAATCATTAATCATTTACATAAGCAACAACTTAATTTAAGTCTAAAAGTTAACAGTCTTAAAAGCTTTCTTCATAAACTTAAAGAAGTTAAAATTAATAAACTACAGAAACAGAATATGATATAAAATTCATTAGAATTGAATAAGTAGGTATAAAAAATTAAAAAGAATTTTATTTTGATATACCATAATAGTATTTAAGATTATATAATTTGAAATTATGGTGGAAAAATGATTATTTATCTGGTTTATAAGCATATTATCATGGTATTAATTAGATAGTGAATGGTTAAATATTCAGTTTAGGTAATTTAGAAGATTCAAATCCATAAATGTTTGAATTAAATTAATAAGATTGGATAAATTAGATTGGATTTGGATTTGAAAATGAGAAAATAAGTATAATTATATTGTTATTTAAATAGAATTCGTAAAGATAATTTCAAATAAAAGTTGTATTTTGAAATTTGGTAGTGAGATGGAGAGAATTGAAGAAATAAGATTTGGATAGAAGGAAATGATTGGTACTATCGAAGTATCTTTTAATGAATGTATATTATTATGATTAGTATTTAAGTGTTGATAGCAAGTATTGGTTTTAAAATATTTGATGAGAGATAATTTGATAAGAAATGATTACTATATTACTTGATTTAGTATCTGAAATGAATTAGAGTTTGTATTATTAATAACTAAAGAGCAAAAATGATTGTAGAAGAGAGAATGTTTTTTGTAAGATGATTGATTTCTATTGATGATCTTTAATGATAATTTCATTTAAGATTTTCTCCAATAAATCCATTGGCTGTATTGAAGAGATTGATTGGATTTTTACCATCTGTAACCAAGAATCCTTTAAGTCCTAGACCACCTAATAATTTAGCTTTAGTTTCTGGTCCGGCTTTAGCCATAGCTATGATAGTTTCTTTTCCAATAGCTGAAATTTACTATTTGAATTTCTTGATTTCAATATCAGATAATTCTTTAGCTTTTTTGATTTCCAATTCAATAAGTTACTAGAAATAGAATAATAAAATACTCTTTGATAATTTAATTCAGCTTCTTGTTCTTATTTCAATTACTCTAATAAAGCTTCTTATTCAATTTATTAGGCTTTAGATCTTAGATCAGCTTGATTTACTTCAGCTTCAGCTTTGATCTTTTTTTCCATAGTTTCTGCAATTGCTCTAGCAACAGCCTCTCCTTCAGCTCTAACTTTGGCACTTTGAGCTTATTGTTTCAATAATTCAATTTTAGTTTCTTCTGCTTTAGCTTAATCAAGTAATTTTTATCTAGCTAATTATCCTTTAGCTTCTTATTCTAATTTTGAAGCTTGATGTTTAGATTACATTTCTTGACTTCTTGAACTGATTTCAATAGCCAAATTAATACTCTAACTTAATTATCTTCTAGTAGCTTCATCTGTAATTTCTTATCCTTAAATATCAACAGAAGTAATAACTAAATTATTAGCTTCAAAAGTATGTGACGTTCTGATTTCAGTTCCTTCTTTTCCAAAAACAGCTTCTCTAATTTTAATACTAGAGTTGTTATGAAAATCTTCAAAAGTAATTGAAGATACAGCACCTCTGACTCTAGAAGCAATTGATTTACATGCATCACCAACAAAATCTTTAACGGCAAATAATTTTTAAGCATCATTAGGATCTTCTTTATTAACTTTAAAATGCCAATTATAACTTAGTGTTAATTTTAATTTAGCATGATCACTAGTTTCAACAATCAATTAATCAGTCATAAAATCTGGACCTAAACTTAAAGTCAATGTTTAAATGAGATTTTCTTATTTAGGTTTACCTCCTGATAATTTAAGTACAGTAAATTATTCATCAGGTCCAAGCATAACAAGATCAGGTCCAAATACTACTCTAGATTTTTTAAGTTTGTAATCATATAATTAAATAGCTGAATTATGTGGGGCTTTAAAAGATATAATTCTTGTTTTATCTCTTGGTTTAAGTTATTCTGAATCAAAATTATAAGTCATTTTTCCAGATGCTTATACTGATGGTGGAACATATGGTTATCCAGTTGAAGCTCTTTAAACAAGTAATTCAACATTTTCTGGCAAATGTTTTTCCCATAATGATTCATGAGCCTCCAAAAGATAAGTTTTTCCTTTAATTCTATATATTAATAAAATTATTATACTCTTTAACTTCTCCAGTTCTGTTATCTCTAACATAAATACCTTCATTAGCATCTAATGGAATTGCTCTTCTCTATTCTACTACTTACACTTTAACTCCTGGAATATATTCTCTTGGACCTCTTACAATCCATCTTTAACCAGCTTTTCTAAATTATCCTTCTTCATCCGAATGATCATATATTGCCTAAACCAACAATGCCTCTTCTTCACCCAGAATTGCAATCTAAATTCACTTTAAAATATATACATCTTCAATTTTTCCACCTAATAATTCTTCTCCTGGTTATAAAAAGAATGTTTTCTCTCCCTTTAATAATACTTAAATTCCCCAATCATTTTATTCTAGCTTCTCATTATATGGATTAACTATTATGCAATAATTCCTTGATCCAAGTGTAATTGCTTATTCTACTCCTACCAATTATTCATAAACATCAGTTATATGAACTTATGCTTATTTATTTGTAATTATCCATTCATTTCCTGGTTTTCTCTTTTATCCATAAACATCCACGAATTCATTCAAAGCTCTCAAATGAACACAAACTTTATCTGTTAGTACAACTCCTCTTACAACTTCAGAAACTCTCTCAAAAGTATCTGGTAAATATGATCCTGTTGCTCTTATCAACCATTCTTATCTAATTTATAATTAATAAACATATTTTACCCTGCTCTTCTTTCTTTTCCACTTTTATCAATAAATGTTTATGTTGCCTTTAATTTTAAAGCCTAATTTGGTTTAACAACCTCAGCTTTAACTACTTCTACTATTTATTCTTCTGCTCTTGGATAATAAGTGAATGGACCGTTGCGTTACCTTAGTTTTATTTAAATGAAAAATTTACCATTCTTCACCAGCTTATTTTTTCTTTCCTTCTACTTCAAAATCTCTTAAAGCAACTAATCTCAATGCTGTATTCTATTGCACTATTAGTAACTATTCTACTCTGCCTTCCAACTTTTCACCTAATTGTTGTTATGTTAAATCTTTTACCTGGAAATAAAGGAAATGGATCTGAGAAATCATCTGCTGTTCTGTACTCAATTTCTCCCCTCTAGATCTCTACTTCTCCATAAGCATTTTTAACAGGTTAATTTTTCTTATCTCTCAATATTGGATTTCCGATCTTGCAATATGTCTTTGGAGCCAAGCTTATCATTTTACTTGGACCCTCAATTATGCTTTCATGCTCTTTTCTTATGAATGTATGTGGTCCTACTTCTAATCTAAAATTACTATACAAATATATCATTACCTTGCTGTGTTTGTATTCTAATCTAAAACATGAATGTATGAATTTGGAGGAATTCTTGTTACGTACTCTGCCATTATTATTAAATGATATTTTAAATATTAAAATAACTATCTTTCTTCTTTAGGCTTTGAGATAATAAAATTAAAGATATACAATACTTATCGTTTTTGGATACTTTTTATAAAATATGATGCAATATGTTAAATTAGTTCATTTATTCTCAATAATATTAATAATCATATTAAATTAGTTATATTTTACATTCCAAAATATTTAAAGGAATATCTATTTTGATTTCACATCTTGTACATTAATTCTTCAATATTCTATGTCATATATTGATCATTTAACTAAATTATCAAAATCAAATCTTTTACTCTATCTCTCTAATTAAATTTAAAACTCGCTCTTAATTTGGAAAAATTAATAATGATCCATTAAATTAATAAGATCTAATATTTTTAAAGAAACAAATTAATTTCTAATGCAAAAGCACATCATTTACAATAAAAACTCTCCTCTAAAATCAAAGGCACCTAAATATTTAGAAAGAGATTCTAACCGAAAGAGTAGTTCTATAATAAAAATTATCTAAGCAAATCCAGAATTTCATCTAACTAAATACCAAATAAGTGACTAACAACATTATATAATAAAATCTTGAGATCAAGTAAAGTAATCGATGAATAAAAAAGCCGCTAATAGTGTGTTTAAATATAGAAATTGATCAATCATATTTTGAATATTTTAGATACTATAACGCTAGTGGAAGATTATAAGACGATTCAATGTTGTTCATCAAATTAAATAAAAATTAATCCTCTCCAGTTATCAGGTTATTATTTAAACTTTAAAAATACAAAAAATCCCAATTAGGAAAATAAAATTACCAAAAAGTACAAAAAAATTAAAAAAAAAAAAGAATCCTTTGCATTTCAACAATTCTTAAACATAAAAAGTTAATTAGTTGAAAAATTGAAACATCTTATTAAATAATAATAAATTCAATTAAACATCTCTCTTAATTTATTTACTGATATAACAATCTTATCTCGGATAGTTTTTAATGTCAATGGAAATCCAATTTTAATTCCAAAATCTGCATCAATGTATCCTTTTATCAGAATGTTGGAATTATTTTTCTAGCTTATTTTTAAACCTCCTAAATTTAAACAACCTTCATGAATTTATTTTAAATCTTCTTCACTAATAATAAATTAATCAATTACAATTTATCTTGAAACCTTAAAGATTAAAATACAACATAATAGTTTTCATCTATTTATCGAATAAATTTAAAATAATTAAATTCCTGTTGTTTAACCATTCCTTGCCGATTTAATATTATTTAGCCAATCGATACTTCTTCATTTAATTATTATAAATTATAAGTATTGATTAAATCTAAATTAATCAGCTATTTTCCATCCAACCAATTTAAGAAAGTTGTAATATTAGTATTGAGTTCAAAAGAGAATCTAATATAAAACAATTTATACTTGATTATCAAGAACATTTTTTTATTTCTCATTTTATGTGAAACATATGATTCAATTTGATTATTATTTAATAGATATTCACTAATACCATCATTAAAATCTTTATTAATAATTTCAATTATTTTTTTTAAAGCATCTTCTGCATATACTTTTAATTCTGCCACATTAATATTATTTCTGCTTGGTAATAATATTAACTCACCTTCTTTAAAAGAGAGGGGATAAGGAGAATCTAAATTTGGATTTGTTTTGCATTCTTCATTAAGTATAAATTATTCTTATTCATTTTAATTCTAATTTGAATTCATTTATGGAGATCGAAGAGCTGATAATTATTTATTCGGAATAGTTTCAAGAGTGATATCATTTTCATTTTTTTCATCTGCTTATGACATTGTTCTTTCGTTTGATTAAGTTGGGTCTTAAGTGAAACCTAAATTTAAAAATTGAAATTCACTTATTTACTAAGCTTTTATTTTTCCTTAGGTTTCTTCTGCAGGATTATTAGAAAAATTGACCAATTAATGAGTTTATATCTAAACTTTAGGTTTTTGTTTGAAGGATTAAAAACACTCTTTACATTTAATTAGTGTATTTCCCATTTATGATTTCCTTATAAATTTTTAAGTTTATATTTCTATATTATTATTAAGAAAACTACTTAAGAATATAATTTCATTTTTGATATTTAATATATGATATTTAAATCATAAATTAATGAATGAAGTGAAAATCAATTAATAAAGTAATTTTCAAACGAACGTTTTAGTCTATCATCTTATTGGAAATAAAATATTAATTCCATATCGAAATTTATATAACTAAATATTGAAATAAAATAAGTCTCACAGTTCAAAAGATTATTATTTTCTTGCTTTAAATGGATTTAACCAGATTCCATTATCACTCAAAGTAGTACTTTAATCTCCTACAAGTTTAATTACTGTCATTGGGCCTATTTAAGGAGACTCTCCAATAGTTTATTAAAATATAATGGCACTCTTTTTTGGCTTTTCACTAATATATTATAATACATCTACTAATAATCTTATTCCTTCTTTGCAGGGTCAGTTTTGAATTAAATACCTAAGGATCTTAAATATGCAACAACCCTTCTCTCTACTTCTAATTATTCTCTATTTTCACAATGAAATTAAGGCAAGAAGCTATCTAATGATTCTACTGACTCAGTTACTCTTGAGAAATCTTCTAATATTTCAATCTTTGACCTTGTTAAATCCTCTACAAGTTTTTTACCATATTGCATTGTATAAATATGATTATTATAAATAATTTTTCAAACTTTATCAAATCACCTTAAGTAATGCAAAATACTTTGGTATTAAATTCTTTTACTATATATTAAATATTTTTTATTTGTTTCTTTTCACAACAAATATTTATTTTATTATTTATTCAATAATATATATTTCCTATATGGACTCTTATCTCACCCTTGAATTAAGAAAAAGATTCAACTCTTCTATGACTTATCAAGAATATCTAGATGCTTATGATAAACCACCTCCAAAACCTAAATTGAAGTATTAACCTCCATCAAATTAATTTAAGACCTAAAGAATCACCAGTCATTGCTGAATTACTTCTTTTAGAACCACCAAAAGGTCCAAAACCTCAATCATAAAAATTAGAGATCTATGAACCAGATGAAATAATTCTAGAGGAATCAGAAACAGATGAAAGATCAAGAGCTTAATCCCCAGTACAGAAACCTCCTTGTTATAAAGCCTTAAAAGCTAATGTAAAATAGATCATTTTTAAATTCATAGAATGTTAGAGTAAGAAGCCAAAGTGAAAATTTTGGGTTTTCAGTGTATCGTTTCTTGTCAAACAAGCAACAAATACCTAAATAATGATAAAACTAAATTCATAAAAACTAACATTTAAGCTATTTATAATTATATTAAACTTTTCTTATTTATTTCAATTTCCCAAATACTTCGTTCTCATTTCTCATTTAACTTTCTCAACCTCATTTTACATAAATTTAATCTTAACTGGTGAAAATTTTATTCAAATAACATTTAAAATTTGCTTTACACAAGTTTAACCACTTAAGTCTTACATAGTTACTTTAACTATACATAACTTTAAGATTTTAAAACATTTAAATTTTTACTAAATCAAAAAAAAAATCTAAATGGACTAAAAAATATTATTTCAAATTGTTGCACTTAGCCTTAATTGATTAAAACAAAACCTAAATTTAAACTTTTAGAAATTTTTATTAGGAACTTATGACATTAACAAACTCTATTTTTAATAATTTATAAATTATAATCTTTAGAAAATTATTATTAAAAATATGTTAAAACCATAATAAAATAGATTTAAATATCAATTCATAAATTATAATAGAGATTTATACTCAACTATTCTTCAACATTTGAGTAATTTTAAAAAATACAAGAAATTGAAAATTATAAGTATTAAACAATTTAGTGTTTTAAATTTCTAATAAAATTATCACATTAATAAATTTAATACTGATGAGAATTTAATTTATTTTTGCATTTACAATTAAGAAAGGTTATCATAATTTAATGTTATATTTTGATTTTATCAGAAATAGTTACCAAGGAACTTTTATTCTTTTTAGAAGACCATTTGAGCAAAGAAAACAGCGTCTGTCAAACATTATTCACTTTGAGAGAACACATGCTTTTACCCTTCGAAGTTTGGATGATCAAAGATGGTTAGAGTAGTTCCAGATGGTATTTATAGAGATCTAATCTCATATTAGAAATCTCTAAATAGTTTAATGATAAAATATACTTCATTTAACTTAAATCTCCACAAGTTTTCATAGATTCCCCTTTGAAATAACATTAATTATAAATGATGACACAATCATTTCCTTCACTATTAATTAATAATGTATATAAATTACTTTACTAATGTGTCATTATTATCAAAATTAATATCATTTGGATCAGCACTATTGTTAGATTCTGATTCTGAAGAATTATTTTCATTTACAACTTCTTAAGTTTGATTTTCAACCACAATTTATTATTCATCAGCAGCATTTTATTATTCATCACCAGTATTTTATTATTCATCAACAATAATTTGTTATTCTTCAGCAGCAGCAATGATTGGTTATTCATCAACAATTTATGCTTCAGCATTATTTGATTCTTCATCAGGAATCAACTTAATTTCTTGATTGACAAGATTTTAGTTGGTTGGAGAATCATAGAATTAGATTGTCTCTTCTTAAGTTTACATTTCTTGTTAATTATTTTCTTATTCAGATGCTTAAGCATCAGATTATTAAATATCTTCTTATTCAGCTTATGGTACTTCATCAATATAATTATCGGTTGATTCAGCTTCTTAATTATCTTATTCAAATTCTGTTTCATTTTCAACTTCATCATTTTAATCATTCTCAAATGCAACTTAAACATCTTAAGCTTCAGAATCCTGTTGTTATACTTCATCATTTTAAATTTCAGATTGTTAAACAGAATCTGTTTCAGGATCAGCATAAACATCTTCATTTGATTCCTATTAAATTTCAGCATCATTTTCTTATACATTTTGATTGTCAACCTCTTATTGTGTATCATATACATCGAATTCTTATTAATCTTAAACTTAAGGTTCATCAGCATATTAATTATTTTCTTAAGAATCTTAAACTTGTGTATAATCTTCAGTTTCAGGCTAAACTTCAACATCATCCTAAGCTTCAACCTAATTATTATTAATTTCTTGATCATTTTGTGTATCTTCAGTGTACTCAATATTTTATTCTGATTAATCATAATTATGGTCTTCAACTTCCTACAATTATTCTGAAAATTCTTAATCTTATTGTTGGTTATCATTATAGTTATCATCCATATCTACCTCTTGAACAACCTAAATTATTTTACTTAAGTACTTCAATGTTATTTTATGGTGTCTCATCATCTGGATTTAACATTTATTATGATTCATCATTAGTATTAATATCAGTATTTAACTGAACATCATCTAAGTCCTACAATTAAGTAACTGAATTATTATCATCTTAGGAAACTAAGGTTGTAGTCTCAACTTCAACATCCTGATTGCTTAATTCTTTTGTATTTTCAATTACATTAGCAGCATCATCTCTAACTATATATATCATAATACTAGTTAGGTTATAAGAATGATAAGACAACTGTCATTTACTATGTTGCTACCAATGCTAACAACAAAATGTAAATTTTCATAATTTTATATATTAAGTTTTTATAAAACGGATCATTAAATTTTTAAGTTCTTTATATATATAAATATTATGATCTAAAGATATTTAAAAACCTTAATTATTATTGAGAAGATGTAAGAAACTATCAGCTAAACATTATACCAACCTATCATGAAATTAATAATTTATTTAACTAACTATGATACATAAATAATATTTGTATCTAATTTAAGTGAATCTTCATAGGTTTCTAAATTCATCTAACACACCTTATTGCTCCAACAATCTTATTTCTTTTTCTTCATACCATTTAATTCTTACTCCCTCTTCCCAATATCCTATCTTTTCCACATTTTGACTTGTTATATATATACCAACTCCATGCTATTTGTTTTATTTCCAACATCCAGCATATTTACGACCATCTTCCCATTTAAAAACACCTTTTCCATGTTTTTTATCATTGTCATATTCCTAAATAATTTTAATATCTTGATTACTTACTCCTTTATAGGTTTTGCCATCAATTAATTTTAATAGTCCCATTCCATTCATTTTGTTATTTGTCCATTACCCAACATAGACTCTTCCATCTAACCATTAGTATGTACCTTATCCTTAAATTTCATTTTAATAAAATTCTCCTTATCAATTTAAAATCACTGAATTACCTTAATAATTTGATCCATCAGCAAATATAAGTTTACCTATACCATGTTTTTTACCACATTAATAATCTCCTTCATATTTAGCTCCATCTGGCCATTCTTCTATTCCTCTTCCATGTTATCTATCATTTAGCCACTAAGATTAAATAATATTAAATACTTCTCCAATATACTTGGCCCCATTATCATGAGTATAAGATCCCAAACCATTTGCTTAATCATCTAACCAATCTCCATCATATATATCTCCATCTGCATGAATCAGTCTTCCCTTTTAATTAATTAAATTTAACAACTTTTCCACAAGATTTATCATTTTTCCATTCTCCTTCATAAACAGAACCATCTGGCCATTATTATTTTCCATATCCTTCTCTCTTTCCATCTAACCACTCTCCTTCATAAGTTGCACCATTTTATAGGAGAATCATCTAACCAATTATAATTAAGTAACTTTACAGGAAGTTTTAGTTTTTCTTGCTTCCCAATAGTTTTTTTAATCAAAGGGTGTATATTTTAATTTTCACTTTGACTATTCAAATTTTTTTCAATCTCTTTAATTGATACTTTGCTATGTTAAGATTATATTTGTATTTCATTTTAATTCGCCTCTTCAACTTATCCTGTATTTGTATTTTTATTAGTTAAAGAATGTTTTGATTTTTTCACTGAGATTTCAATAGAACGATTAGAATTCTTTACCGTTTATATTTCCTCTTTTGCACAGCAAGTATTTACACTGCAAGATTAACCCATTCTTTAAACTTTTAAATTTCTAAATTAAAATCATTAACAAAAATTTGAGATCTTAGAATTCATTTACTTTATTATTATATTGTATTTTCTAATGAATATAAAATTATATTTTATAATTAAATTATTGTATTTCGATCAGGAATAAATTTAGCTTACTATAGCTCCTGTGAAACCCGCAATCCCTGAAAAAACTCCTATTAATAAGGTAATTAAAATATCTGAATCCGACCATTTTTTCCCTTCTTTTAATTCTAAAGTAATATATAATGTACATGGTAGCACAATAACCATAATCATACCAAAAATACCTCCCAACAAACCAAAAATGGCCCTTTATTTTCAAATATATTTATTACTTTACATTTGGATATATCATTGCAATAACCCCAGTTGTATATTATAAAATTACTGTACTAATTACATAAGCTTTCCAGCTCTTTTCCTTACCAATCAACTACAAAACAGTCAATCGAGAAGGATTTAAGTTGATTGGCACTGCAAAAAACATAATAAATGCAAATAAAGCTTTGGCTATGGTAAATGCAAGAGTGTCATAATTATCAATAATGATTTTTTCAGTTGTTTCAAAAAAGCTCAAATATCCAAAAATCATCAATGTTAAATAAATTATAGCCTCAGAAAAGATTGCTCTATTAAATATTTTTGACATTCTCTTAAAAGTTGATCTTTTTAATTCAGATCTAATTGGGAATATTAACTAATGGCAAATGAAACCAAAAAATGTAGCAGCAAATGTGCTCGTTATTTAAATATTGAAATCAAAATAAACTATCTTATCACTATCGAATTTTTCAGGAGCATTAATAAAGAAAAATATAATTATAGTAACCAAAATATATGCTATAATTATTATCTATAAATGAGTAAAGTATCTTAATGAATATAAATCTCTCATCATACTTACTGGAAAATTTATGATCATGAAAATTGATCCTCCAATATATCTAACCTCATCTTTATATGATTCATCAACTTTAAATTGCAATAATACTTACCAAACAAATTAAGTAAATAAAATTTAATAACAAACAATAGCTCCAAACGTATAACAAATAACATCGACCGAATAAAATTTTTACATACTTGGACCTAAAGCAAATTTTACTAATTCTGCATATGAGTGTTAATCATATTTGAATGCGCATTTCATTAGTATATACATTGAAAATCTAGATAAAAGTGCACAAATAATCATCAAAATAATGCAATTAATTAATCCAGATTAAACAGGATTTGCTATAAATATATTTTTTTAATTTATTTTACATGGAAAGGATAACATCCCTGAACCCATTGCTGCACACATAAGTGCAATAACAGACTATCTTAGAGATCCTTTTTTCATTGGTCCAAATGTCCTTACAAACCAAGAATAATGCAAAGTACTCTTTTCTAATTATCCTTCATCACTCAAATTATCTGCAGATTAGTTAACGCCATCATCCTGTAATTTGGAGGATAAATTATCTTCATCTTCAGATTGCTATATTTTCATTTTTTTTTTAATTATGATTCTATATAGAGAAAAATATATATTAAAAATGATTAGTTATTTCATTTCCTAATTTTATCGTTTTCATTAAACATTTTATATGATATAAACTAAACTTAAGAACTCTATAAGTAGAATCTTGCAAAAAAACTAAAACAAATTTACTCTAATTTCATTCCAAATAATTCATTATTAATAATAGATTTCTTTTTTTAAATTAATTATTTTTTTTGATTATACTTAATTTTTTCATAAATATGAAAAAAGAAAATTAAAAACTCAATGATCACTAAACATTTCTAATATAAGTTTAATCTTTAATCACAAAAGAATTATTTCATAGTTTAAATTTTCAAAAAATAATAAAATTTAAAGAAATAAAAATAAAAAAAGTACGTTATTGATAATTCTCATTTATGTTCTCCACTTTTAACATTGATCATTACTTTTGAATGCAATCTTTATGAAGATTTTCTTCTTAACTAGCTTGTTAGTGTTGCATCCATATTCTCCTCAGCTATTTCTGTTTCTTTAAAAAGATGTACTTTTCTCCAACATTCTTCAGGAATCAATTTAAATACTATTCCTGCAAGAATTCCAAAAACACCAAATCCTAAACATATTGAATGTTCTATTATTGTTAATTATCTGACTTTAACATAACTAGCAGCAAATTATAGCAACGCAAACTGTATGGAAACTGTAAGCAATTAAATCAGCCAAAACATACCATTATTGAATAAATTATTAAATGGATTAAGAGATTGATAATCAAGTTACCTACAAGTAATAGAATTGAAAACCTACATAAGTACAAAGGTTTAAAAAAATACACTGAGTTTTGTCAACTAAAAATATTGATATAAGTGATACCTCATCAGAGGGATAAAGAAATAAAATACAATTAAGAACAGCCAATTAATAGAGACTTTGACAACAAATAGTTCTATACATATAAGCTGAAACTATCGGCTAAGTTCTTTTGTAAGGTTGTCTGTCCAAAAGTGAAGAACTAGGAGGTTCAGTTGCTAAAGCTAAAGATGCAAAAGTATCCATAATGAGATTAACCCAAAGCATTTAAATAGTATTAAGAGGAGATTAATTTAGAATGACAGCTCCTAGAAAAGCCATAAAAAGAGCAACAATATTAACAGTCAATTAGAATTGAATGAACTTTCTAATGCAATCATAAATATTTCTTCCCCATCTAATGGCTTAAATAAATAAGATAAAAATTTACCTGTAATAATACTACTAAAATTATCATCTACTAATATAATATCAGCAGCATCTTTAGCAACATCAGAACCTGATTCTCCCATAGCAAATCCTACATCTGCTTTTTTTAATGCTGGAGCATCATTTGTACCATCTCCAGTAACTGCTACTATATTTCCTTAATCTATTAAACCTGTAACTAACATAAACTTATCTTCTGGAGTAGCTCTGGCAAGTACTTTTAATTATTTACTAATTTTATTAAATATTTCTTAATTTGCAATTCTTAAGATTTTTTTTCCATCTACTTAAGAAGTCACTAAGCCTCCAATACTTTCTCTAAAATCTTTTCCTTCCATACATTCATATTCTCGAGGTTATGCAGATGATAAGATTCCACTTTCTTTTGCAATTGCTATTGCAGTTAAAGTATTATCTCCTGTGAGCATTCTAACTTAGATTCCAGCTTTATTGCATTATTTAATAGAATTAGGAACATCTTTTCTTATTGGATCTTTAATTCCTGCAATTGCAATAAGAACTAAATCTTTTTCTAATTCTTCTTCACTTAAATTAAATGCTAATTCTTTTAATTGATGTTATGTTCCTTTATATGTTGTATCCTTATAAGCAATTGCAATTGTTCTTAATGATCTTGATGCAAACCTATCTATAACATCTTATTTTATTTATTTCTTTTTATTTTCATCTAAAAAATGTTCTTATCCTTTTGCAATTAATTTAGAAGATTAATTTAAAATGATTTCTGAAGCCCCTTTAACAAATACTCTTAAGAATCCTTTGTAATAAATAACAGTTGCCATCTTCTTTCTTCTACTACTGAAAGGTAAGATTTTGACAATCTTATCTGTTGGTCTGAATAAAGAAATACTATATCCAAACTTATCTGTTAATTCAAGTAAAGCACATTCAGTTTTATTACCAGTTTAGATAAAATTTCCTGAGTCAGTTTTTGTTGGGTAAGCGGTTGAATTAAATGTAACACTTTCAGCTAATAATTCTTACATTTATTTTGGTATTTAAGCATCTTTTTTATCATAAATAGCTTAATTCATAAAAATATCATTTTCTATCCATAATCCAGTTACAGTCATTTTATTTTATGTTAATGTTCCTGTTTTATCACTGCAAATTGTATTAGCTCCTCCCATAGTTTCACAGGATGCTAAATTTTTAACTAAATTATTTTCATCTTTCATTTTATTAACTGAATATGCTAATGCTATTGTAACAGCTAAAGGTAATCCTTCTGGAACTGCTACCACTATAATTGTTACTCCTATCATAAATGATTTTATAATGAATTATACTGTTTCTATACTCAATATTTTATTATAACCCATAAATCCTAATATTAATTAATGTATTGTCAAAGCAAAAAATGTTATTATTGCAACAAATGTACCAAATTTACCAATATCTTCAGCTAAACCTTCTAATTTCTATTATAAAGGAGTAGGTGGAGTTTCTTAGTCTAATAATAACTTAGTTTTTCCAGCACAAGTATTTTATCCAACTGTTAATACTAACATAGTTCCTGTTCCATCCATTACTTTTGTTCCTGATATCATAAATGGAGAGGCATTCTTTAATTATTTCTTTAATTAATTGCTATTCTTCATTTATTAAGATTAACTTGATTTCATCATTAAATATTCAGTTATCTCATTATATGGCAATTTTCTTATTGAATCTGATTCTCCTGTTACTGTTGATTCATCCATTTTTACTTCTGATCCTGATACCATTAATCCATCTACTTAAAGCAAATCTCCTATATTAAAAAATAGAATATCTCCCACAACTAATTCTTTACTGTCTATTTATTAAACTTTTGAATTTCTAATCACTTATTACTTTGATTCATCCAATTTGTGATATAATTTTTGAAATTATCTTTCTTTTACATAATTGTTCCCTACAGTAATTGAAACTATTAAAAATACTGCAAAAAATATTGTAGCTCCTTCACTCCATCCAGTCTCAATCCCTTCTTTATATATTCCTATTCCAGTTGAAACCAATGAAGCTACTAATAATATTTATAACATCGTGTCTCCAAAACACTCTATAATCATAGAAAATATTGACGATAATTCTTTTTCAACAGGTAAATTTGCTCCATATAATTATCGCAGTCTCAAAACATTTTCGTTTGAATCTACTCCATTCTGTTATAAATCAAAATTTATACATTAACATTTGATTAAAATGCTGTCAATAAACCTTAATCTCCTCCTATCTCAATTAGTTTTTTCAAGCTCTTTCCTTCCATAATATTATTCATTTCAAATAAATTGCTCAAAAACTCAATGTCAATTTTTTCCATTAAATTACTTTAATATATATAATTTATCACTCATTAATCATTATACTAATTTTTTGAAAAATTACAATACTCTCTTTAATATTTAAAGGGAATAACTTTCAAAAAATAACCTATAGAAAGATATTAATGGAGATAAAATTATCAATTATGAATAATCTTTTTGATAACTCAAATTTCTTATAAACTTAAAATCATTCATATTCATGATAATTTGTTCATTTTTTAAATTTAGGATTCTCTTTTTTTCGTATTGGGTTTTCCTAATATTAATCTTTCATATGTAGTTTAATCAGAAAAATAATTCTTAAGTTATGTAAAAATCAAATTTCCTAAAGGAAGTAAAAACAAAAATTCGAATATGGTGAGAATTATTAAAATAAAAAAATTGTCAAAGGTATTTATTGAGTTTTAAATTGATAATGCTTAAATACCAAGAACTAATAATAGAACAAAATCAAGAAATAAAAACAAAAGAAAAAGCCAAAATAAAGATAAATTGTCCTTTCCTACCTAAAATAATTAAATTTGATACACAATTATTAATCCAAGGACAATGATGATCGTATTCATTTATACATCTTTTACAAAATTCGCAGTGCTTTGATCTATTTGGAATTTTAATAAAGCAATCATAACAAATTTCAAAAGGCTCCAATTAAAGTAAAATTGCCTTCAGGTTTGACCTAAAATAAAATTTTAAAATATACTCATTTTCAATATTAGCATAACCAGGATTTGAATTTAATGTTAATATATAACTGATTAAACATAGGATTACAATAATAATTAACAAAATAAAACTTCCTGTAACTTAATTAAAGTATAGTGTGTTTTAAATAGAGAAAATAGTTCCTAAATTTGTGCATGAAAAAAAGATGAGGAAAATAAAAGTTTATAGAGGAGACCTTTTTCCTAAATATAAAGTTTAATACTTGGTTTAATATTTAGTGTAAGTATCAGAGATTTCCAAGAAAATCGAAAGGATTTTAAAGCATCATGAGTTTATTCATCATCTGTCAAATCTATTGGTAGTTATCCAAAGTTATTCTTATCATTTGTGCTGGCACCTCTCTAAATTAGTTTTCTTATTAATTTAGAACTTTGTTATTTTGCTGCAATATGTAAGGGTGTATTTCCTTCAAAATCTTTAACATTTAAGGGATGTTTCCATTTCATTAAAACAATAGCTGCATAATCACATTTGAAATAACAAGCTAAGTGCAAGGGTGTAACCCCATTTTGATAATTATTAGATATTTTTTCATTTTTCATCTTTTCCTTTACAAGAATCAAAGTAAAAATATCATTATTAATTGCAGCCATTCCTAATAATTATTTTGGTTAATAAATCATAGATATTTCTTCTAATAAATCTACTTTACCTTTATAAATAAAATAATGAATAGCATGAAGACCATAAATGTCTTCTTTTTACAACCATTCATTTTTTTAAGACTTATATTTCATTAAAAGTCTATTAAAAATATATTAGTTTGAATTTAATCCTAAGTAATGCAAAATAGTTCGTTTTTCCTAATCTTAAATTTAATTAATATTTGGCACTGTTTCTATTTATTTATTTAAAAAAGCCATTTTATTATATTTTGCAGCTTCAATTATTTCAAACCCACTATCAACATTAGAAATTTTCATAAAGTTATAAAAAGATTGGGACTGTGATTCTTTATGATTACCTAGAGTTACTACTGCTATAAGAAATATTGTACATTCAATTAAAGGCTCATTTATTACTGGATGATCTTCCATTTGATTATAATATTTTATATAAAAATTTCATGAATTAAAAAACAATCAATAGTAATTATATCATTTTGTTTATTCTTCATCACTTGTTTTTGTATCACTTAACTTGGAATTAGAAACAAATTTAGAAGAATGATTTACATGATTGTGGTTATTTCTATTCTGATTTCTAATAATAATCTTTTTTTTTAATGCACTCATTTAATTATCAATATCATGATGGATCAGTTCCTCTTAATCTCTTTATTGCATTTCATAATCCTAAAATTTAATAATTTTATACTTCCTGCATTACTTTTATTTTTTCAAAACTGTTGTTTAGATCTGACTGAACTTGTGCTTGTTTTTCCAACTTTAAAACTGGCAATGAAAAATTATGTTGATGCCTATGAGTTAAAGGGGTTTTATTTTAATTTAAGGCCTTTTAATCTTTCAAATTTAACAATGTAAAAGGCCTTGATAAAATGAATTACATTTTTTCTAAAAAATATTATTTGATCGGATCCTTTTTTAAATCATAAAACATCACAAGTTCTCCAATACTTAATACTAGTTGCTCTAAATCTTCTTTATCTGCTTCTTATTAATAGAATCTTTATTCTAAATTATTTAATTTTGTGTAAAAGTTAGAATCAAATTTTTGTTGTTTAATCGACATTCAATATATTAATTACTGCGCCTGTAAATATCAATAATTAACTTTAATCAAAGAATTAAATCTGTTATATCAATCAAAAATATTATAATAATAAAAATTAGTGAATTATGAAAAAACCATTTCATAAAGTCCATCTCACAAGAAATTAAAGGATTCTAATTGAAACTATGATTTCTATATTTAAATTCCATTGTGATGAAGCAGCCTTGGTATTAAAGTGGAATAAATTAAATAATTAATAAAAGAAAGCACAGAGGATCTATATATTTATATAAAAATAATACGACTGAAAGAAAACAAAAGTCTAGCTTTAAAAATAAGCTGATGATAAATTTAAAACTTCAAGACTTTTAAAAATAATTAATTAAATATAAAATAATTCAAACTTCTTTCAGAATAGCAATTATCTCTTAAAAGAAAAACAGATGCCCTTTAAATTTTAAAATAATTTGAATAGCAACAAATATATTCTATTGCTTAGATTTATTAGCAAAATCTTAAGATAGGACATATATTGAAAGCAACCTTCGAGTTTTTGTGTTAGAACAACGATAGAGAAAAATAAAAAATTTCATTTTATAAAAATTAAATTTTTTTTATTTTAATTTTTAGAAATCCCATAACAAAAATACACACTGATATCTTATATAAATTTAAATAACATCCCTTTATATTGATTGAAAATAAAAACAAAATATATTTTTTGATTCTCCGAATAGATTAACTGCTTCTGTAAAAATAGAAGATTTTATGCCATCTATAATGGTAATCCTTAATTTTTAAGCATCCTTTTTATTTTGGTCAATAGCATTAATTCGTTGGAATTATTAGAAGCAAAACACTTATGTATTCTTTTGATAACTTCACCGGAGTTTTAAGAATTTGAATTATGGCNATAATTAATTAAATATAAAATAATTCAAACTTCTTTCAGAATAGCAATTATCTCTTAAAAGAAAAACAGATGCCCTTTAAATTTTAAAATAATTTGAATAGCAACAAATATATTCTATTGCTTAGATTTATTAGCAAAATCTTAAGATAGGACATATATTGAAAGCAACCTTCGAGTTTTTGTGTTAGAACAACGATAGAGAAAAATAAAAAATTTCATTTTATAAAAATTAAATTTTTTTTATTTTAATTTTTAGAAATCCCATAACAAAAATACACACTGATATCTTATATAAATTTAAATAACATCCCTTTATATTGATTGAAAATAAAAACAAAATATATTTTTTGATTCTCCGAATAGATTAACTGCTTCTGTAAAAATAGAAGATTTTATGCCATCTATAATGGTAATCCTTAATTTTTAAGCATCCTTTTTATTTTGGTCAATAGCATTAATTCGTTGGAATTATTAGAAGCAAAACACTTATGTATTCTTTTGATAACTTCACCGGAGTTTTAAGAATTTGAATTATGGCAGTTATATAATTATAGCTTGGTGACTATTGAATTTTATAACTACGATATAATTGTAGACAAAATATATATGGGCTTTAGGATTTAATTGTTTATATGAGTTTGGGGTTTAATTGAAGAGACATTCCAATTTAAAAGTTTAAGGATTATATTTGTGTTAAGATTGTGACAATCTTAATGTATACTGCTGAAACTATGAGTTAGCTTCAAATCTTCCACATTAGAACTACACTCATTCATTTTTTTATACATTAATTGAGTGTAAATAATTTTTTGGGACTTCTCTTCTATGCATCTATTTAAAATATGTTTTCCTTTTCACTTTCCTCTAAATATCATCATGATTATGAGCTGAGGCATTTCTTATATTAATTGAACTATATTAGGTTTTTTTAAGCTTTTTTTAAAGATTGGCTTAATGCTTCCATAACTTAAGATTCAGATTGCTTTTTAATTGATATTTATATTTAAAAAAAAATAGATTATATTTATAACATAACAATCCGAAAACTTTAAAAATATCAATAAGATATCAATTTGGATATATAAAAGCTTCAATCTAAATATCAATAATTAAACTACAAATATATAAAAAGGAAATGAAAAAGGCTGTAATTAATAGTTTAAATGTAAATTAAAATGAAAGTAGATTGGAAACTTCTATTTCGAATGGTAAAAATGATAGAAGAATTTTAAATTAGAGAGTAAATGTACTTGGTTGGCTAAAAAAATAAAAGATTTCATTAAATAATAAATATTATGGATTGGAGTAAGATAAATTGATGAATAGATGAAATTTTAAATATAAAAGGATAAAATGAATAGAGCAAGAATATTACTTAGATGAATATTTTAGTTTCAAGCTGTAAATAAAATTGTTTTTTCAAATTAACTCTAATCATAAATAATGATTATAATTCAAATATATACTTTAAAATTTTATATAAAGAATGATTTCTTATTGATCCTGAAATATTTTCGGCATGCTAATACCCTTAACTAACACGATTTGAATTTTCGATAATTATTTGTCTTTCCAAGTAAGAAGGAAATTATTCAATGAAAAATTAAATTTAAAGATATTAAAATAATTCTCAATAGTAATTTAAAATTAATATCTATAATAAAATTGTTTCTTCGGCAAAAGTAAAGTTTTTGCTATTAAAATTAATATAATTATTATCTAATTGATAATATTCCAATCTTTCAATTAAAGTTTCAGATAATGAATTATAATTCTATTATTTCAAGAATCTCATCTTCCTCAACTTATTTTTTTCATTTATTCATTTCATTAGAATGCTGAATAATGCTATATAATCTTTTTTATGGTATATTCTCGATTACCTTTTGACTCTTACCTATTTCCACCATTTATATCGTGCAAACAAAATTTTTATAAGTTTAATTTCTTGTTTAATTATGGTGCTCTTTTTGATTAATATATAAACAGTTCCAAGAACTTTGAATTTGAAATTTTTTAATAACTATATTACGAATCATTTTCTAATCACATTCATTTCATTCACTATTAAAATTAATTTCTATGTTGAAGTAGGACCCTAAGTAAGAGAAGCTTTGAAAAAAGGAAAATTTGCATTTTAAAAATTTTTAAACTTTGCCATTCTCAAATTTTTTTATTTTTTCCTAACAATGCAAAAAACTTTTTAAAGTTAATCTTGAACTAAATTTTAATGATAAATTAAAATTCAAAGATCTGATCTTTAATTGTATTTTTTTTTCTATTAAAAACCATTGATAAAATCTGTATATTCTTTTTTTTAATATAAATATACTATTTTATAAATTTATAGTTTAATCCAAAAATATTAATACTTCTCTCATATATGCTTAAAAGCGTATTATTTTTATAAGTTAAAATAGTCTTAATTCTTTTTCATAAAAACCTGCTTCTCTTGGGCCGCTTAAAAAATACATAAAGTCAGATTAATTCAATATTTTATGATAAATATGACAATTTTCTGTATAGAACTATAAACATTTTCAATAATAAGAAATAAGAATGTTTCAGTCTTTTTGAAAAATCGAATTTTGTTAGGGCGATTTATCGAGGTATCAAGTTAAGTAAGTTACTGAATTTAGGTATCAAAAACAATTACCTATACTCTTCAGTAAAATTTAGAGAACTTGTTTATCTACATAGGACTTCTTAAATAATTCATGCTATCCACTTATTGCTGTCTAGAGGGCATTATATCAGGTACTCTTTATTCCATAACTCATTCTCAAATCCAAAATATGCTTAAGGACATTAAGCATATAGAGTTTCATAAAGCTGCTTTTATGAAGTTCTTTTCAGCATTGTATCCTAATTAATTTCAGCTTTTTTGATCCCAAAAAGTTTGTTAGTGTCTACAAAAAATGAATATCTGCAAGTTATGCATCTTGATTGAAATTTTGGAAGGTACCATTCTTATATATATAGCCCAAACCATGCTGGTTCTAGCCACCTAGTAGTTAATTGGCGAGTATTAAAAAGGTTTTATATCATTTTTATTTTTTCAGCTCTCTATTTAAACTAATTTGAAAAAGCTAAAATAATTATTAAACCTAAAAAATAAAGTAATACAATTCAAATACTTGATAATTTATTATTAACTTATACCTAAAATAATAATGAAATTATGTTTGAAAAAGGATATTACAAATTTTGTGCTTAAAGTTCAATATCCTCACCAGATTGCTATAGAGTTAAACTTCAAATACTCAATTTAATAGTTAAATTTTCATCTTTTTCTAATTGTTTTAAATAATTCCTATTTAAAAGTAATTAAAATATTTTAATTTAAAAAAAAATGAACTCTAAAATAACATAAATAAGAAATGAAAACAACAATTAATTAAAGGTTTACAAGTGGGATTCATTCGATAGAAAACTAACAAAGATTAATATTCAAGTCTCTATTAATAATAATAATCTAATCATTTTATCTTTTTAAGATAATATTTTAAGAAAGTACTTACAAGATGATTCAACTAATTTTGAAATATTTTAAAATATGGAATAGATTAAATATTTTGAATGGTAAGGTGAATACGAACCTAACAAGAAAAAAATTGGTAAATGGAAGGCAACTTGGAATGGGGAAGTAATTTTAGATGGTGGTTACTACAAGAATGGATTAAAGTTAGGTTTATGGGAACAACCTATAAAGAACTACATGAGGTAAACATGAAATAAGAAATTAAAAATAGTATAGCTTAAGTATATGAAGTTGGGGAATACTTTAATGATTAAAAAACAGGAACATGGAAATATATATAGAATAATAAAAACATGTATCATTATAAAATGAAATTTAAGTGGTGGTGGAGTATTCAATGAGTTAGGTTAGAAGAATTAAAAATGGGTTGAGTTAAGTGATGGATTTTGGGATGGATCCTAAATCATTTATATTGGAGAATATAAAAATGGTAATAAAGTTGGTAGATGGGATATTGAGTTTAGGGATGACATTAATACTGCATTCTCTTTAATGTAAACATATTATATAAAAGGCGGCAGTGGTGGTGGATCATATGATGATGCAGGTGATGAACTTAAGTTAGGTAATTGGGTGGAAATAATTGAAAATTTTGGGGATTTCCCGTATGTAAAGTAAAATGGTGTCTATAAAAATGGTAAAAAAGTTGGTAGATGGGATATTTATTGGAATTGGAACGGAAACTAAAAAAAAATGTAAGAAATTTTATATAGAAGTGGAACATAAAGAGGTGGCGGATTATATGATGATGCAGGTTATGGACTTAAGTAGGGCAATTGGGTTGAAATAACTGATAATTTCTAGTATAATTCTTAAGTAACCTACAATGGTGAATATAAAAATGGTCAAAAAGCTTGTCGATGGGATATTTGGTTAAAGTGCCCATATTCAAATAAATTAAATGAAAAGATGTAAAAATATATTTTATAGTTTTATAAAATTGTTATTGAAAAATTATATGACATAGTGGGGGTGGATAGTATGATAGTGCAGGATATGGTCTTAAATAAGGTGATTGGGTGGAAATATTGGATAATTTCTATGATGCACAATTAACATACAATGGTCGATATAAAAATGGGAAAAAAATTGGTATTTGGAATATTCAGTACAGATACAGGCAAAGCGATCCGTTCTATAAGATGTAAAATATAATATAAAAGTGGATGACACAGAGCAGGTGGATCATATGATGAAATAGGTAATGAAATTAAATTTGGAGATTGGTTTGAAATATCGGATAATTTCTAAGATTCTTATGTAACATGCAATGGTGGATATTAATATGGTAAAAAAGTTGGTAGATGGAATTTTATGTATGAAGGAGATCAAATGTAAAAATTATTACTAGTAGTGCTTAATTATTTCCACTACTAGAGGTGGCGGATTTTATGATGAAGAAAATAATGGAGTTAAAATTGGCCAATGGATAGAGTTAGATTAAGCATTTTTTGGTTGTAAATAAGTTACTTATCATGGTGAATATCAAAATGGTAGAAAAGTTGGGAAATGGAATATTTTTGCTTGGGGATAATTAATGTAAATCTTATTATATAAAATATCAGTGGTGGTGGATTATACGATGAAGAAGATGATGCCATTAAAATTGGGTAATGGATAGAATTGGATGAGGCATTTTCTGGTGATAATTAAATCACTTTTCAAGGGGAATATAAAAATGGTAGAAAAGTTGGGAGATGGAATATTTATGTTGGGCAATATTTAATGTAAATAATATTTTTAAACTGTTAGTGGTGGAGGATCATATCACCAAAATGGTGACGGCCTTAAGTTGGGTGATTGGATTGAAATATCTGATGGATTTTAGAATTCCTCTTAATCTACATATAATGGTAAATATAAGGATGGTAAAAAAATTGGAACATGGAGGAAAATGAGAAGAGATATTAATAAAATGTAAGAAGGATTTATTACAGTAGAAGAAATTAAATATGATAATTGAAAAAACATAAATAAATTAATAAATTTAATACTTGAGTTTTGTTATTTTATGACAATGATTGTTTGGTATTTTATATTTGTGTTAATTTAGGTAATTCTAATCTTTCATTTCTTTCACTTTTTAATGTTAAGGTTATAGTTTAAATCAAGTACTGGGCTACTGGGCTCTGTTCGTTATTCAATTTTTGGAATTAAGATTTTCCTCTATAACTAGAAAGTTAAATAAGAATATTTGGGCTAGAAAAATGAAGAATATATACACACAAGTATGAAATATAAGGATAAGGATACAAAATTTACAGCTTATTATTGTGTTTCAAAAAATCTGGTATTAAACTATTTATAATTCAAATAGATTATGGATGTTGCACTTTTTAGGTTGATACCAATGTATTTTTGTTAAAAAATTAAAGGCTTGATCTTAGGAAAGATTACTAGTTAAACAGCGTAACCCCATTACTAATAAAGAAAAAATTATATATAAACCTATGTTAAGCAATTTTAGAGAAACATAAATAGAGATTGTTGTCATTAATGTCTTCGGAATGAAGATCACATAGCTCATTATAAAGATTAAAAGAATTTATACATATTTATTAAGTTTTTTCATATATTTGAGAAAGATAGTGAAGTCAAAATTAAATTTGATGGTTGGAGAAATAAATAAACTTTTCATTTTTATAAAAATAAGGATTGAAAAAATTTAGAGAAGTTGTTATTATTGATTGCAAAGTGTTTAATAAAAGTTAAGGAGAGATTATCATTTAATTAAAAGAACTATTACAGAATTGAAACTAAAATAAAATTAAGTAATAATTGAAGATTTTTTATAATGAACTATTGAATAATTAGTTATTTTGAATTAAATTAATAAGAATAAGTAGAAAAATTATATTTAAAGGTAATGAAAATGTATAATTTTAGATATAATTTATTCTTAATCATTTTATTGTTAAACATATCTAATAATAGTGAAAAATTAAAGAGGAGTTTATAATCGATATAAATGATTGTAAACTTTTGGGTCAAAATTTAGGAAAGAATATCTAAAAAAAATGGGTTTAGAAGTTGTTTAAGTGTCATCAACTATATGAAAAATGAAATAAATTATCCAGTATAATAATTCATGTATAAAAAGTCTAATTAAAAAAGATAAAGGAGAAACAAGAAAGGAGAGATGCCCAAATATATTTTATAAAAGAAGCAACCACACATCTAAAAGCTATAAGGTATTTTATAGAAAAAAATCTAGTGCCTCAGAATGACAGAGTGATAGGTTAAAGAAAACAATCAATTATGTGATTATTTAAGTTTAGTAAATTGATGTAATTTAATATATTTTTCTTAGTTTTTTTTAAATTGAAATATTGAGAAAAGTCATAAAATTTTTTTTATTATTATCCTCATCTTCTTTTGAATTTCTTACATTATTCATTGATTTCCAAATATCTATAAAATTTATGTTTAATTGATAAATTTCAAAATTTACTTCTGAATACATATTCACATTTTAGGTAATTAGTCTATTTTAATCAGATATATAGGAGCATGTTTATGGTTTTCATCATTCTTAAAATATTAATTAAAACAAAAAAATCTGCAATTCATGAATTTTACGCAACTTAAAAAAATCACATTTTCATTGCATTCAATCTCAAATATTAAGAATTTATGTTAATGAATACTTTGTTGAGTTTTTTGTTAAAATATTTTATATTGGATAGAATTAAAAAAATAAATTCTGCATAGCTCTAAGAAAATTAAAATATTTTATTTTAATTTGACTTTTGAATTTATTAAGAATCTCTTTATGTATTATTTTTTATTAATTTTTCCAATTAACCTTTATATTTAATATTATCCATCATTTTTCTTCATAAAATAATAAATTTCTTTATTTATAATGAATATTGAATATTATTTTAAATATAAAATGTATCCAGATATTAAATATCAATATTATTTGTCTATATTTGGATTATATTTTTTTATTTTGGTCAGATGAGATTTTACATCCCAAGTAATTAAAATTTCTCCATCTGGACTCATTGTTCCACAACTATTTTAATGATCTATATCAATCACTTATTCTAATTAACAATTAAATTCCCCTTCTAATCCTTTATATTATGATGTGTAAAAAATAAACCTTATAATATTTAATGAATGACCATTTATAGTTGTTAATATTTACTTTGAAGGAGAATAAATTGGCCAACTCTACCCTGAATGCCTTTGATTCTTTCCTTCTAAAGGTATTGTTTTTGTAATCAAAAATTACTCATTTTGGTCCATTTTATAAATTTCTAAGTTCTTTGCTCCCTTCCCTGAATTAGTTGATTGAAGAGTAAAAATTTGGTTTGTTATAAAACAAATATTAAACGATTGTTTACATAATTAGATCTTTTAAACAACCTACCAAGTTTCTTTATCTGAACCTTTCATCACAATAAGTTTGTTATCTGCTCCAATTGAAATTATTTTGTTTCCATCTGGACTTATTGATAGACCATATGCTAGTATATTGTGCTCACTGATGATCTATTAACAAACATACTTATTATCTTGTAATTACCAAAATTTCACATTCTCTTTATCACAACTAATAATTAAGTTTTCATTTGGATGAATGACGCAAGAAAAAATTTCAGCATAAGTCCATTCTATTTTAAATTATTGAGACCAAAATACTGGATTCAATTAATCATTTGGACTCCAAATAATTATTAAATGCTCTGAACCAGAGAGGAAAAAATTAATATGTTTTTCAGATTTTAAAAATTATAGAGAATTGACGCAACCAACATCCCCACCATAAATCTTAAGTTAAGTTAAAGCTTTTTCATCGCTTGCATATAGTTCCTCCTCTTCACTTTCAGTTAAATTTTCAACATTGTGTTATTTATAATACAAAATCTTGAACATTTTCATTTCTCCTTGAATTACACCTACAGCAAGAAGTGAGCTATCATGATTTATTGCTAGTATATGTTGGTAATCTGTTCTTTGAGAATTATAAGATCTATATATTGATTTTTGATTTCCCATTTTAATAAATAATGAAGATAAAAAAATATAAAATATCCATTTTTATATTACAACCAAAATCTTGAAATCAATAATAAATTAAAATATTTCTAAATAGCATAAAAATATATTTTCTCTCAATATTTAATGGATAATCTGCCATGACTTTATTTATCATAAAGCAATAAATTTATAAATTATGAATTGCTTTTATGGTGAAATAGGATGCCACTTAAAGTGAATTTGTTATAAAACACTCGTTTATTTAATTTAAGATTTTAATCTAAATGGGACTAATAAATATCTATATTTTGATTAAAGAATATAATATTGGTAAATATACAGAATTTTAAATTATTTACAATTATTTATAAACAATATAAAAAATAGTGAATATTATATCCTTATTTTTATCTTTAAATATCAATTAAAAAATTGTTAATAGCAGCTAAATTTCAATTAAGATACTAAATGTTTAATTTTTTCAATTTTTATATAAATAATTAGATTCTTTTTAATTCGATTGAATTAATAATGTATAAAAAACTTTGAGATTTATCATGTTTCAGAGTCTCACAAACTTAACATTTTGGGTATTTGTATCTCATCCATAAGTGAAAAGGCTTCAAACAAAAAAAATAAATGCATCTAAAACAAAAAAAATTATTTTCTTTAATTTAAAACCCTTCATGTAAGAAATTCATAATAAACTTTATTTAATATCTTGTATTTCTTATTTGTAATTTATAATCTAGAAACTATCAATTTAGTAATGCATCAGATAAAAATAATAAATCATAACTTCTTTATTCTTCATTATATAACGAATTTAAAAACTTAATAAAATTTCAACTAGTCTATATAATTATTAAATAAAATCATAATGAAGACACTTAAAATAAAATCACTATTTTCAAATTGAAATAAATTTCTTGCTCATAAAATTCTATAACATATTATAACTATAAAATTTAGCTATCTAAAATTATTTAATTAAAACATAAATAAATTTAAACCGAGCATAATCCTATAATATTTACCTATCAAATTAAATACTGATTCCAATCTAACATTGTATTCTAAAGATACTTCAAGTTAGATTAATACTTCCTCATTTTTTGATTCTATAATTTTATTTGTGTTAACTTAAATAATAAATCATTCCCTAAATATTTCCTATATTATAATTATCTTTTTTCTACAATTTCAGCTTCTTATTTTTTTCCTTCATTAATTAATTATTTTTATTAAATTTATTATTATATTTTTTCAATCATAAAAAATACTTGCTCACAAATATTAAAATAACTTTATTATTAATTACTTTATTTATTTTATTTATAATTAAAATAGAATAAATAGAAATTTAATTCTAGGATCAGTTTTTTAACTGTTGATCCAATTTTATTGAAATATGAATAACCGATTTCAACATTTTATAATATTATCCAAAGATTTGTTGTAATTAATTCTGAAGATCTTCATAATTTTTTATTAATTCATTTTTTGTTTCAAGTTATTCTCTAATTAAGATAGATTTTTAATTAGATCTTCTGCAATTATAAAAACCAACTTAATAATTTTTTGTAATTGATTGTCATAACGGCCCATATTTTTTTTTCTCTTAATTAATTAATTTCTTAAATAAAGATAGCGCTTTTTTTACTTATCATATATTCTTTGATTAACTTATAAAATTTTAAGGTTCATTGATAAAAATTAAGTAAATGACAAAATAATAAATTTATCTCCAAGAAAAAAAAGTTAATCTGAACAAAAATTAGATCCCTAATTAATTAAATAAAATGCGCTGTTTTAAATATAAATATAATAAATAAGTTTTAAATGGTATTAATCATAAACAAAAAGGAAAATTGTAAGTTTTATTTTAATTGCAGCATATTGCTTGATACATAGAACAAAAGATTCCTCTTCAACCTTTATCATTTTTTATTGGGTATTATTAAATATTCCATGAATCGGATGAATTTATTTTATTTTAAAGTACATATGTATATTAATTTTCTATGTTAATTCTAATAAATATAAATAATTTAGAAAGTGTTTTCTTAATAATAAAATAAAAATAAATTCAATATACTTTCAAAAGGTAATTTTATTTTAATAGTGATAAATAGCTTTAACTTAAAGATAAATTTGTATATTATCATGTTATCATAATATCTTAAATTTCATTTTTTTTTATAATGATCTTTAAATTCAATATATGCATACAAGGAACTTCAAATTTTACAACAAATTCTTTTAAACTTCAATTTTTAGGCTTCTGGCTCTTTAAATTTAAGTAGCTTGCCGTTAGTGATGGAAATATGTGTTAGGTGATTAATAATGTCTTTGCTAACTTTTTACATGATGGCAAATCATGTATATGAACACTAGCATTAAATTTATTTAAAAATGAATTTCTTATAACATTTGATATTCTTTGTAAACATTTCTTGATCTTTGAAGACCATTATTTCAAATCTTAGGCTTTTTGATTATAGAATTTAACCCAAAGTTGTTTTTAATGTGGGCCCTTCTAATTAAAATGAGTTTAAATGAAAATTTTATATTTTTTATTGTAAATATTAAATTGATTTACAATTAAAACTAGGAGTTAACAAATAATAATCAAGAAACCTGAACAGTACTTACATTTTGATTTAACCATCTTCGAAGTTTTTATTTAACTCATTTTTTTAACTAATAATGTAATATTAGATTACAATTATTGAGGGTTGATAAAAAGTTGTAATAAAAATTTCAAACTATCAAAAACAAAAGAAAAAAATTTAATCGAGTTTCTTAGCAATTTATATTATTAATGTAAAATAAAAATCATAGCATTCAGGGCATCTTTTAGAATCCGATGATTATCATCTTAATTTTTAAGAAAAATAAGAAATTCCAAATAGTGGAGTAATTTTTAATAATTTTGATTTGATTGGTGAAAATGGTGAATTACTTAAATTGATAGAAGAAATAGAAGCACCAACAAATAAACTTAAGAAAAAGTTCATCTAGAATTGGAGCTAAAATACTGATATTGGCTCTCAACAGGAAAGTGTTATTTTAAAATAAGAAAATTTTGGTAAGGATCTATATTCTAAATTACTTAATTAATTTGAAAATGATTAAAACATTTAACTCAATAATTTAAGATCCATTGAAGATCTGAAATAATATTTTATATAATAACTTACGATATAGAAACCTGATATAATACAAACATAAAATTTAGAAGAAAAATATAATCAAATTAAAATTGAAATTTCTAATAGTTTGGGCTTATTTTTATAAAAACTAATTTAAGAAATACTTGTTTATATGGAAACTGCTTTAAATCAAAGAACTCACAACATTCTAATTTCTATTAAGGAAAATATATAAATTAAATTTGAAGAAAGAATAAAAGAAATATTATCAATTATCACTGACATTCCTTTTCATTTTAATACTTTTTTTGTTAAACCAATAAAAATAGAATAAATTGAAAAGTGTTAAAGTATTTGTTTTAACAATAATGATTCTCTTATAGCAACAACAGTAGGAAAATCAATTTAAATATGGAATTTTTAAAAGGGAGAAATTTAATAAAAAGGTTTACCGTTAGTTGGACATAAAAGTGATGTTACTACAATATTATTTAGCAGAAATCAAGTTGAATCATTCATTTCAGGAGGAGATTTGGGAGAAAATTCAATTATTATGTGGTCATTACAAAATAATACATGGATACAAACTGTGCCAATAATTTAGGAGATTGGAGGTTTTAGATCTATGATTTTAAATAAAAAGGACAATAAATTATTTACTGCTGATTCTTAAGGTTATATAAAACTTTGGAAAGTAGATTTTATCAATAAATTAATTGAGAAAGAATATGAATTTCCAAAGCCATTTGGTTAAGTTTGGGAAATCAGCCTTAATGATTCGGAAACATCATTGATTTCATGTGTAGAAGATCATAAAATTATACTTTGGAAAAAATAATCAGAGAAAAATTGGTTCATTAAGTAAGAAATAAGATTAAAATCCTAACCATTGAGAATTAAATTTTTAAATGACAACTATTTTATTTGTTGTACTGAACATGATGGATATTTAAAGGAATTTAAGCTAAAAAAAGAACTATTTGTTGAAAAGATTTTGAATAAAATTAAATTAGATCAGCAGAATTAAGACATGCCTAGCTTCCCAATTTAACAAAATCGTAACATAATTTTTGTTAAGCATAACAAATTCATACATTTTTTAAGAAAGAATGAATAAGGTTTGATTTAAAGATATTAAAAAATATCATTTTAAGACATGTACATATCTGGAGCCTTATCAAATAAAAAATAAATTTTAATGATTTGGAGTAATGGATAATATTATTTATTTAAAGTGGGAGTTTGATATTAAGTTAATATTACATAATTATAATAATATTAAAATAAAATCTTATTGTAAATATTCTTTTATTGATGGATTTTCTTATTCTAATCTATTTTCTTACATGAAGATAATTCCATCAAACCTAAATAAATTAATTTATATATATATTCAAAAAATACAATTAAATTATATAAAATTAGAAAAAAATCACTTTTTGGTTTAAATTATATTTTAGTTCTTGGTAAACAATTTAATTTTTTGAAAATTTCTCCATAATGATTAATATTTTTAAAAGTTTTTAACTATTCTAAGTTTTGAAAAGGGATAGATTTAATATTATTGAATCCAAATTGGTTATTTCAAAATATTTTTCTAGAATAACTATTTAAATTATCATTTTTGTTTTATTTAAGCAAGTCAAATTTATTAAATGATATTTGTTAATAAATAAAAATTCATTTGAAATTGAAGCTAAAGGTAATATTAAATTTTGGGAGAGAACTGAATATTATAATGGTTATGACTGATTCTTAATTTATAAATATAATTCTCGTTATTGTAAGGATTGTTGAAAATTTATTTTAAAAGTATAAAAATAGCTCAATATTGTTTTTTTTATTTAATACTTTCACCAATATGAAATCTAGGCATAATGTAAATCAAATTTATAATTATAAATTAATATTGATCATTTCTAATGTAAAAAAGCTCTGCAATATCTCATTTATTTTAAATTTTCCATTCCTCTTAATGTCTCAAAAATCTATTACTGAATTTATTGAATTATTTGTTTTCCTAAATATTTAGTTTGGTTTTATTCTAATTCTTTAATATGAACTTTATATATAAGGATCATAAATCTTCAAATAGGAAATTAAGGCAACATCATAAGTAAACTTGATATTTCAGATATTTTTTATATTTTTCTTCCTTTTTTATTGTTTGTTTTTACATATTATTCATATTCCTATATTATTTTCCTTAAATTACAATTAGCAATTCATCAAAAGCATCAATCAAGAATTTGCTTTTTTTGGAAATTACATTTTCACTCTTTGTCATCTAATTACCAATAAACAATTTAATTATTTACCATGATTGAAAACGCAGTTTATAAAGATTGACTTAATGACTTAAGCAAAAGCTTAATTAAAATTTAAAATATTGATAATAACTTAAAATCTAAGTTTTCAATCTTTGCTTAGAATAAAAAAAAAAACAAAAAGAATGATCTAAATATTGATTTTTAAACTATAATAATTTCATATTTCAAAGTGTCATTCAAAATTTGCTGTTTCTAACAAATTGAAAAACCATCAACTCAATTTAGGAACGATCATTTATCCATTTTTCATTTATGAAATTATAAAAAAAATTCTCAAGCCGTGTGTATAAGATCTTGTTTTCTCTTATTTTCAATTAAATAAAAAGTAATATTTCAAAAAACAAAAAGTTCGCAATTTTTTCTAATTTTATTTATGTACAAATATTTTTAAGATACATTAAATAACCTGTTGGAATAAGTCAAATTTATATAAATAATATGAAGTTGATTTGCATTTTTAATATTATTTATTAATATATTAATTAAATTAAAATTAAGATTATGGAAAAAGCTTTAAATACTATTGAAAAATCGATATATTTGGTGTTCCTATTTGTCTTCTGTCTAATACAAATAACTAACGATATTAAAGCAAAGCTGGAGGGATAATAACAATTTTATTAAGTGGTTTAAGTTTAATATACTTTTTATATGTAATTATACTTTGGATAAAAAATGAAATAGCACCTACTATAGGCTCAAAGTAAAAAACTATTGGTTATGCTGAATTTTAATTATAAGAATCTATGATTGAATTATCTTTGGAAGATTTCAATGGAGGTGTTGATCCTTTTAAGAAAGAGAATAACATCATTACACCATTATTAGTTACATTTATGAATACTACTGTTAAAGAAAAACCTATTCCTTTGTATTCAGATAACTAAAATCCTTATAGAATTGAATTAAGCAATGTAAACCTTGTGTTAAATACTTTGGATTCTTACGATGATACAAAAAAAATCTTGCAAGATGTTTAGATGAATTTCTTAAAGAAGGAAGTTATTGCGCTGATGATAAAATAATAATTGTTATTTATTTAGGATAGATAATATTTCAATTGTTGAAGAAATAACCTATCCTAAATTAGGTTCTGTTTTAGCATAAATTGGATCTATTATCTAATTAATTTTATGTTCAAATATGTAGTATTATACTACAATAATAATTTATTAGAAAATTAGTTGTTAAATGAAATTATTGCAATGTATTATCCTGAATTTAAGTATGAATCATGTAACTTATTTATCCTAGCTCTTTTCTTAATTTCCATTTCTCCAAAATTTAGCCAAATTAAATCAGATTCTCCTGATTCATCATTTTTTGTATTATTGTATTTAAGTTGGGTTAAGACATTTACTTATGCTTTTTATTGCTTAAATATTTGAGGATTAATAAATTAATGTTGCATTACACAATCTATTATAATTATAAGAAGATTATTATCAATAAGGATAGTATAAAAAAATTTGATCAATACATATTTCAAAATCTAATATTCATAGTACAGAACTTTAGTAACAAAATTAATTTTCTTAAAATCCCAGTTCAAGAATATTCAATAAGTCATTTGTTATTCATGATTACAATAACGTACAATAACTGTAAAATTTTATTGAATTTATTTCAGATTTGATGGTTTATAAGAGGCCTTTAAGTTTAACAATATGTTTTACATTTTTTATTTTCAAAAGTAATAATTAATTTTAAAATAATACAAAGTATTTTTAATGACAGAATTTCTCATTGGACAATCCAATTGTTTTTATTCCTTCTTAAAATTAATCTAAATTTTATAAAGAAGGGGAGGAAGGACTAAAGAATTTTTTGGAATAGTAATAAAGATAATATTCATGTTATTGAATAAATTGGCAGATAACTAGGGAAATTATTCAGTATTGAAAATATTTAGAGGATTCTTTTCCTGTAAAATCAAAAGATGAAATGGTTTTCATGGACTCAAACTAAAAATCAACACTAACTTTTCCACTAACTAACAGTCATTAATTTTTCTTCTTAATCTAATTCAGATGGTCAAATTGTGACTCATTGATGAAAAAATGTGTAACTAAAGGAAAAAGATTTATTCCAAGAGATAAACCTTGCTCTGATAGCAATAAATCCTTATGTGAAGCTTTTAAATATTTTAATCATGATCTAATACTTAACTTAATATGTGTTTCATTTAGTGTATGTTCTTTAAACTGGAAAGGCTCTAAAAACTGAGACTAGTAAATGCAAAGAAGAAAATGTTCAGAAAATTCTAGTGTTTTTTCTATTGATGAGTGCAAATCATTTATAAGAAGGTTGTATAACAAAAGGAATTAGAAGTGTCAACAAATCAGCTGAACGTTCCTTCGAAAAAAGCTTTCAATTGTTTAGCAACAGTTTAGAAAATTTTTTTGATCAATTTAGATGATTTTAAAATTATATTAAAACTTAATAAAAATTGTTCTATTATATAACAGCAATTAGTTTTTAAATTAAAAATTTCATATTTTAGACTATTTTTCAATATGACTTTTCGGGATTGCTCAATCTGAAAATTCAAAAAAGCAAAGTCTCGAAGCTGGTTCATCCTTAAACTTAAAACAATATTTGAAACTATTATTTATTCATTTTAATATTTGCTTTCACATAATGGAATATTGGATCCCAAGTAAAAAGACAAAAGTTTAATTTAGTGACATCTTCCAAGGTCACAGTTCCATAACCTATTAGAAGTAAAGGACCCCTAATGAACTCCAAAAGATTAAATAAAAATAAATTTTTATCTTATGAGCATTAAAATCAAAATGAAGAGTTTTTATAGCTATCAAAGTCTTGATGAATCCATATTTAAAGTCATTTTGAAAAGATCATAAAAGAGGATATTCTGATCATTTTCAATTTCTTTCAAAAAAAAAAGATCAAAAACTTAGGGGATCTCTACTGGTCCTTATGATAAATTTATCCTTTAGTATGAACATTATATTTAGTATTTAATAAAATTTCTATCATCAATCTCATCTTGATTAAATTTTTAAATGAAATATTCAATTTTAAATATTTTTGGTATAATTAATTAGCACTAGCAATAATTATTTTCCTTAAATAGAATTAGATATTTTTTATTTAATATGTAGTTATCATTTGCCACCTATTTTACAAAATTTTTAAGGGTTGAAATAAATTTGCTCTTGAAATTCTATTAAGAATCTTATAAGTTTGGCTGAAAGGATACATGCACAATAGATAAAATAAAAGTGATAAACTATTACCATTAAATATTTTTTTTTCAAACATATATAGTGCTTCAGTTTCATAGGAATCTGAATACCAATATTTGTAGGTTTTAAAGAGAGCAGTGGCTTATCGTATCCTTGATAATTGCAAAGATTTTTACTTATGAATGTTATTAAAAATACTGAGTAGAAACCTAAATTTTTTTATTAATTTTCTTTCATTTTTATTGTTTGCCACTAAATTCTTCTTTTTTCTTCTCCTCATATGTGGATCTCTAAAAAACCTATAAATAAAACTTGGCTGTGATTAGTTTAAGTTGAGGAAACATCATGCGAATATTTTTAAATATTTATTATTTTTTATATTTAATATATTCATAATTTCTAACACTTTCTTATTTAAATTTGCTTTGACTAAAAGTCCCAAGTGATCAAATATTCTCTGTCATCACTTAATTGTCCATAAATATAATAACTAGCAAATTCAATAGATTAGCAAACTATAAAGTCTCCATTTTCTTTTTTTTCTATCATATTAACACTCTTGACATTTTTATTCGCTAACAGACATTTTGACTTTAAGAATTATTATGGAAATAAAAAATCACAATCATTTGAACCACACCATACAGCTATTTCCTTTGTCTTTCTATATTATTTATTATTTGTATCCAACTCATAACTCGATAAAATGTCTCAATATATCTTGTTATGCTTGCTAAGGGGATCAATAGCAATTTTTATTTTTCATGGCTATTAGATTTTA